AAAAAGCGGAGGAGAAGGAAGAGAGAGAGAGAGAGAGAGAGAAGAGGAGCTGGAACCGGCCGCTTCTGACAATAATAATAATCGAAACGAGTGACCCGACCCGCCACGCACCAGCGAGACCTGTCTTTCGAGTTCGAGCGCCGACAGGTCTCGAGGACACGCACACGCTCTTCCGATACGCCCGATTTCCGGTTTGAGGAATGCCGATTCCGGTTCCGAACCGGGCCCCGCAACACTGATACCGCAAGCTCGTTCGGGACACGCATACACACGGGTAACATCTGACCCTTGAGAGAAGAAGGATCGACCTGTCGGTTTGGTTATTGTTCCGGGATTTATTGGACGCGTATTATTTAGAAGAAATTAATCGATTTTGGATTTTGGGCGTTGTTGAGTAGGAAAAAGTGAAAGGAATTTTTTTTTTAATCTGGAGCGAGGATTTTTTGCGAGAAGAAGTTCTTTTGAATTTTACGTGTCGATTGGGAAAAAGTGAGAAAATTTTCTAGGAAAATTGATTTTTTTTTTTTTTTTAATTTTGGATGCCGAGGAAGGGATTAGAGGATGTTTATATGGATTTTAATTTGGACTGATATGTAGATATCGAGAGAAGAAAGATGAAATGCTTCGAGAGAAACTTTAAACGTTACTTTGTAGAGATTGTTTTTTAAAGAGTGGAAGTTTCGTCGAAATTTTGGACGAAGAAATATTACAGATGTTGTTCATTAAGGAAATGAAATTTTTCTCAATGAAAAATATTGAGAAAGTAAGTTCTTTTATAGATTTCAACAATGATCTAATCAAATAGAAAGAAAGATAATTAATGCATAGATTTGTAAATTAATTTAAACAGAGTTTGTAAAAGAAAATGCGGCGTTAATAGGCTAATTGTTGAGAGTTTACGAGACACGAGTTCTCTTCGTTCATTTTTTTCTTTTTCATTTTACGATATATCCAATGATTTCGAATATGACTCGAATATATTCCTATAAAAAATTCGTAGAATCTTCTTTCTCTTCTAATACCGTCAAATGGGCAAACCTCTCCATCCTTTCGCATATACACACATATATATATATATACAAAAGTACAAGTCGGTTGAGCAGACGGTGACCGACGACCCGGCGACCTCGAAGCAGCGCGTGGTACGTCTGTCGTCGATAATGCTGCACCGTAAGCGCATAATTGCCTCTTTTGCGCGTACTAACGCAAACGGTACGCAATTGCGTGGCGACGCGGCAAAAACGGCGCGGTCGTGTAACGTTACGTGGAATAATTTGCTCGTCCGTGTACGGGGAAACAGTCGCGAAATTCATGAATTCGTGGAAAACCGGCTTGAGAATTACCGCACAGAAGGTGATTAAACTGTGCCGCTACTCGAGTCCATTTCTTCCATACCATTCTCCACCGCGAACTTGACTGTACATAAATATTTTAAACCGTGGATAAATTGTGTTATTTTATTTATATATATAAATTTCATTCATTCAACGCACGTCTAATTTATCAACAAGTTGAAAAGTTCGTTCGAATGGATCGCGTTATAATCGTTATAAAATATATGGACAAATTATTGCTTTTGCTCGCTCGTTTATAGAACCAGAGAATTAAAGTCTAATTTAGAGATGAGAGTTTCTAAGGAGGAAAATTAAAAATATCGATCGTCGAATTTTTAAGAGAAGGAACGGATGTAATTATTATAAGTCGCGTTATAGAGGATCGACCAATCTTTGACTTCGCACGACAAATTTATATAAGCGATAATATAATTTATTGAAATGGAAATGGTAACACCTATTTTGTTTACACATGCGTACGTATGAATATTCATCGACTCGACGATACATATTCAGAAAATAAATTATTATATATATATATATATATATTTCAAATTAATAATTCTAACTCGTTGCAATCTCTTTTTCTTTTTTTATATAAATTTCGTAATTCGGATTATAAATAATTCTTTACATAAAAAACATTTTAAAATCAGCTGTCGTAAAGATATTTCTCCATATAATATAACATATAATAGTACAAGAAATTTAGAAAAAAATTCACTGGATCAAAGCTTTTCCAAGATTAACAATAAGATCGTTAACAAATCTCGAGAGAAGGGAAGAGTACGCGTCGATGTAAATCAAATATCACCCCTCCCCCCTTGTGTACCAATACTCCGTTCCACACCGTTCTCTAATCGAAATATTCAAAAGGCGAACTCACGTTTGGTTATCCCCCGGGCGGATCTCTCCGCGATCTTCATGAATCTCTGCCTCTGATCCTACATCAAGGATTAGCATCGCATTACCGGCGCTGCGTGGCATTAAGAGTGCGAGGCGCGGAACGAATGCTCGTCTCGACGAAGCAACGACGATCCACCAGCAGGGATCCATTTCACGTAAGCCGAATTCATGAGGCCCTTGCCTCCGGTTACGAGAGAGATTTCCGCCGCGGGAAGGACAACAGAACGCGTCTCCTCTCCTCTCTCTCTCTCTCTCTCCACACGGTCGGTTCGTTTTTCCATTCGGTTCCTATCCGCACCTCTTCACCTCGGCACAAGTGTGCCGAGGGCGACGACGACGACGACGACGACGACGACGACGTGTCGCCATCCTTTTCCATTTTTCCCTTCCCTTTCCCTCTCTCTCTCTCTCTCTCCTCTTCCTCCGCTTCGAGAGCAAAAACATCTCTCCTTCTCTCCTTCTTCCTCGAATTGAACCAGACGACGCGATGTCAAAGAGCGGTGCACGTACGCGCGAGAAGGGGAAAAGAGAGAGAGAGAGAGAGGGTTAGAGATCAGGTATCAAGTGTAAAAAAAAAAAGAGCCATTGTACGGGAGCATCTGACCGTGGGGTAGGTAGGTAGTAGCACGGTAGTGTGGTAGATGTTCATCGGGCGAAGAAAGAGTAGGAAAGAGACACGCGGCGTGTCTTCGTGCATAGGTGAGGGGAAGAGGAGAGGGAAGAAAGAAGGGCAGAGACCGGTGAATCTGGCGGAGTGGTTGTTGCCACGACACGTTGGCAAGGGCGAGGTTGGCGAGGAAGGAAGGAAAAGGGAGGGAATAAAGGGGGAGGGGGAGGGGAGGGGAGGGGGGGGGGGAAAAAAAAAAGGAATGCGCGAAGAGAGAAAGAGGAAGAGGCCTCCTCTCCTATAATATGCACCGAGAGCGTTGGCAGTTTATAAGGGTCCCCCGTATTGTGGATACGTATTATCATGCTAAATATAACATGTTAACTACTTCGAATAATGCCGACCCGCGATCCTCTCGATTCTTCCCTCCCCCCCCCCTCCCTCCCCTACGACCGTTCGGCGAATCGCGTTTCCGCGCCCAGAAAATTTTATTGCCGTCGTGATTCAGATGGGCAGATGGGATGATCGAGCAACGACTTATGTTCCCACACACGCTTCTGGAAAAACGAAAAACGACGCCTCTCTCTCTCTCTCTCTCTCTCTCTCTCTTTCTCTCGTCGCGCGAGTATGAGAATCGTGCGACGCGTTATTTGGTCCAGAAGCTTTCCCCTTTACTTAGATAAAATTCTTCTGCGTCGAAGATTATAACGATAATTATAAATTAAATACGAAACAGATAATGGAATTGGCGAGACGCGACGAACGACTCGTCGTTGTTCACTCGCAGAGGGACTAAACACGACTGTTATTGTACGCAGGAATGAAACCGCGTCGATAATATTATTATCGACGAACGGAATAGAAAGGAAAGGCGCGCGCGCGTCGATGTTTATCGATTTATATTTATAGTAATGATTGGAGACCATTGATATTTTATCCTCGGTGTATTTGCTTCGTTCTTTTTTCTTTTTCTTTTTCTTTTTCTTTTTTTTTTTTTTTTTTTTTTTTTATATATATATACCGAGAAAAGCAGAATTGTTGCGAAACGGCGACCAACCAACGGCTATAACCGTTTTATTGATGAGACATATTACGGTATTTATACGCCGTGACGGACCTTGAAAATCTATGAATTAATTATATATATATATATATATTACACCTTTGTGCGTAAGATGGAAGAACGTTGTTGTATACGCCATTGAGTAGCGGAGAGATGACAAATGTACCGCAGACATCGATCCCTCCCTCCCTCTTCTCCCCTCACCACCCGATCCCTATCTCTTCGCTACGTTTAGTCGTAAAACAACCGTCCCGTACAATAAATCGCTCTGCTCGTTAGCTAATACGGTATTAACATTATTATAACTTCCCACGGGGAACATGGACAAGCGGTTTTCAAGCGGGAGAGGTTGAGGAGAGGAAGTAGAAGGGAGTGGAAGAAACGATAGTCCCGGCCTTCTTTGGAAAACCTGTCATTATCGTATCAGCGAAAACTGAGTTAAAATCTATCTTTTCGAAGGAAATTACGAGGAAAATTCATCGATCCATCGATCGACGATGCTCGCAAGAAAAATTAATCCACGTGTAACATCGTCTTAACTCTACTTTTCTTTTTTTTTCTTTTTTTCGAAACAACATTGCACACATCTTCACAACGCATATTTTAAATCATTCGTGAAATTCAACTTGATAATTGATCAACGGATAGTGTGTACAACATTTCTCTACAAATTTCTTTTCTCCGTAAAAATACACGTTATTTTAATCCCTGGCAAATCGAAGGATATATATATTATATTATCCTGGTTCGTTAAACAACTTGAAATTTATTTCTCATTAATCTCGTTTCGTTGATATAGATACGTATATCCTCTGAAACACAAAAAAGAAGAAAGGAATTTTAATTTTTATATCCATATATCTCGCGACAACCATCCAACCAACCAACTATCCCACAATACAATTCCCTTCGACGCAATTTCCCATTGCAAAGAGTGATGGAAAAGTATGGATTTCGTACACCGATTCGACACGCGCACTTACCACCATAGATATATATACATATACATATACTTTCGATCGGTTTTGTGAACCGAATATGACAAAAGAGATGCCGAGTTAAAAGGTCGATTCTCCACGGACTGTTGAAGGGGTGTGATGGGCCAGAAGCTGCTGGTGCAGGAGGCGCCTGGCTCCGGTTCCGGTTCGGCGAATCGGATGGAAGGCGGCGAAGGCGCCGGTGGGGGGGAGCTGCACCACTTCCTCCACCAGTACAACCAACAGTCCCACAGTCCCGGGCAGAGCCTGCAGGGTGGCCTTCCGCTTCCGCTTAGCCCGCAGTCCCTCAGACACGACGGTTCCTCGAGCACCGGGATCGCCGGAGTGAAAAGGGAGCCGGAGGATTTGAGCTCGTCGAGGGGGGCGCAACAGTCCAGCAAAAGGCACAAGCAGGCGCAGCCGGACAGCCCCACACCGCCGGGGATGTACCATCATCATCAACATCAACTACAGGTATTTTCACACGTATAATTTCCAATCTCTTCTTTCCCTCTTTCACGTGTTATTATTGTTTTGGAAATTAAGAGAAGAAGGCTGGAGACGTCTCTTCTCTCTTTTTTTTTTTTTTTTTTTTTTTAGGATTCTTCAGAAATTAATCGTGGTTTTTAGAGATGATGTTTCGAATAGGTTTTGATAATGATATAGTGACACGGATTAAAATTATATTAGAGAGAAGGAAGTTCTTCAGAGATTATTACAAAAGTTTCAAAATGATTAATATTTTAATTTTTTCCTTTCCAATCTCTTCTTTGTCTCTTTCACGTGACATTGTTTTGGAAATTAATCATTGAAATTGGAGATGTCTCTTCTTTTTTTTTTTTTTTTTTAGGATTCTTCAGAAAATAATCGTGGATTTTAGATATTCAATCCTTTCGAATAAGTTTAAGTATTAAAATTATATTAGAGAGAAGGAAGTTCTTCAGAGATTATTACAAAAGTTTCAAAACGTGATCAGATTTTAATCTCTTCTTTTCCTCTTTCACGTGTTTTAGAAATTAATTGTTGAGACTGGAGACGTCTCTTTTCTCTTTTTTTTTTTTTTTTTTCAGTATGTTTCAGAAACTAATCGTGAATTTTGATGTTCGATCCTTTCGAATAAATTTAGATATTAAAATTATATTAGAGAGAAGAAGGTTCTTCAGAGATTATTACAAAAGAGATTTTCAAAACGTGTGATTGTCAAGTAGCGAAGAATTCTTCAACAGATTTTAATTTTTAAAAAACTAAACATATGTGTCCCTGAAGAAGTTACATTTGAAATTTACAATAATGATCCTGTTTCCTTCGTCGATCCATACCATAGTGAAAATCCCTTCAAACGACAAACATTATATTACAATATTAAAAGAATCGATATCGATGATTGGCAATCGAAACGAAAATATTAAATTCTTTTTATCTGCCAAGCCTTTATTCGAATCTCTCCTCTCTCTTATATTTAACAAGGGAACGAGTAACTAAATCCTGCAGAAACTTGACAGAAACTATCGACAGGCACAGCTGGTAAATGCGTGCTAGTAACTTTCAGGATTCCAGTGTCCGTTCTTTAAAAAAAACGTGCTCGATAGTACTTGTCCCGATAACATACGTGACACTCCATTGGACTCCATCAAATCCGACTATGGCCCATTACGATTAAAATACTCGACGTGATCGAATAGAGAAAGAAAGAAAGACAAAAAAAAAAAAAAAAGAAAAGGATTGACATTATCCTGATCCCAGATATTAAACGCAAGACAGTAGAAATAAGCGTCCTTAACTCCTTCACTCTATTATGACAAACATACCTGACATTATCCAACTTAATCTTGATAAAAGTGCAATTTATTAGACCTCGAGACAAATACTTCGCAGTATATACGCTATATTTCTATATAATAACAACTCTCCTGTGTCACGTTTCCACGATTCAAATCCAATTATTCCAAAAATTAACGTTCGATGTTACGTACACGTAAAATCACTCACTCTCAAAACTATTTAATTAATTACATTGGAAAAATAAATTCTAAACAAATAAAAAAAAAATTACACATTTATTCTTATTTCTAACTAAATCCAATCTCTCTAAATGCTCTTATCGCATCCTATATACGAAAAATCCTCTTGAAAGCAACTTTCTCAAAGACGTAGTATTTACGCTCTCCCCATTGATCGAAACAAAAATTATTCCACCAAACAATTTCTCTAAATCAATCTCTCTATTCCCCATATCACTTCTCCCATATTATTACATATATATTATATTCGATCACAATTCTAATCACTGAAATTTGAAATTCAAAAACAGGTTCAACAATACGGCAGCCCCTACGACCCGTACAGCTCGTGCAGCCCGCGCCTCCAGTCAACGACGTACACGTCGACCTCGGCGACGGGCGCTGCAAACACCGGGAATCCGAGCGGATTGCACCAGGAGGCGACCGCGGTCTACGTGACGGGGGACGCCCTACCACCTTTGGCATCCTCGAGCTCGTCCTCGTTATCGACCACGACCGCTTCGTACACGAGGTACGAGGTTGTGCCAAGCTCTTACGCGACGACACACGCGATACGCTCCTCGTCGAGCAGCAGCAAAGTCCTCACCGTTGATCTTCCCAGCCCCGACTCCGGAATCGGCGCGGACGCGGTCACGCCTAGGCAAGATCATCATCCGCCCACGGCGCTGCATCAGGTTGGTCTCGAAATTTCGATTTAGTTTATAGAAAAAAAAAAATTTATAAAAAACTCTTCTCTTCGAAAATTTGAAAATCGAATTTTTGTAATAATTTTTATAATGTTTGACGAGTTTGATTTTCAAACTTTGCATCCTATCGATTCTGCTAATAATTGTTTGCATTTTGAGGAAGAGGTGATTTTTTTTTTGCATTTGATTTGAGAAAGGGAGATTGCGTTATAATTTTGAAAGTTTGAAGATGTCAGTTGATAGATTTTTGAAATTACTTGGGTTTGGTACAGGATTTTTAATTTAAAAGGAAACTTCTAGTTAGGGAAGAATTGTTAAAATTAAAAGAAGATAAAATATTCGCGCGATAATTCGATCTCGATGACGAGAGATAAAAGATTGCAAATGTAGAAATCTCGATCTCTTTGTCTCATGAATGTTCCATACACGCGAGTACCATCGATCTTAAACGTCTTAAATATCACGATCTCGATCTCGAGAAATATTGCGATAATCTCCATTAAAATCTAATATGTCGATCGATTCGTTCCATCGAAGGGGAGATGGTGTATCTTCGAACATTCGAATGCTAATTCGATTATAAATAAGACTTGATCATCGGTGCAATGGTTATACGTTCAAATAATCGTAAACTCCATTTTTTTTTTCTTTATAATAAATACCTACCAATCGATCCTATCTCAAACGTCTATCTACGCAGATTCATCTACGATATATACGACTCGTGCACTTTCTCGCTCGAGTTGGCCACTTTCTATCCAGATTGATATCCCAATCATCGTAAACATATTTTTGATTCGTTTTGCCAACGAATTTAATCGAGGCAACGACCAGTCGATATCGCAGTTCCATCACGCGAATCAGTTTTTTTACGATTTTTTTTTTTTTTTTTTTTTACTCGATCTTTGAAACAGAATTGTACACGGCTTGGTAACGATACTTCTGGACGATTTGCATAATAAACAACGCATATCTATCAAGAATATATCAACGTGTATATGTTTGTAATCGATGAGAATCATGTAATAGGTGGTATGTTTTTTTTTTTTTATTTGTTTGTTTTTTATACAACGAGTTTTCATTCGAGTCAGAAATCGTTTGAGGAAAAGTTTGAGGATCGAGATAGAATTAGAAGTTTAGAAGGAGTACGTATTATGGTGATTTTATGTGAGAAATATCTAGAGATATCTAAATTTTAATACTTTGTGTCGTATTAATTCGTTAATCGATTTGCTTATATTTATTATCAATATGGAATATGATATATTTAATCAGATAATATAACATATTTTCCTTTATCTTCAAATTGATCTGATGTCAAGATCATAAACTGTTTCAAGTTTTATTAGATGGATATAAAAATTTTGCAGAGTTTACAGAAATAAATAATCGCTTATGATAAATATTTAACAAGTATTTTAAAATTTGCAACGAAACAAAAATTTTTTGATTTTGATTTATATTTATTTGTAATTTTATTGCGTTATATTCTTTTATTATTCGGTAAACTTACGTGATAAGTATGTTTAATACGTGACTTTTGAAATTCCTTCGAATGCTTCCAAACATTTTGATAATAGTGTATAACCGTACGATAGTGCTATCTATTTACATTATCTATAGCCTTTATATAATCGACATAATTTTCGCATTCACTTAAAAATAAAACTATCCAACCGCATTTAAATATCAAAAAAAAGAAGATCACGACTCGAAAAATTTCTGAAAAAAAAAATGAATCGAATCGAATCGTATCATAAAAAGGAATTCCAAATCTAAAAAAGCTAATTGAATATTTTAAAAGACTCAATTACGACTCAAAACGCACAACGCATACAATGTGTCGAATTGTAATTAATTGAGGACCGATTAAACGTTAAAAAAAGAGAATTACGACTCAAAAGGATTTTTAAAAAACATTAAATCTTCCTCAGTAAACATCATCCGTCTAAGAAAGAACAAAAATTCACTTTCTGAAAGAAAGATTCCTGACAGAAAATCCTAGCGCGAAAACATTGAATCATGAAGAAAGAAAGGAAAGGATTCTCTCATGGCGTGGAAACGATAAATTTCGACTTTATCGAATTACAGTTAATTGAGGATCAAAAAAGAGAATCACGATTCGAAAGAATTCTTGGAAAATTGAGGAAGGAAGAAAAATTTCACTTCCTGAAGGAGGATTCTCTCGTGCAGAAATAATAAATAGACTTTATCGAATTACAATTAATTGAGAACCGATCAAAGAAGAAAATCACGATTCAAAAGAATTCTTGGAAAAGCGAGGAAGAAAGAAAAAATTCACTTCTTGAAGGAGGATTCTCTCGTACAAAGATAATAAATCGATTTTATCGAATTACAATTCATTGAGAACCGATCAAAGAAAAGAATCACGATTCAAAAGAATTCTTGGAAAATCGAGGAAGAAAAGAAAATTTCGTTTCCAAGAGGAGGATTCTCTCGTGCAGAGATAATAAATCGACTTTATCGAATTACTTTATCGAAAAACTTTGAGAATCGAAGAAGAGAACGATTCAAAAAAATTCTTGAAAAATCGAGGAAGAAAGGAAAATTTCATTTCCAAAAGGAGGATTCTCTCGTACAGAGATAATAAATCGACTTTATCGAATTACTTTATCGAAAAACTTTGAGAATCGAAGAAGAGAACGATTCAAAAGAANAAAGAAAAGAATCACGATTCAAAAGAATTCTTGGAAAATCGAGGAAGAAAAGAAAATTTCGTTTCCAAGAGGAGGATTCTCTCGTGCAGAGATAATAAATCGACTTTATCGAATTACTTTATCGAAAAACTTTGAGAATCGAAGAAGAGAACGATTCAAAAGAATTCTTAAAAAATCGAGGAAGAAAGGAAAATTTCACTTCTAAGAGGAGGATTTTCTCGTGCTTCAGAAATAATAAATCGACTTTATCGAATTACAAACTTTGAGAACCGATCGAAAATCACGATTCAAAGGAATTCTTGAAAAATACTAAATCTTTCATCGTCCATCAAGGAAGGAAGAAAAAATTCACTTCGAGGAGGAGTGGATTCTCTCGTGTCGCGAAAACAACGAATCCATTTTAATCGAATTACAATTAATTGAGAACCGATCGAGGAACAGAATCAAAAGAATTCTTGGAAAACACAAAATCTTTCGAGCATCGTCCATCGAGGAAAAAAGAAAGAAAAAAATTCACTTCCCGGAGGAAGATTTCTTTCGTGGCGTAGAAACAATAAATCGACTTTACCAAATTCTTGGAATTCTTGGAAAACACAAAATCTTTCGAGCATCGTAGGAAAGAAGGAAGAAAAAATTCACTTCCCGGAGGAAGATTTCTTTCGCTGGGGAAAATCGCGGAAACAATGAATGGAGCCGCGTCGAATCGTCCGTATCGTGGGCAAATTGCAAAGCCCGAGGGCCAGTTTCTCGCGCATAGTCTCCCGCCGCATAATTTTCGCGCCCGTCGAACCGAGCCGTGGCCATAAGCGATTCATCACTCCCACGTATTCTCGGTTGTCACGCGTAATCGGCCGCTTCCGGAAACATTAATCGTTGGACGGGGGCAACGGGCGGCTTATCCGCGCGAGTAAGTCATTAGCATTGCGGTTGACATTACGAATTAGAAAGCACACGCGTTCCGTTCTGCTCTGCTTGCACGCGATTCAAAATAATAAAAGGCGAGAATCGCGTTTCGCGTGCTGTCGTTATCTACCCAGCTCGTAATTAAAATATTCATATTTCGTCTAACATGACCCGCGCGAATACTATTTCCGTTTTTTTTTTTTTATCCGGGTAACCGATTGTAAGAAAGTTTTGTCCGTTCGTTCCACGAAAATTGGAAATGCGATCGTCGCGTAACGAATCGATCGAATTCGTGAGAGAAATTTCTTACGCGATATTTGTATAAATGAAAATTTCTCCCCCAAAAAACATTTTCATTTCTCTGTTTTTTTTTTAAAAATGCATGTATCTATATCGCTCAAAATATAAAAATTCTTTTTTTTCTATTTATATACTTTCCATTTGTATTTCTTTTCGAAAGTAGAGGATAATAAATGGAAATAATAGTTATTTCGCTAGTTTCTTCGAAACTTGTGACATTTATAATAAAATCGATATTTATTATTTTTTCTTTCCTTGTTGAAACAGAGATTGCCACGCGTGAGAATAATTATTTAAACAAATGTCATCTCGATTAAACTTTCTCGATTATCTAATATTCCTCTTTTCTTCTTCTTCTTTTTTTTTTCTTTTTTTTTTTTTTCGAATCTAAGTTTGTTTATTTCGCGTTCGTTCCGTCTCGCTCCACGAAGGATAATTTCGGATAGGCTCGTCGGATAGGATCGATGACTTCCGCAATGGAGCGGAGAGAACACGTTGCATTAGACACAGTGTACCGAGAGGCTTGTAATTACGGATTAAATCTCCAACGATTTTCGCTTGCACGCCGATTACACCGCGCAACGCGTTCCAACGTGTGTCTACACGTGTACCGTGTAATATTCGCTACGGGCTGCGGAGATACAGAACCGACACGTTCAAACGAAACGAAAGGTATCAGACAGATGTGGAATACCGTGAATATGGAAATTGAACGTTTCGTTTAAAAATCGAAATCAATTTAGTCGAGGTCGGTGGATACGAGAAGAGAATTTTGCAAAACTTGTGTTGCTTTTAAACTTCTTCCTTTTTTTTCGTCCATTTTCGAGATTCAATATTCGAAGTGAAATTCCGCGAAAATTTATAACATTGTACGAAAAATTTATTTTTTATTAATTTATTTTTTATTAGTGATCCTTAGAAAAATTGAAGCTTATTTAAGTATTTCTCTCTTTTCTCTCCTTTTCTCGTGGTTTAATGACTTTGGTCGGACGAAATATTTTACATTTCAAAAATACATCTTAAAACTTCGTTTCAATCGTCTTATTATTATAATCTGAGTTAGCAATCATTAATGGAGTGGAACAAATCGATTTCGTCAAAGATACGAATTAAAGGCTGGATTGAAAAATAATATAACATTCTTGTGATCTTATAGCCGAAAAAAAAGAGAGAAAAAAGAATCGAACGTTCATTTTATCGAATCGAAATTTAACGCTTTAAATAAAATTAAAGAAAAAAGAGCGCATAATTTACCATAATTTCGAATTTGTTTCGATTCATCGACCGTTCAACAGCTAAGATTAAAAATACGCATCGCAGATTCGATGTATAAAAAAAAAAAAACAAAATTGAAACGCACGATATCGCGTCTCAATAAATACTTAAACCGATCATTAAGAGTGTTTAAACGAAAACGACCAGGACAGACAACCGTACAATTTTTTCCTTATTTCCATTTTTCGTAATTTCGCACTATCAAGCAATTGCGCGTAATTTTTCGATCGCCAACCCAGGCGATCCTGCAATTTCGCTATCAATCTTTATTGAATCTCGTGTCCAACTCGCGTGCCACGTTATGCAATAGAAATCGCAATAGATATCGGGACCAAGAATAAAACAAAGAATGGAGATGGGAAAAAACTTACTGGATAATAAACCGAGACGAATTAGTCACGTATGTAAATCGTCGATCATGTTGCTGGCCCGTCCGTACGTTAATCGTATTCGAGCAAAAGTTTCTCTCCACGAGATATCGTGTGCAAAAACACATGTATGCGAAAACACGTGTTCCAAGTGTGTTGCGTAGAAGAATATATCGCTAGGGAATACTAATTAAGATAATACCATAAAAACGACTCCGCCTTCCAATGCAATTAGAATGAGAAGAAAAAGGGAAAAAATCGAAACTGGAGGAACGAGAAAAAAATAATCGAGCGATAATAAAAATCGAAAACGACCACGCTCTTTAAAGACAACAAAATTTTTCTAGAATTATTAGAGAGAAGGCCTATCTAGAAATTACAATCCAATACCGTTATACAAATATACCGCGTACTTGGTTACTGTCAAAAAAACTCCCCTCGTAAATTTATTAAATTAATCGCGTTTCATACGGATTAATTCGAGCGAACAAACGAGCATTATAGAATATCGTGTAATACGTTTTTCATATCGTATTTACATCACGTTGGTCTGGTTCGTGGTGGATCCGCTATAAATTCAATTAAAACCACTAGATCCACCAGGCTCTATCCCTATAATTAGTCGTATAACTCGAGAAACGAATGAGATAAGGATGGAAAAACGGAGGGAGAGAGAAGGGGGAGGAGATGTTATTATTCCTAATTATGGATGGCCGGTAACCGCCATCATGGATTATTGATTCTAGTGGATAACTCGGACAGAGGGAGGTTTGTTCGAGGAGGGGAAAAAAGCGCAACAAAGATGATCTCGTTGATACTTTGGATCTCGTTGATCCTTGGACTGGATGGATGGGTTCCGCGATGCCGTTCATCAGGTCGAGTAACGAGCTGCGGTAACCGTGTTACATGCATCCAACCAGGGTTTCCTCTCAGGGAAGAACTCTCGTATGAAGACGTACGAGGGAATAAACCGTTCCGAGGGCCTCTTATTAACAAACCACCGGGTGAGATCGCGTGCGGCCGGCCCTGCTCAATTTTACGAGACCGCAATGGCCTGTTCTACTCGCGGCCTTTTTCCTTTTCTTCGCCTCCGATTGGGGGACGAACGATTGAAATATACAGAGAAAAAATTTGCAGCCATGGATGCAAATAATTTCTGTAATTTCATTATTAATCATTAGAAGATGATGGAACTCTGAACTCTGCGAGGAGAGTAATAAAATATTTCTAAAACTCGAGGCAAATAAGGAATTTAAAGGAATCGTTTCATTTTTAAGAAGAAAAAAAGAAAAGAAAAAAGATAGAAAAAAACCTGCGAGTAGAATTCGGAGTGGAAGTAAATGCGGTAGCGTTTATTTAGATAAAGTTCATGAGAAACTGGTTGTTACCGAGATGCTGCCAGTTACGTAAGCACTGTTTGACCCTATCGGTTAAGGGTTAATAATTGAGGAAACGAGCGTGAATAGCTTGTCAGCGTTTTCACAGCAGATTTCTGAGATGTGCACAATTTCTATTTAGAGACTGGCAATTATTGAATCCTGAAGGAAGGAGAGGGGAAAGGGGGAGGGAAAGCCAAGTATATCTGTTACACGAAAGCGTAGAAAGATTTTTGCCGCCTCTTACTTGTACATGTATTGTTAACAAGAATCGTTATTCTTTATGCAGTCCTCGTTCGACTACACGGAATTATGTCCCGGTGGAACGGCCGCTGGAGCTGCTGTGGTTCTCGAGAGCGGTGCTGTTATACACCACCAACCATTGCAGCTACAGCTACAGCAAAGCCACGCGCAAGCACAGGTGCAACGGGGAGCTTTGGTGTCCTCTGCGGCGACCAACTCCAATCCTAACCCGAATCCTCCGAGGTCGCGGCCTTGGCACGATTTTGGAAGGCAGAACGACGCGGACAAAATCCAGATACCAAAAATGTAAGTAATCTATAAATTCGTTTCCCGGAAGTGAATGGCACGAAATAATATAATTGCCTCGTCCACGAAAATAGGAAAAGGATTCTCGAACGATAAGAACGAATCTTATCGTTGTATTATAACCTATACAGACAGAAATCGTAATAAAGCGCTCCGCGGGTAGGCGTCGGTGCAAACAGGAGCAGAATGTGTTTGCAGGCCATTCACCCGGGCCAGGCTCGGTTATCGGCTCGCAAGCCACTGTCCTGGTTGTTCTCCACCAGGTGGAATGGAAAAAACGCGGCAAATACGAAACGGAGACGCGTGTCGTCGCGCAAGATAAAGATAATAGGTCGGCGGCGAAAAGTTGGCCGTTTATACCGCGATAGGCCGTCATTCCGCCACTGGGGAAAAGCTTCCTTCGGATAAGGATAATCGCGCCTTTTATTTCGCTTTTCGCGGCACTATATTTAGAGTGGCTAGACTGAGTTAATCGCAGCGGGAGAAACCAGTAGCCAGAGTAACGTCGCGTAATGAGATGTTGAAAATCGGTTTCTCGGGGATTTCAATCGTGAAAGTTTGAAATAATTCGGAAAAGATGATGATTCAATGGGGCAAGAAATTAAGAGGATTCTTAGAATCGTTTTCAAAATATCAAATAAAGATTTTTAATTGAAATGGAAAATAAAATACGCGTATCGATATAATTGTCGATGTGAAAGATTAAGAAACAATTTCAGATGCGCATCAGTTGTGACAACTGACGTCATTCATTTGCAACGAAAACCGCAAATATTCTATGAAATATTCATGGAACGAGTTAAATAAGATTCAGTAAAAATAAAATTGCAAAAATATAAAAATATAAAAGTATAAATTATTTCAACGTCACATCATATCTTTGTTTTTTTTTACTATTTGATAAAAAAATTAAAAATGATTTCATGATTATGAATATTATTGTAATTGTATCTTAATATATGAAAATTAAATATTTTCTATAGATAAACAGATAACAAAATTATTTATTCATTCACGCATTGACATGATCAAATCCTTATATTTTTTTCTATATATGTCGATAAATCAATATATTATTAGAATATACGTTAAATTATTTCAATGAATAAAGAATGATTACATTTTTAATATTCTAAATGCAGATTCTCCGCCTATGGATTCAAATATCATCTAGAGTCACCAATTAGCACGTCGCAGCGTCGAGAGGACGATAGAATCACGTATATTAATAAAGGACAATTCTATGGAATCACGCTAGACTATGTTCCTGATCCTGACAAACCTTCTTTAAAGGCTGGCCAGACTGTTAAGGTAAAATTAAATATTATTAAGAAGAAACACGAATACAATTAACTAAGATACTTATCATAAATTTACAATTAATCATATAATTTTATAATAATTATACGATTGATTGAATTATTATTATTATCTATATATATATCATTTCGAATCTAGTTTGAAAATTTTCTATCTAACTTACGATCTAAACTTTGATTCTGACCAACGGAATAAAAATATAATCGGAATGAATTACGTATAATTATAAAGTCTTATATTGTTTTTGTTCAGCTATAATTAATATGTAATGTTTGTGAGTTATAAATATAATGTCAGTAATGATAAATATATTGAAAAATTGCTTGTTTCAAAATAAAATATAATAAAAAAAATTTTTTAATACTTTTAAAAATAATCACGTTGCCATAAAAAAAATTGGCATATTTATAACAAGAAATATACATTCAACTCTCAATGTTTCAAAGTTTAAGACAATTGCCCTCTAGCGTTCACTATAATAAGCAGCGTACAAGATACGTTGTACATGTGGCGCCAAAAATCGGTCGGCTATAAAATATAACATATATAACACGACACATATGCAATGCACTATGTATAATATCGTTATGCAGTGGTATTCCTCTTAAATCGCATTAGGACTATGCATAGCATTACGTACTGGATCTCCGACTCCTACGAGCAATAGAATTCATGCAGCTCGTCGAGACGCTTGCATCGAAAGAAGAAGTCGGACGAGGTCGTTTGTTCTCGCGGCTCTAATTGGCAGTATGGCGCACCGTTAGCAATTTCCATTCTGATAAAGTTGCCGATTCTTTTCTCCCCTTTCCCTATCCCCTTCGCTAGGAGTTACGACTTCCTTGTTAATTGCTAATCGAGCGTCTAGCCGCGTAGCAAATCGAACGAACTAGCTATATACATGTATACACGCAAGCAGAAACTCACAAGTACAAATTCATCATTTATTTACTTACTTCCCCTCTATTACTTTATCTTACTCTATCCACTTACCTTTTTTACTGGTGTTGTTCTCCTCCTTTGTTCGCTCCCATTTGCTCTGGTATTGTTGTTTTTCTTTCTTGTATCTCTGTAGTATTTACTCATAACTATCCTCTACTTTCCCCGTCTCGTTCAAATCCTTGTTTTCTTATAGCTTCGACTTCCATTCTTCTGCGTATTCATCTTACATTATGCCTGTCGATTTGTCGTAACGTATACATTTCTCTTGTTGCTTTCACAAACTGATTCTCTCTGCATCAAACACTTTCTCCGTCTTCTTTCACGTTAATTTTGGTCTATCGATAAAACTATTTCCTTGTGCAGCACACAATTCTTCGTTCATTCACCCGAATCACGAAAAATTCTTCTTGGCGTCGCTAGCGAACACGGGTGCGCACCAATCTGCGCAGTGAAGCGTGCTTCTGTCGCGGCAACCGATGTCACGCTCACGTGAAGCCTTATCATTGGCGGCTGAGCAACGCTGATTTTTCATTGGCACTACCATACCACCGATATACTATTAAATGATTGCCTGATTCTAAATTATTTGTCGACAATCTGTATGTAACTCATGGTAGAAACATTAACCCGCGAAAATGGCCCGAGGACACGTGTTGTAACTGGTTCGCGAAGGTTAAAGTTATCTGATCTCATGGTTTAAATGGCGGGACAATAAGGAACTGAATAAATATGCGATAGAAGTCTCTATTCTCATTGGTCACGCACACTATGTATTACATACATAGTCTATTATGAATTTGATAATATTCCAATAACAATTTTTCTCTTTCTATCAAATCGTATTATCATATATCGTATTAACTATTATACAGCGTTTGAATATTCGAATATTTAAAAATTTTCAAGCTTGTTAAAATTTAAAATGATAATTTTATCCCTTCAACGAAAATGATTGCAATCATGAAGATTTATTCTCTTAGCCTCACCCGTAAGAAAATTATTAACAACGTTTTCTTGATAAATTGACTGCAGTCTGAAATTCTTGAATATCTTCTATCTTAGTTTTTATACACTCTTAAGAACTATAAAACTTTTTTTTCACAATTTTGTATAGAAAAACTTTATATTCCGTAATTATATGATGCGACACGACGCAACGCAACGCGATGTAACGCGACTTGCTATAAACTATCGAAACCCGCCATATTAATCGAACGTTAGAATCGTTCGATTAATCGTTCGATTAATCGTTCGATATCAGGCGCGAAAGAAAGCGCGAAATACAAAAATGGCGGGCAAGTTGTCTTTCTCAATTAATCAATGTAATTACACTTCACCCGTTTTAGATATTTTTACCAATGAATCACGATCACCCAACTGGACATATTGCCAATGAAAAAATGTTGAAAACGCGGTTATCTAAGGATACACGACCGTTTATTGGGAATTAGTAGTGTCGAATGGTGCAATTTATGCTACTGGATTATATGGTGCAGCGTGATTTATATGCATGTGTATGTGCACTGCTGCTCGCTCGAGCGTGTCCTATGTCACGCTCACGCGAATTTCGCGTTTCGTGCGACCGATGTGTCAGCAAATTTCTCGACGGTGTTCCGTTACCGACTGAGCATTGTTTCGTCCCTCGAAGGATCATTGTGGATAAATGATACTTACTGAGAATCGTGTCGTGCTCGTCATTATGCTTTAAATTTGAAAAATTCCGTGGATAGGCACCGGATAGTCCATTCATTGTAGCCTGTCGATGTTGGAATCTATAATCTATCTATAATCTACGTTACATAATTATACGCTACCGTGTAATTTATGATCCATGTAATTGTGCGTACGTTCGAACTCACTTCTGCATAGCGACACGATATACCAAGAAAGATTTAACCTCTCGATTCAACCGCGGTAATCGACTTTTTCACGTATTTCTCCAGGCACAGTTAATTTTTTATTATGTATCCTTTTTAATATTCTATATCCAATTGTAATTTGTAAAAATAATAATTAAAAATAAAGGATAAGAAAGATTATTGTTTATCGTTTCAAGTTGAATAAATACATATTTGTATTCAAAGCCTTAAATTATAGTCACTTTTGTACTCATTCAGTGATTCTATATATGCTATCAAATGTTCGTAACCATCACCTTCTTAATGCGAGTTGATTATTATTACAGCTTTATGCCTATTTAGATCTACAGATATCGAAGCTAATTGTAAATAGATGAGTAGTTTCGCGTATCAGTTTATCAAAAGAAATTGCAAAATAAGATAATAGTTACAATTATATGTTAAATTTAACCGAAAGAAAAACTGTTGGTGATAATAGTTGTAAAAAGATATGCGCATCCTTAAATTTAACGATAAAACGATAAAACAGGAATTGCAAGAGTTAGTAACGAAAAAGTTACTTAAGCCATGGCTGAAAAAAGATGAAAAAAATATAAGTAAACGCGTCAGAGCGGAAACCATTCATCTGTCCTTATAGTATCACGCTTAATAAAGTACTTACGCGTTTCTTGATGTTTTGTCGCACAGAGCGTAGTAATGTTGATGTTCCGAGAAGAGAAGAGCCCAGAAGACGAGATTAAGGCGTGGCAGTTCTGGCACGGAAGGCAACATTCTGTCAAGCAACGTATCCTCGATGCTGGTAAGTAAAGCGTGTAGAATCACCAAGTTCATCCACCATTAAATCAACCTTAAACAAATCGATTCAAATCAAAATTCCAATTATCTTTTAATAATCGTATTGAACAAACTAAAATTAATTTCAATAAATACATTGTTATTATATTATATTTACATTTTAATTATCATTTTTTTTCGCACAAGCCGCTTGATAAAGGATGATCCTAATATATTTGGTAAGATTAAGTCACTGAATCGTATCGTTGACCATGAGCAAACGAATAAAATTGAATAGAAAATAAAAGACCATGATGCTCTTTCAAGGCATCATAGAATGATTTGCAACTCTAACAACAATTTATACCATTACAGACACGAAGAACAGCGTGGGACTGGTGGGCTGCATAGAAGAAGTTGCACACAATGCGATTGCCGTTTATTGGAACCCACTCGAATCCTCGGCGAAGGTATAAGAGTCCTTCATCATTCATTAAAGAGATTCCATTTGCATTTAACAATCTGAGGGACTTAAATGGAACTGTGCTTATTCATTCGGTTTAGAGCCATACGCGAAAAGTCTCTGTATTTTATACGAATGATTTTCCATGTATTCTCCGTGTATTACAGATCAACGTGGCCGTGCAATGTCTAAGCACTGACTTCTCCAGTCAAAAAGGCGTGAAAGGATTGCCTTTGCATATCCAGGTGGACACGTACGAAGACCCACCGCCACACGCTCACACTTACACACCACCCTCGCATCGCGGCTATTGCCAGATTAAAGTGTTTTGCGACAAGGTAGCTATTCTTCTGTGTCTTTCGACCCTCTTCCAATCTCGTTACGTCTCGTTTAACGAACGATTCGAAATAAAAAGAAAAATCATACCAACTAGCCAATCTCATGAATCATCTTGGTGTTATTTATGCACAGGGAGCTGAAAGGAAGACTCGTGACGAGGAGAGGAGAGCAGCGAAGAGAAAGATGACGGCGACCGGTAGAAAAAAGCTCGACGAGCTCTATCATTCCGTCACGGAACGCAGCGAATTTTACTCCATGGTCGATCTTCATAAACCTCCGGTCCTCTTCTCTCCACCAGCGGAACACACTATAGACAAGGTACTTCTTAAGATTCTGATTGGATGAAAGTTTAAAAAAGTGTTTAACTATACTATATATATTTTATTTTATTTTATTTTTTGACTTTATATGGACACGAGCATGACGATGCTTTTCTTGAAACACAAAGAGAAGATCGTAGTCAAGAGAATATTGTATCTAGCTTGGAAACACTGTTTCATTTTCTCCTGTAAAAAAAAAAAAATTACTCTTTACTAATTGAACACTAACACTTTCACGGACACTTACACTATCAAAATCACATTGAATTATCGAACGCGAAAATCGTGAATGTGTTAGTCGTTCTCAAAAATTAGTTATAATTTGCAATTTGCGAAAGAAAACGAACTAACCAAATAATTCTTAGCCCCCAAATATTTGCGTAGTATCCACCACAATCCTCTGCTCTCAACATCGCCAAAATTCTCCACTAACCGCAACTCTTACATCGCCATAACAAAAACCGTAACAAACGTTCCGGGAACGAGCAGTATCGATTGAAAAAGCCAATTATTCAGCATCTGAAAAAAGAAATACATATATATATATATACTTCGACAGCAAATACAAAATTCTCTGAACACTGAATAAAAAAGAGTAAAAATTTATACAAACTCATATATCTATAACTAGAAAAATTCGAATTTCTTAGTTTTAGAAATATTAGAAATATTAATATTACAAGCATAATAAAAAGCTTGTAGCTCATGTACCAAAGTAGCTCGTTCGTAAAAGGGATGGAAAAATATATATTTCTTGTTCCACGACAGTTTTCGACGATGGAGTTGTCGGGCTTCTACGGAGGTGGCGGCGGGGGCGGTGGCGATACAGACACATCGTCCCTGAGTAATGGCGAGGGCGGAGGATTGAAGGCGGGGGGCAGCAGCCCTTATCCCGCCTGCGGCAGACCCAGCTTGCCAGCCCTCAAGTTCCACAACCACTTTCCGCCCGACAATCTGACTAGCCTACACGACAAGAAGGACTCGTTGCTGATGCAGGTGCAGGAGCTGCAAGGCTCGGTGCTGCAGGGGGTGCAGCAAGGCCTCGCCGGAACGGTGGTGTCCGGGGTCGGGAACCGGCTGCATCTGCAACAGCAACCGCCTCATCTACGTCCAACCGACGCCGAGGAACGAGTGATGCTGTACGTTCGCCAGGAGTCCGAGGACGTGTACACGCCGCTGCACGTCACACCGCCGACCGTTCAAGGATTGTTGAACGCTGTAAGAAAACGCCAAGGATTTTTTATTATCGAACATTACACATCACATTAGCAACAATCCAAGACACTCACAATTAGATAAATACACGCGCAGATCACTCGTTGTGTCAGTTTCTTTCTTCTGCAAAAATGTCGAAATTAATAATCGAGATATTTATATTTGATTAATCGTACTGTTTAGAATTTATCAAAAGTCGAACAGATGATTCTCGCGTTGCAGAGATACGTCGAGATATGTCGGATGAAAGTTGTTTTCCACGAAGATTTCCCTGTTGGAAGAAAAGTTCGTTGAAAATGAAATCTCGAAATCAGGATCATATTTTATTTCATTTTATTGTCGACTCACTTGTTTCGCCACGATTTTAAATACTTCGTCGTAAACGCGCAGTGAAACGAGTGAGGAGTAGAAATTTATATAATAATCGCGGTAGATCAAAAAAGTTGCAAGCCGTAATCGTGTCGATCGGCGTCGAAACTTCGACACTTCTCGGGGTCGGGTTTCTAAAGGGCAGGAAAACGGTGAAATTACGCGAATCTGCACACAGAAATGACACGAACGTTGGAACGTTGTTGCATAAGTTGTTAAGCCCAGGTGCGTTCGAGAAACGGCGATATCAGTTTGATTCAAGGTCTATCTCTATCTCTACTGACAAGTATGATAGAATATTTCGAAAGCAGTACGGTCAACAAATCCACGACTAGAAAGTGACATACGGAAAGGTTTCGACTTAAACCTGGCGATATCTTGACAGGGCCAATTTATTACGTTTTCACGAGATCGTATTCGATTCGACATATCCCTGGTATGAATAATGAGTGATGCGCGAGAATAACACGAAACACACACACACACACACACACACATACACATATGTATCTATATAGATATAAATATTAGCTATGCATGTGAAGGCATACTACACCATTTTATTAATATCCTATTGCACCGTTTCATTACGCTGATATTAATATTAACGCGCATGCATCATTCCTCCAAAATCCTTACAATAATTAATATGGATCGGAGCGCGATGAATCACACGCGCACGGATCATTAACCCCTGTGATCGCGAGAAACGATCGATTGGTTTCAACGTTAGAGGTGCCGATATTTTATTTTTTTTTTTTCTCACTTTTTAACTTTTTATTGGACATTATTGACACGTATGCAAGGTCATATTGTTTTAATAACGATCAGATGTGGCAGAAGAAAAAAGTGGAAAAGAAAACCGTCTCTCTCTCTCTCTCTCTCTCTCTCTTTCTCTCTTTCTCTCTGTTACCGCGTCCTCCTTTCTCTCCGTAATTTATCGAATTTTTTCCGCTTCCGCAGAAACGGATTTCCATTTCTCCATGCAGATCGATCGTGCTAACCAATTGAAATTGATTTCGTTCAATGATTTTTCTATCCACAGACAACGAGAGATCCTTTTTTCTCTCTCTTTCTCTCTCTCTCTCTCTCTATATATATATATATATAGTTTCTCGTTTCTTTTTTTCTCTCCTTCTTCTCTCCTTCATTTTCTTTTTTTTTCCAAATTATCTCTACGTGTCTTCTCCTTTTTTTTTTTTTGATCCATCAATGTTAATTTCACTCTACTCTCGATATCTGTCCTTTCAATAAGCGCCGCGTCACGTCGTAACGTAAAGATAGAAAAGAAATAATTGAAAGGAAAAGAAAAGAAAGCTCTTCGGTTATCGAGTACCCAGACCGATGGTCCGCAAGCACTGTCAAAATTCTAATGTTCTACTTTTTTCTATTTTACAGATTGAGTCAAAGTACAAAATTGCATCCTCGAGTATTAATAACCTCTATCGCAAAAACACAAAGGGGTAAGTTTAGTAGAGTGTCATCTTTACTTGCATGCACCGCCCACACAGTAGTGCATGCCATAACGGTGACATTGCCTGACTCTCTCCGTTGCCTGGTTTGCTAGTCTGTCCTTACTTCCAAAACCTCACACCACCTTATGCATACCACCTCGACTACCATACCAATCGATAGTTATTTTTTACTGTCTTTGTCCACGTATACATATATCTCTTTCTCTCTCTCTCTCTCTCTCTCTCTCCTCTAATTGCTTCTTCTCCTGATTGGTACACTGCTGATCTCTCTCGTCGTCATTATTTTTATTTCTTCTTCTCTCTTTTTTTTTTNTTTTTTTTTTTTTTTTTTTTTCGTTGTTCGCATATCATCTTGCAGAATCCTTGTCGTTGCGTATATATCGATTCAACAACATCAGAGCTCCCATGCGTCTTCCTCGACTTTACACTCGACTAATCCACTAATCTCCCCCCTCTGTCCTTTATTTTTCTTCTGTCACAACTGCTCACGCATATTTGTTTGCTCGCTTTCTTACACGATACTTGTTAGTCTGGACCAACGCATGCCTGTATATCTCTCATCACGCATATTCACTCTCATTCGACTCTCTCGTTTCTCTTCACTCTTTCATTTGGGAATGGGAAGATTATTCGTTTACTTTCATTTTCGGGCAGAATAGAATCCAGAATTTTGTTCTTCCATGACTTTGAAATCATTGCGTTGATGCGATCGACAGATTCTTGGAATCATTTCGATATCGAATAGAATCGATATTAATTCTTTGCCAATACATAAAACATCAAGATCTGTCGTACCATGAACGCGAACCAAAGAGACTCGTGCTCTGCTTGAAATATATCAATCGTAACATCGAAAGATTGTAGGCAGAATAGACTTTCCTCGTTTTCACTCTTCTTTCCTGCCCGATCAATACGAAACACAATGAAACCCATACGTACGATCTCTCATTGTATCATGATCGTGTCGTTCAAAATCGTTTCTCTATTATATTATTATTATTCAATCTATATATTTTTCTCTTCGATTTCTTTTTTTTTTTTTTNTTTTTTTTTTTTTTCTCCGTTCGTTCGTCCAATATTCGTCCCTCGATTTTAAGCAGGGTTTTTTAACCTCGTTCCTACTCTGTCCACCCTCTTTAATCGTCGTTTTCTCCTCATGTTACAGAATTACAGCGAAAATTGACGACGATATGATCCGATATTACGTGGACGAGGACCTGTTCCTGCTGGAGGTAACCCATTCCCGAGTGCCGAATCCAGATCCGAGCAACGAGCGCAATCCGGCCAATCCTGGATCACCTGGTGATCCTGGTGATCCAAGTGATCAAGCCGCCACCGCGGGATACGACGTCACCCTGATCGAACTACCCTCGGCGTCGGCGCACATAGCTCACTCGCCCCTCAATTCCGCGCATGGCCACGCGCACGTTCACGAGAGCGGCAACACGTGAACCTTTCGCCTCGCCGAAAGCACAAAGAAGATGAAGAAAAATGGATGTAATTACATCGTACGTGGCTTTCGTCGTTTTGTGTAAATAAGTCTGAGAGAGAGAGAGAGAGAGAGAGAGAGAGAGAGAGGGAGAGAGAGAGAAAGGCAACCGTCGACGGTCGCGAGAAATCGTCGACACGGTGCAATGTAATAAGAATTATTGGACAGTTCGACCAGAAAAAGCTCTTCAGGGACCTGCTTTTTTGAAGAAATCGCGTCGAGTGCAAGTGGAAGAAGGAGAAGAAGAAAAATGGAAGATAGAGAAGAGGATTTCGGTGAATGATGATGAATAATCAATTGCCACTTTACCCCACCAGTGTTTATCTTTAAGAAACAAATTTACGAAGAAAGAAGAAAACTTAGGAGAGAAGAATGTCCAAGTTGAGTTATCCACGAGTTTTTGGACTACGTGTCACAAGTCGAACTTAAATGAAACACGAGAAGGAAATTCAGAACTGTTCTTCATATCGTACAAGAATACAAGAAGTCAAAAAAAAAGGGAAAGAAAAACAATCGTTAGTTGATAGTGATCGTCTTGTGTAACGTTTTGAATGATCGTGTCTGTTAGATCGATATACAGATAGTTTCGACGATGTAGAGAATTTCGTGGATACAGGGTGATGTTTGATCGATTCGAATATGAATTGATTTCGAAGATATATACAAAACTTTATTTATCGATATTTTTTTTTTTCTCTTTTGTATGTTTCGAATTTTCTTCGTGAAAATACTGGTTCAACATCGACACTCTTGATCTTCGAAGAATTTATAATTCAAAAAAAAAAAAAACATACCTCGTATGCACGAAATGTAACGATCGAACAATCTGTATACGCATTTAAACATTTTTTAATACGAAGCATAAAATCGCGAAGAAATATATTTCTAACCATGCAAGGCGACTCGTTTTTTATATTATAATTTTTTTTTTTTTGTTTGTTTTCATTTGTGAACAATTTATATCGATGGTTGTTAGCTTATAGAGTACCGTTGGCATCGTAATTGAAACACGATGGCTGCATGTAAATCAATCAAAATTGATTTAAGAAATTCCCGCCCTTATCCCCGTTAAATATTAAGTTATAGATTTATATATATATATATATATATATATTATATATATATATATTACATACGTATGACGTATAGATGTATATGATAAAAAAAAATGCCACTCTATTTTATTGTAATCGTCGGTTTTAGAGTTTAAATACTTGTTTATACGTTTAGAAAAACCGATGGTCGGTATTTCGACCAATCGACGTGCACGAAGCAAGCTTATTTTATACCAAGACTTGTACGTAGAGATAGAAATATAACTTTGAACGTCGCCATTCCAAGATAGACGGGTGCCATCGAGCATTTTATCTCTTTATAATGTTGCGCTCATACACGTTCAACTATAAAGTAAGTTCTTGATTAAGATTCTCGAGCGGACTAAATAGTTTCATACCACCAGTTTGAACATTCAAAGATTCTTATTTCCCATTTCCAATATTCCAGATTAATCGAAGGAACGTTTAAACCATCTCCTTCTCCTTTTTTTTTTTTTGCATCAACTGTTTTATATCATTATTATTATTATTATTATTTATATACGGAATTAATCGAAAATCTATTGAATAGCATCGATTTAATACTTCCTTAAATATTTTGCTATCATTTCAGAATCCTCTTGACTATCCCAGGATCGTTTGATATTATACAAAGAACAAGTATTACTCATTGAAATACGTAATCTTTTTTCTGTTTTTTCGTCGAGATTGAAATAGAAGAGAAAACATACGTTCATCCGCCGTAGTGGATCACCATTGCAACAAATATTGCAATATTTAAGATAGACAAATGCATTACATCGGTATCTTAAGAATATTATTTTGTTGAAGATAATTCTTTGAGAACAGATATTTCCAGTAGAACATGAAATTCCCTGAAAAAAATACATAAATGAAATAAGAATTTTAAAGAATATATTTTATTAAAATGATTTTTAGAAAATATATATATCCGTTTATAAGTTTCCATAATTAAAAACTATCAGTCGTTCTCGAAGGGTTTTTATTTTAACGTATAAACCCCATGAAACCCAAGTTTATCTTGATTATGGCAGAAACGGAATATACAATGATCATAACCAATGATTCTCTGCAACGTCGTAGAATCTGAAACGAGCGACAAGATATTAAAAATTGTCAATAGCCTTTGGTTATATTATCATTTTTTTTTTTTTTTCTTTTTAAGGTGAGACAACATTAACGTGCCACTGGTAAAAACGAATCATTTCATCATCACACACATCGCGTGATTTTTATTGTAAAATTACATGTCGTGCACACGTATACATACACGTACACACATTTACGCACATACACTCATCTTAAAAATTAAAAATTAGTAATTAGTTCGCATTTAGGTTGGACTAGAATGCATCGCGATCATGACTGCATCACTGTTGTCTTCATTTTTTTGTTCTTATGTGAAAAGGCAAAAAAAAAAAAAAAAAAAAAAAAAAAAAAAAAAAAAAAAAAAAAAAAAAAAAAAAGAATGAATAATTAAATAAACATATACACATCCTATACATGTATCACAACACCAATATCAAAGCAAGGATCAAAATACGCTTGTAAAATGCATATTATTATATGAGTACTATATTTTGTTACATCTATCTGCAAGACAGCATATAGTTTGATATTATTAATATTATTTGATTCTATTGACTAGAGCTACGTAATACGTATATTATTATAATAATTATTATTTTTTATACAAGGAATGCGTGTATTCATGGTGCGAGAATGAGAATAAAAAAAATCGTAACAGAGGTAAAAAAAAAAAAGGGAGGAAGGAGAGAAAAAGGCAGAGCGATAGTAGTAAGAATGAATGGAAGAAATAATCAGTATGCTTGAAAAAAAAGAGAGTCGTGTCCAACGATCGTACGAAAATTTGTTAGTGTTACTCCATGACATTTTTTTTTTCTTTTTTATTCGTAATCGATATTTTCCCCTAGCCTTCCAACTTCCAACTTCATCAAACAATCTTACATCATAATAACTATCCACCCTGAACACCTTTCGATCGCCTAATTATTATTTTCTTCGTTATTTACAGATGTAGATCTCGCAAGAGATTCGTGCATGTGTGCATTAGAGAACGATTTTGCCGATGAACGATTTTTATTTGCTATCGTATCATCCCTTATAATCCTTTACGTTTATTAATATTATTAATTAATGATATATCATGAAAGGCAGCCGTGTTACAGTCACGAGGAGATCTCAATCGCGATTAGAAGACCGGTGAATAAACATTAGAGTAGAGTAGAAGATTGATCAATCAATCATTTTTTGTATTTTCTTTTTTTTTTTTTTTTTTTTTTTTTTTCCTCTCCTTTTCCTCGTGTTAACGCGTTATTAGAAATATATCGCATAGCAACATGAAGCGAGTATGTGGTCTTCTCGTGATCGTTTCCCAGCCGTCTCGATATCGTACTTAAAGCGACATAAACGGCGATGCGAAACGAATCCACAGGCTTCGCCTTTATTTTGTTAGAAATGTAGCCGTGTAAGAGGAGGAATGTTGAAACCGGCCGATTTCGGGCTGATGCGCGCGTACTGTACTGTTTTGTTAAAGGATCTTGAAGCCGGACAAGTTGCGGAATCAGATAAAAATGATGCGAGAATATCGAAATATAATACCGTTTTCGCGTTGTCTTGCCATCGTGAGATTGTGCCAGAGGTGATATTATATTACGCTGTTTATTGCAAACAATAAATATTATATTAGTACGTTTTATAAATTGCGAGTTTTTATTGTTCCTTTCATTCAAAAATTTATAAAGTTGTTCATTCGAGATTTATTTAATCTCTATTATATATTATATCAACTTACTTGATCTATCTCAAGTTATTCTTAAGATCATTTGAAGCTATTAAAATCACTTGGAGATCATTTTGAAATGATTATTACACACAGTAAACTTTCTAAATCGTTTGAACGTTTTCTCGATGCTGGAATTTTAATTTATAGTTATTTTTATAACATCCATTTACAAAAATGGAACTTTGTTTATGTATCATATAATAAATTTTTAAACTATCGTGTTATGTTGAAAAAAAAACATTTATAAACGTCGATCAACATATTTTTATCTGATAAAATTCTCACATTCTAATTCTGTCATAATAATATCTTTAAATAGTATCAAGTATCCCATATATTTTATAAAATTTACATAAGTTTATATACGATTCATAAATTTGCTACCTTCTACTGGAACTCTAATATATGCATTCATCACCAATCGTAGTATACGTAGACACTGTGGCGACCATGAGGGAATATACGACCTTGTAGCGGGACAGTGGCCCTGATGTCAATTATTGATTCTTCAATCGATGTCTATTAAAGATTTTTTACAGCCGATAATATATCAATACAGAATAATAATTATTTCATACAATAATTATTGAAATTACATAATTGCTTTAAATAAGATTTAATATTTCTTATTCTTTTTTTTCAATATTATATTAATATCTAATCATCAGTAAGATTTCCATAAATCGTTAATAAAAATCATTATCAAAAGACATTCGAATTTCTTCCATTAATTTTATGCTCAGAATATTATTTGTTTATACGATTTATTTGAAAATATTCTTATCATGCCACCTTTCTTGATTCTCCTAAGATTCAGAAATCAGAAAAAGAGTGACTTAATGGCATGTCTTAATACATTATAGCTACACAATAAAAAGCAGCTCTCACGCAACCGGTTTTCACATTCAAAGGGAAAAAACATCCAATGGTAGCCTTAGTATAAGATCTTGAACCAAATTTTATGCATCATAAGAATCGAATACAATTTACAGATTTACGTTTATCAATTGATGGATCGAACGAGATCATCAAAAGAGAACGTTGGCCTTCTCTTACAGAATATCAAGTGGAAATCTTGATATAGCTGTATCTTAATACCGATACTTGATATAAATCAATCTGACAAGAAAAAATAAATCTTTTAAATATTCAAATTAGATTTTGAAAGGAAAATGAATACTTGGCATTACAACAAGTTTCTCTAATTCCATATACAAGTTGAATAATAAATAGATCTAATCGTTGTTCAAAACGTTTTTCGTGTAATCGTACAAAGTTACGGATTCTTTTTTCTTTTTTTCATTACAACAGTTTGCAATTAAAAGTGAGTCATTAAAAATGAATTATAAAAATTCTCTTCAAACATAACCATTAACAATAAATCTAAAGTGTTTTTTTTACAAAACAGAAAGATCAATGATTGTGTCCTAATTCCCTTAGCCATATAAATAGTTTTTCGGTATTTTGAGAAATTTAAAATATCTAAAATAACAATTGCTTAATTTTTTCTTCTTTTGATCAATTAATAGAATTATTAATTAATTTAAATATCATGGGATTTTGGAAAATATTAATCTGTTTAAAAAAAATAAACAAAATAAGACTTAAAATCTTAAAAGGAATCCATTAATTTGAACAATTTACATTCCATTAAAGATATATGACATTTTAGAAAATATCGTATATATCGTTTAAAAATTTTTGAAAAAATTATATGGCAATTATAGTTTTAATATATTTTGCTCATATAATAAATAACTAAAAATTAAAAAAGAATCGCAAATTAGCTACGGTAAACGATGACGCAAATTATTAATGGCTAACGTCTGAAGAAAGAATGAAAAGGGTCAGAGAAAAAAAGTAAAACTTACCTTGTTTTATCCCCTTGTCCATTTGAAGGGCAGTTCAATGAACTATGGAATGTAAAATTTACGTCCATCTCAAGGTCTGTTTTCTATCATTCTTTTTAACTAAATTGCCACCCTGATACTGCACATTTTCGTGAAAAAAACTATTCACGCAAGACTTGGACGTAATTAATAAAATAAGAAATATTGATATATCCCTCGACGAACTAAAACAAAGTTTTTTTCATTATTAAATATAAATCGTCCAATCATTAATCATTTTATTATATAATTTGTCACGGATATTGAATTATCATTTATAATATTTTTTGCACGTTTAATAAAATAAAAAATTGAATTCGCATTGAATGCAATTGAAATTTAAATATCCAATAGAGAATATATGACTTGATATAATAAGACTTGATATCACATGATATTAATTTCTCGCAATTGAGGAAAACCTTATCATGAAACCTGAAAATATGAACGGTTATTATTAAAGGGAGGGAATAATGATTAAGAAATTTTAAATATTTAATAAACTGCATATTAAAGTATTAATATGTAATCTCACCGTAAATTACTTTATCTTTACTTGTCTAAACTTGTTTTCTTTTCTTAACTTCACATACACTCCTCAATACTCTGAATCAATTAATCTGAAATATGCAAATTTCATGAATGTAAAATAGCAGATGTTCGAGATGATTTCATTGAGTAAAATTTTTCAATAAACACTTTGAAAATATTTCGTTATAAAATTTCAGGCGCAAAATTAATAAATTTCGACAAAAACAAATTTGTACTTACGAGCAAATGGGATTAAAAAAAAAAAAAAAAAAAAAAAAAGAATGGATAGAAAATTATCAGATCGATACGAAGCACGCGATATACAACAGGTTTAAAGAAATTCCATTCATTGTGGTCAGAGGGAAATGCACGCTACGTTGGCATTCGCGATGGTGCACAGATTGGCAAGTTCACGGCCGTCCCTTACGTGCAGTCTTCTCCTCGGCCTCTCCAAGGCCAGCACGAGGATCTTACTCTCTATGCAAATGCCTATGAACTCGACAGTCACGATTGGCGTCAAGATCGGCGACGACATAAATCAAGGTTGAGCCGGTTCTGTCACACCACTTACATAATCAGCGAATTTCTATTGAAACTGTATCCTCGTGATTCTCGAATGAATCGTCAAATTCGATTATATATTCCTAATTTATAACGGTTAACAGTACAACCGACTCGAAATTAGATATGGTCATTGAACCGTATCAATAAATCGAATTATCAAGAGATTCATTGATACGAAAAAGAAAAAAATGGATATTTGATGTGACGTTTTATAAAATGAGCTCATCATGGATGACTGACAGGTATTTCGAAGTCGAATCAATGTTGGTTGAATAGCCAATGTGATCGATTCGATATAATATGAAAAATATTCTTTATACATTGTGTTTGATTAACTGCAAATAGATATTTAAATCTTTATATAAAAATCATAATAAGTTGAAATAATATTAATTTTGTAATTATAATTTTGAAATAAATAATAAAACAATAAAAAAAAATTTAAAATATAATTTTACGAAAAAAACATAATATTATTAAATATAGAAAATATGAAGTAAAGTAAAATTTAATTTTAAAAAAAAAAAAGGAAGTGCCAATTCTAAAATGATTCATATAATTCACAATATCGCGAAGAAAAAATAAACTGAAGTAGCAGTCAAACATCTAACACGAGATCACCATCGCGTGACTAAACCGGAATAAATCGAGTCGATCGGATCTTTCAATCTGCCGAAAATTAGCATACCATCAGTTTTGATTCTGTATACACGGGATCCGCCTACCCTTTTTCTTGCAATGGGTACCACGCAGATGCCTTAAGGTGTTTGCACGTCCTCTAAAAGAAGATGAGAAAAGAACTCGATGGTAACTTGTGTATCGAACCTACCGGGGGCAAAGAACAGCACCGAGAGGGGAGGACGAGCCCGTTATAAGCACGAGCACTGGCTATTCAGCAGCTTAGCAAGCTTAGTGCCGGTTCCACGATCCCTACCGGTAACATAGGGTCCCAAACATCCGTGATCCTCTCCTCGTTGCGCGTTTTTTCTCTCGATAGTGGTTTCCGTTTCTCTGTTGAAATGGACCGATTCCAACGAGCGTCGTCAAAAACGAAACTATTACTGCTCATTGTACAGACTGTCATCACGATTTTGACGATCACTGATACCATTTACGCTGATCCAAAAAGTAAATCGATCGATTTCCAGTCATCATTAGAAGAGATCCATCGGGGAGAGGATGATGACAACGCGGTAATCGTTGATGGTAAGTGGATGATTTCTTGAATCTAGTTCAATTCATTGTAATTCATTAATAATTAAATAATTAAATAAGGAATAGATAAATAGGAATTTTAGAGAAATAATTATTTGACTTCGTTAATTTTCTATAACTGATAGATTCGTCTTTTTTTCCAAGGTTGATCGATGTACAATGGAACTCCAATTGAAATATAATGACTATTTTAGTGTATAATTAGATGCTTATAAGGAATAGAGTAGATGAATAACATCGATTAGCCTCTCGCTATATTATTATACGTCTCATTGATGACTGAGTATTAATCACCTGAAGAACTGGAGATGAAGAACTCGTTCGAGTTCGTTACACGAGATTACGACACTTGATGGCATTTCGCTTATCGCGATGATAACATGCGAATAATCGAAGAGAATCATACACGAGAATCACATGTGATCGATCACATGCGTGTGTTCCATACACAGCGAACGGAAGTCTTCCAGGCGTGCGTACCAGTCTTGTATGTGTGCACCTACATGTAACCTGTGGGTCAGCGAACCCACTGTCAAGAATCTGGATGGAATTCTATTGTGATGTCTCGGTCTCGGTCGATCAGTTTAAAAACATTCGATGATATAACGAATTTGGCTTGATCTTACCGAAAATAAATTGGATTATTCTCTATCATCTAATCTGTAATTAATATTGTTTGTTGTACGAATAGCAGAGAACGCAATAAGATTATGTTTATAACAAACAATATATAAGAATATTATTGAGTGATTATTAAAAATCATTCGATTTAAATCGATGTAATATTAATTTAATAATAACATAAAAAAATACCCACATGTTTTGTACGAAGATTAATGAGACGTAGTAAAAAATAAAAAACTTCTCTCGTTCAATCACATGATTTTCTTACGAATATACAAATACATAACATTACATAGTGAAGACGATCTGCATTCATTACAACAGTAGACAATGTATCAGACATCGTTTATGTACATATAGATGATTCTATGCGTTATATTCCCGCTATAACGATTCTTCCATCGATGAATATGTTTATAAACCGATCACGAACGACTTGGAAAAAGACGAGTGAAATTACTATTTTAAGAAAATATTTCTGCCGATATAATTAATCCATCGATTAATATAATTAAATTAAAAAGTACCATTTTATCATTCAGCCGCCAGTAATACAGATATCCAAACTGAGACGAGAGATAGTCGTGGTATACTGTGGAATGGAATTCCCAACAGCGACACTTGCCTGACATCAAAAGGAGAGATTGGTCGTTGCACCAGCTTCAAAGAATGTTATCCATATTTCAAAATTCCCGATTTGAGCGCTCTAGATGGCTGGGTTCTTGGTGTTTACGACACCTGCAGCTATGTAAAGGGGAATGGACAAATGAATTTCGGAATTTGTTGTTCCAATATACTTCCGCTCGTTACACCACAGTCAGACGACGATTCTACTATAGAAAATAATCAGGTAAATATTTTTATCAGTGAATTAAATATTTTTTCAAGTTCCTTTCGAACATTTTTCGTTGAATTTCTCAACTGAAATTACATGAATCCTAGTTAGTTACCAAGAACTCGTAAAAATAATACGTGATGCGAATCGAAAAAGTTCTAACATAGAAAGTCGTACTTCGGGTGTATCCATTGAACAAAGAAGTTTCGCAAACAGACTTTTACGACTTTACTTTTACTACCGTGTCTAATTCGCACCTACCATCCATTCCTTACCGTGAAATCTTCATTGACGATTCTCTCTATTTCTTCCTCTTCCGTTATTCCTATTGAAATAATCGATATTTCACGAGGATTTACTTCGTATTTTAGGAAAACAACGACAATAGGGAGGAAGAAATGGCCGCAAAACCAAGGCCACAGAATCCAGGTTCCTGGCCGCCACCGATACCAACGCATCCACCTGATCATACCATACCACCGCTACCCACTCATCCACCGTATCTAGAATTACCAACGTTCTCAACGATAAAACCAGTTTCCACATCGAAAAAACCTGATATTGCGACGACCTGGCCAACGAAGAAACCTGCCTGGTGGCCAAATGTACCAACTGTATCAACGACCAGTGAAAAACCCTCAGGAACTATTTCGAGCATTGATATGTCTCAATGCGGTGCAAAGAACGGTATTCAGGACCAGGAAAGAATCGTAGGCGGTCAGAATGCTGACCCTGGCGAGTGGCCTTGGATCGCGGCACTCTTCAACGGTGGCCGACAATTCTGTGGTGGTTCACTCATCGACAATAAACACATTCTCACTGCAGCTCATTGTGTTGCCAAGTAAGTTCTCCGTAAAACGTATAGAATGATAAAATCATTTGGTACGCTTGGTATTTTCATATGGCTTCTATTCCTGCAAGATGTTAAATTTGTTAATAAAAAATTAGACGTAATAAAAAATTAGAACTACAGTCACTTTTTTTAATAATTTTTTTTTTTTTTTGTACAAAACGCTATCCTTGTAATCATATATTATTATGTAATTGTGATCATATATTATATGTTCTATAAAAAAGAAAGAGAATTTTGTATAAATGAATTTTATTCCTATGTTTCCAGCATGAATTCCTGGGATGTGGCAAGATTAACGGTCCGTCTTGGAGATTACAATATCAAAACTAACACGGAGATCCGACATATCGAACGACGAGTGAAACGAGTAGTCAGACATAGAGGCTTTAATGCACGTACTCTGTATAACGATATTGCACTACTCACACTCAATGAACCCGTTTCATTCACGGAACAAATACGACCCATCTGTCTGCCGAGTGGTTCACAGTTGTATCCTGGAAAAATTGCTACAGTCATTGGTTGGGGTTCCTTGAGAGAAAGTAAGAAATTTAAAAAAAAAAAAAAGATTAATTTAATACCTAATTGTGTTAATTAAATTCTTTTGACAAAAAAAGAATTATAACGTTATTTTAATTGTTAAGGTGGACCACAACCAGCAATACTTCAAGAAGTTTCCATACCTATTTGGACAAATAGTGAATGCAAATTAAAATACGGTGCCGCAGCACCTGGTGGTATTGTAGACAGTTTCTTGTGTGCGGGACGAGCTGCGAAAGATTCTTGCTCGGTTTGTATTAAAACTGATTTATTATATTATTAATACTTGAATTTTTGAATGCAATGTATCTTCTATTTTATAGGGTGATAGTGGTGGTCCTTTAATGGTCAACGATGGTCGTTGGACACAAGTTGGTATTGTCAGTTGGGGTATTGGATGTGGTAAAGGTCAATATCCTGGCGTTTATACTAGAGTAACGCATTTCCTGCCTTGGATTTATAAAAATGTGAAATAAAACTCAGATTAGTTTTATTCAGTTTTTTACCATTGTCATCCTCGCATCATCAAAGCCGACATAATAATATATAATATAATTAAGAATCATTGACTAAAAATTTATATATAAATAAAAATGAAAATTTTTATTCCTATAATTTATTCTTATGCAATTTGTTTTATGAACTGTTATCATTAGCAAAATAAATAGCAAAACAACATGTTTATCTAGGAACAAGTGATGACACAAAAATTTTAAATTGTAACAAAATATTTTATAATACTATACATATACAACTATATAAAAAATAGTTTATACAATTTTAATGTTATATTATTCCTGTCATAAAGCAATCCATATATATTGATATTTCCTTATTGCATTGAAATGATCTTCTTTTGAAGATTATGTATTACAGTTGCTCACATTTAAATGTTGCATAATGTTACTTCAATCATAAAATAAACTGTAAATTGATATCTATTTTTCCATCAATATGATTTTTATGTTTCGCAGCTGCTCACGTTTAAATGTTGCATAATGTTTCGTGCTAAAGAAAAGAACCGAGACAAAAATCGAATTCATAACATTCATTTGTAATATACTATATAATATAAAATTACCTTGAAAATAACATGTATCGTAATTATCGTCAGGTTGTGGTATAAAAGGTGGCGTCGCTTTTAGCGGCTCATTCCAAGGGAAGTCCTGAAAAAGTTTCATGACTCGTACTTCTTGTGCAGAAGGACGCTCATATTGATCTAAAGTGAGAAGTGCATCTATAGCTTCCACAGCAACTGTTGACAGAGCTTCTTCTTCCTCTGGCCAAGGAATATCTTTAGCAAGAATATTAGAAAATACAGCATGTGGTGTTTCATCGTTAAATGGTGGAACACCTGTGCAAAATTCAAACAGGCACACGCCTAAAGCCCACCAATCCACTGCAGCTCCATGACCTTGTTTTAAAAGTAATTCTGGTGCAAGATAATCAGGTGTTCCAAGAATACGATCATCTGATCGATTGACAGCTTGACCGCCTCTTCTTACCGATTTCGGAGTTCTGTAAGGTGTGTAACAATTGCCAGAAGTTGCAGGTGTTTTTATGGGAGATATAACTTGAGGCGATCGATGTTTCTCAGAATTATCACCTATAGGTATCTCAGGAGCTGAATGTGATGTAAGAACTGGTGGAAGTTGAAATCTTGTCGTTTTAATCAAACGTACTGTTTCTTCTTCGCATGTTTCTGCATCTTCTCCACTATAGCATCTCTGTTTCGTGAATGATACTGGTGTACTAAATGCAACTCTTCCACTAGATCCACTTTCTTGTACCATACCTGTATCATTAGTATTGTTCGTTTGTTTTACTGATTCAGAAATAACGGAATTGATTGGACTTCTAGAAAATATACAACCACGATTTTTTCTTTTTGGTGTTTTATCAACATCCAAATCCATTATACTTAATTCACACGTTAAACCAGTTGTTCCTCCTGTTGCTCTTTTTCGTTTTGCACCTCTGGTAAACGTATTTGTACATGTACTTAATGGACTAGTATGAGGAAGAAGTTGTTGAGATTGATCTGCTTCTAATGTAGATTCGTCCTCCTCTTCTAAATTTTGATTAAATTGATTATTAACGCGAACTGAAGATGCCTCACATGTATGATAACTTCCAGAGCTACTTTCATCATCTTCATTTTTTTTTTCAACAATAATATGTTCCAAACGTTCCGTTAAATGAAGATCTTCTGCAGATTGAAAAGGGGTAATACCAGATACTCGGGAATAATCTCCTGATGCAGCAGATGAAATTATCGAATTTGGTGAAGATTGAAATTTAGTTGAATTTTGTTGTAAAGCAGAAAGTAAATTAATACCAAGTGTACTTTTGTCACTAAGATTAGATTCACTTGTCGATCTTTGTCCAGAACCAAAAGATAAATGTGATGTCAAAGAAAGAAGTTGTCCAGGAGTTCTAGTACAAAGACTGGGCGTACAATTAACTAAATCTGATATTTCAAGATCTCTATGCAAAGATATATTACTAAGCCCAAAATCTGTCAACTTGACATGTCCTTCTTTTGACAAAAGCATATTATCTGGTTTTAAATCCCTATGTACAATTCCATGAGAATGAAGATATTCTAAAGCAAGACATACTTCTGCAGTATAAAAAGCTGCCATAGACTCTTCCATATAACCATATACACCAAGCAAACTTTTAAGATCTCCACCAACCATGTACTCCATTACTAAATAAACACTACTAGCAGATTGTAATGAATAAAATAATTGTACACAATATGGACTACGTGTCAAAGCTAAAGCATTTCTTTCAATGATCACTTGTGAAGCCATATTTTTATTTATCATCTCATTTTTTTTCATTACTTTAATAGCATATACTTTCTCAGGATTTGATTTTTTATGTCCAAGAAAAACTTTGCCAAATGCACCACGACTTATTGGTTTCACAATTTTAAAATCTTGAATTTCTGGTACCTAAAAATTAAATGTAATATTAAATAAAAATATGAAACTATCAAATTTTAAGTCTGAAAATTTTTTTTATTTAAGTAATAATATATATAATATTTACCTTTGCTGTGGGATTAACAATTTTAGATATAGTATTAAAAATAGAATTATTGATTTGTCTGCTTGTTGATACCTGTTGCGGCGTACATTCCCCATATAGAATTTCATGTTCATTTCCTGAGTCATTATAATTTATACGAGAATTTTCGTCGTCTGTTTCATTAATTTGGTCATTATCGTTTAGACGTGAATTTGGCGAATTAATCGCCGCTTCTTCCATTTGAAAAAATAACCTAATCAACTGAATTACAAACTTATGTAGTGGAACTTAAAATATTGAAACCTTGATTCATGAAATAATTCCACAACACAAAAAATGTGAAATTTTATTCATCGTTTCTTCATATTTTATATTATTCTCTTATATACGCAAATAAATCTTAACGGTTATCTGAACATATTTGAAAGTTAACATATGTACGACCATGTGACAAGAAAATATACTACATACTTCAAGTAACTTAAAATAATCAGAACCGCCAACAATAATTCTTTTTTACTAATTATCATTATACAATATAAATAAATTGTATTTAATAACTAATAAGATTTTTCATTCTGATTATAGAAAATAATAATTTTGAATTTATTATATGCATTCTAATTAGAAATATTTTTTATAACATTTAAGTGCATAGGAACTTCCGTGACTTTGAAACGGTTGCACTGAGACACTTACAATTCCCGCCTTTAAATTTTTTGTATTCATAGCTTCTTTGCATTACTGCACGAAACGTTGAAAAGATAAAATAGTGTGTGCAGTATATGAAACATTTATTTAAATATAAATTTGTCATAATATTGAAATTATATTATATAGTTTTTAAAATTATTTTTAATTTTTTGTTCGGAAATATACATTATAATAATATATTTTTGATAACCTTATGATGTCTGACAAGATAGTAAAAAGAGCACCTAAAAAAAAGGGAGCAAATGCATATAAATTGCCAGATCCAATTTCTGCTGGTGAAATATTGACAGATATGGGAAAAAAACAATGGATTCTTGGCGTATCAATCGGTATTGGTGGTTTTGGTGAAATTTATTCTGGTATGTATTATTCTTATCATTGGACACTGTATACATACATTTATGTCTTTAATTCATATATATCTTTTCTACTTCATATATCTTATTTAATCATTATAATAATTGTAGCTGCACCTTATAATGGAAAAGTTCCAAATGAATATCCTAATGTAATTAAAATTGTAAGTATCTATTAATTTATATTTATTTGTTTGGATGTTTATTATTTTATATGAAATCATTAAATTTTCCAAATTTTAGGAACCACATGGAAATGGTCCATTATTTGTAGAAATGCATTTTTACATGAGAAATGCCAAACCAAATGAAAGTGAGTTATTTAAATTTCAATATTTAAATATAAATAATTTTTATCTATGTAGATTTACCTTTTTAGTTTTACTGTACATTTTATATGCATATATTATGAAACTAGTATAGAAACAGAAAGAGTACCATGTAATTGGTTTTAGTTGATAATTGGAGAAACAAAAAGAAACTTCCAGCACTTGGTATGCCTCGATATATTGGCTCTGGTAGTCATGAATATAAAAAAACAAAGTATCGATTTATAGTAATGGAACGATATGGTACAGATTTATGGAAATTATTTGAAGCAAATAATCGAAGATTTCCAGAACATACAGTATACAAAGTAGCTTTACAAATAGTAAGAGGCAATCCAAAACAAATTTTTATAATTCAATAATTTATAAAAAAAATATATAAAGTATTACAATATTATAATTATTTTTTAAGTGAATTATTATAATATTATTATATTATATTATATATTATTATTATATTATATATTATAATATTAATATTATTATAATTTGTATTATCATAAAATTTTTAGATAAATGTTCTAGAATATATCCACCATAAGACATATGTACATGCAGATATAAAAGGAGCAAATTTATTGTTAGATTTAAAATCTAAAAATCAAGTTTATCTAGTAGATTTTGGATTGGCTTCTCATTATACAACAAAAGATGAATACAAATTAGATCCAAAGAAAGCCCATAATGGAACTATTGAATATACTAGTAGAGATGCACATATGGGAGGTAATAGTTAATATAATTGTTAATAGTATAGTTATAACCATTCAGTAAAATTTAATGTAATTTTATTAATATATATATATATATATATAGTACCAACAATGCGCGGAGATTTTGAAATTTTGGGTTATAATATGATTCAGTGGTTATCTGGGTCACTTTTATGGGAGAAAAATTTATCAGATCCAATTACAATACAAAAACAAAAGGAAAAAGCTTTTGATAATATTCCAGAATTTTTAAATCAATGTTTTCATGGAACAATTTCAAATACTATACATAAATACATGACTTTATTAGCAAGTATAAAATTTAATGAAATACCAGATTATGAAAAATTTAAAAAAATATTAATAGAGGGATTAAAACAATTATCACACAAACCAGATGGAAAATTAGAATTTAAAACTGACATCAAAAATGATATTTCTCATAAACAAGTTCCAAAAACTACCCCACAAAAAATAAAAAATATAATTAATCGAAAAAGAAAAAGTCCTCGTATAAAATCAACAAAAAATGTAAGTCCTGTGAAAAATCTTGATGATAGCAATGTAGGAGTCGTAATAGACAAAAAACGTGGTGGTGTAAAAGATATTAAACTAGCATTAAATGAAATTGAGTCTGATGAAGAATATGATATAAAAATAGTTAAAAAAGCAAAAAAAAATTCTAGTTCTGTAAATAAATATAATGAGGAAAAAAGTTCAGTTAAAAGCAAGAAAAAAATTAATTATATTCACAATGAATCTGATTCTGAACCAAAGGTATATAATATATATATATTTTTTAAATTTATTAAAAATAGACATTTATTATTTATATATATTATATATATTTGAATAGATAATATCAAAAGGTACTAAATCACGGCCCATAAATATTCGAAATGCAACATCTAAAAGTGCAAGAGCAAAAATAATTCAAGAAAGTGCATCTGAGGAAGACATGTTTAGCACATAATTATAAATATGACGTGAGTATTAATACTTCAAATGTTTATACACATTGAGAATCCTTATTTAGTGAATTTTGTACATTAATGTATTTATAGTAACTTGTATTTATAAAACTATTGATATAATTGTGCAAAAAAAATATTATTTGCAATTGCATTTCATTATCTTTATAATTTATATTGAGAAAAAATAATATATTTTGATACATTTGCATGATAAAAAATTGTATAAAATATGTAAAAGTTTGTAATTAATGCTGACAATTGAGCAGTATTAATTTTCTGTATTTATATAAAAATAAAGAATTTTCTATAAATTATTTAATGATTAGATTTATAAGATATTGAAGATTTAAACAAACGAAATATTATCAAAAAAGTTTTATAAATGTATAACTTCTATACAAGTAAATCATTATATATCATTATATATATACAATACATAATCATTATATATATACAAATATATATTTATTAACATTGTTTACAAATTATATTTGAATTATCTATTTTTTTAGTTTTTGTATCTGTGGTGCACTTATCTTAACTTTTCCTGGAATATTTCTAGCTATTGTTTCTTCTTTCACTGCTTTTAATAAGTCTTTTTCTCTTAATGTAATTTCTTTATCTTTCATAAATACTGCCATAGCAGTTTTTGCTGCCTTTCCTCTTTTACCTGTTCCTGGAGTTAGTTTTACTTTAAATCTGAAAAAGTAAATAATTTATAATTAAAATTTTAATGTAATATGCTATAAAAATAAATGATTTAACTTACTTATAATTAAGCACAGTGTTATAAGGCGCTACTACTGGTATAGCAAATAATAATTCATCTTCTGTAACAGGTTTTCCTGTTAATTGATCTAACATATCTATTTCAGGTCCTGGACCTGTGTCTTCTTCTTCAATATTTTCTACAATTTGAGAATTTTGTGGTGGAACTGATTTCATTATACTTTTTTTTTTCATTTGTTGTTTTGGTCCAGATGGATCTTTATTTCTATTTTTTTTTTTATCTTCTTTTGCATTACCTGCTGACTAAATATTATCACATTATTATAATAAACTTTTTCTAGTAGTAAATATAAATATCATGAATACAAAAGATGTTTACTTGAAGAACTTGCATAGATAATCTTCTATCCTCTTCATCTTGATCTTTATATTTTTCTTTCATTTTTTTCAATCTTCCTTTTTGTCCTCTTTTTAAAATCACTTGATCATTTTTTTTACTATCTATTTCAATTTTTTCTTTATTTTCTTTTTTAAACGATTTTTGTTTAACTTCTAAATCTTTATTCTTACACGTAGTATTTATTAATACAGGTTTATCATCGCCTAAATAAATAATATTTTCTACAACTTCCTGTGACATTGCAGTTGGCTGATTATTATCAACATGTAACTTTACTCTATAAAAATAAAATATGTAATATAATATAATTTTAAAATAAAAAGTATATGTATATATATGTATAAATTATATAATTTACTTTGAACTAGAAATATCAATTTTAATTTGTGTATCAGGAAATTGAAATGGATTGTCTTCTTCATTGCTATCTTGATTAATATTTTTTTCTTCCATAAATAAATCTTTTTTATATTCTTCCTGAATAGGATTTAAATTATTCTTATTTTCAGATTGTTCATCTATTTAATTTAAAATTGTAAAATAATGAATTAATAATATTAAAATAATTTATTATACATAAAATATATATTTATTTATACATAAAATAATATTTCACCTTCAGAATCTTCTATTAATTCAATTTCTTTATCTTCTTCAATAAAAGATTCTATATGCTCATTTTCATCATCAATAATTCTGACCTTTCTTTCGTCTTTATGCCTTTCAATTGAACTTTCTTCTAAACGAAACAAAAATCCTAATCCCATAACTAATTGACATGGTGGCAGATAATTCTTCTTTCCACGAATCATAAAAGATCCAGTAGTAAGATATTCACCAGTTGGAGCCGTTTTAGAAACTTGATCATTATTTACCCACCATGCTCCTGCTACTACTTTAGCATCCCATGCAATACTAATATCATAATTATAATGTTTTTATAATAAAAAAATATATATATAATTAAATATTAATAATTATATACCTGTAGGCAACGGCCATTGTACCTGCTTCAGCTAAAGTTTTTGGAGGCACAGTACCTCCACCAGGATTTTTGATAATAACAGAACTTGCACCAGTTAAATCTGCATGAACATATATATCTCCAGTTTTTAGATATCTTTTTACTATCAATTCATTTTGTTGTTGATCTCTTCCACCAATTACTATAAAATTATATTATATTATTAAAAAGAAATTACTTTTATTATAGATATTATATATTTTTTAATAATTTACCAAGATAATTTTCAGAACTAATAAACCAATAAAATTTTTCAAACCAATATATTTTCCTTAATTTATTAATACTATGAATAGTTTGTACTTCTTTTAGCGTTTGTTTTGTCTTTTTTTCTGCTGATTTTAAAGCCTTATCTTGTGATTCAATTGTTTTTTGTTGCTTTTTAGCTGCTGATCTCTTTTGATTATAATATTTCCTAGCATTTCCAAAAGCTGTATGTGCTAAATCAATGTCAATTAACATAGGTTTCAATTCAGATTCTTCATCACTATCTTCATAAGGATCATGTAATAATAAGGAAATATGATTTGTTTCTAATTTTAATTGTTTAATTGCAGATGCAACAGGATCACCTTTACTTTCTGCTTCTTTTAATAATACCTTTATATCTGGCCAAGCCATTTGATTTGCAAGAGCACTTTGTATAGCTAATATGGCATTATCTACTAAACTTTGGTTTCTGGAAATTAATTCTGCTTTCTGTTTATCTAATTCTTGGGTTTTTTCTAATGTTATTAATCTCTGATCATGATCTTTCTTCACATTTTCTAATTTTTTAAGAGCTTCACGTTCTTGTTGTAAAGCTTTCAAATCCAACTTTTGACCTTCCATTGTAGAAAAATATTCATCTACTGCAACATCAAAAGAAGCAAATTCTTTATATGGATGATCTTTATATTGTTCAAATAAAAATGGATGAAATTCAATATTAGTATATATAAAATCTTTTTGGCCATCTGTTGTTGGTTTTATTTCTTTTTTTTGAATTATGTATCCTTTTGAAATATTTTGTCTTGCAGAATTCATCATATCATTTGCATATTCTAATGCTAGTATTAATTTTGACATATCTTCTTCAATATTAAAATCTTTACCAATTTTACAACCCAATGTGAATCCATATTTTAATAAGACATGATCAATCACAGCAGAACCAAATTCTAGAAGTGGATTTAGTATTTTTTTTAAACTTTCTCCTATTTTGGCATTTTGTAAATGTTGTTGTATATTTTCTATAGGTGGCATTATATTTTGATGAGCACGATCCATAGGATATTTCTCTTTAACTGCAAATCTAATAAATGTATATTTTTTAATCTTTTTATATTTTATGTGAAATATAATTTTAATATTTAAAATTTATTTTATATCTTTTATTACCTAATTTTATCTCCTTCTGTGTGAGGTCTTAAAATATTTAAAATAGTCATTTCATAATCTGTTAACACAATATTTCCACGATCATATAATTCTAAAATTATATGATAAGCTGCTTCACCACTTCCAAATTGTAAATCAATCATTCGATCTACACCTATTTGAGTAAGACTTTCAAGTCGTTTATTTTTAAGATGTTTTCGCATCTGCGAAAATAATATATAATATATTATTTTTTTAAATAAATAATAAATTTAAATTCTATCATATACCTTCATCGAAAATCCTGAAGGTGCTACATTTTTTGGCCATTCAAATACTGTTGTATGAATTCTATTGCCAGATTCTAATAAAAGAACACATTTTTCTTCACTTCGTTGAAGACGTATAAGATAAGTTCGATGGTCAATATCATAGACTTGATTTACGCGCATACCAATAAGTCTAAATATTAAAATTAAAATAAAATTATCAAAATTATAAAAATATTTAATCTTAAAAAAAAAACCTTAAAAAATATGTCAAACCTAACCTTTATGCAATAATTCACTTACTTTTGCAACTCATTTATTGTACAAGCGATGTCATATGAATTAAATCTCGTTTTCATTTTTATAGATATATTATTCTTTACTATTTAATATTTAAAGAATTGAAAAATTAAAAATTAATAATCTTGAGTTCACGCTTACTTTTACGTTGCGCACATATGTATCGCAAATGACATATCGAAAATATATATATGTATATCGTGATATTTATACACTATTAAATTCTATTCATTAAAGATAGAAGTTTGCAAGTAAAAATATACATGTGCACAGCATATAATATGTATTATAAATTTAAAAATTCATATTCTTTATATAATTTATATAATTTATATAAACATTATTTATTGTCAAATACATATTTCGTAAAAAATTTTTATTTTTAAAAATAAAATTTAAAAATTTCGTGAATTTTTTCTCAGGTTATTTTTCTAATATAAAACTAAAATTTTTAAAATTAAAAATTTTTGTCTATATTTACAATTATTTGAAAAATATAATTAAAAAAATTCCAATGTACAAAAATTTGAAAATATATAAAAGAATACAAATTTTTTTTATATATTTTATTCAATAATACAAATAAAATGTAATGTGAAATTTGTAGATATTAACGATAAGATTTCTGGTATCTTGCTCTTGCACCTGGACCACCAAATTTCTTTGGTTCACATCGTCTTGGATCAGCAACCAAAAGAGTGCGATCATATTGAATAAGAATATCTTTTACTTCCTTTTTACTTGCTTCATCAACATCTAAAAAAAAATATTTCATGAAAATAATTTATATTTAAAGTTAAAATATATATGTATAATGTTAAATTTTTTAATATATAATTTACATTTTTGATAATATGCTACAAGAGCTTTAGAAATTGCTTGTCGAATGGCATAAATTTGTGCTACATGACCACCACCATTTACTCTTACTCTGATATCCACTCCAGAAAATTTTTCCTATATAAAAAATAACAAGTAAAATATTATTAAAATTAAATTAATTGTTAATAAAATAAAATTAAATTGTTAATAAAAAATAGATAAATATAAATTTTCTCAGTACTTTTATTTTTATAATCATGAATAATCATGTTCGGAATAAGAGAACATCATAGAGCAACATTAAAAAAAATGATAGTAAATACATATGAATATTTAAAAAAAAATTAATATTTTTCATCATCATTTAAAATAATATAACAAAACACATATTAAATTACATAAAATTAATATATTTTCTGATACTTACTTTGCCGAGTAACAAAATAGGTTCTTGCAATTTGTATTGCAATACACGAGGTTCAACTAATTCCAATGGACGTCCATTTACTCGAAGATTTCCACGGCCTCGTTTGCAATAAGCAACTGCAGTAGCACTTTTCTATAAATATAAATGTATATTTGAAAGAATATACGCAAACATAACCTCATTCATTTATTGGCAATTTATACTTACTTTGCGTCCGAAGACTTGCACAGATTGAATCGGTTCTTTTTGTTTCTGAAAAAAAAATCAAACAATTTAATATAAATACATAAATTTACTTTTTATAAAGAAAAAAATTTATAAAATTTATAATTTAAAAAACCTACCTTCTGCATTTTGGAAAGCACGTCGTAAAAAGGAAGTAGACAAAAGCAGTACGTTTGGATACAAACTACATTAGTCAAATTTAAACTTTAAATAACTTCCGCTAATCAGCGTGATATATAAAGAGATCGATTAAGTAAGTTTTTCAATTTACATTTTAATACAATTTTATATAAAAATATATTACAACATGATAGAGTGAACTTTATTTAATGATTTTTTTATTATGAAAATGCAAAAATTATTCATATAATTTTCTATCATTTTATACGTGATTTTATTGATTCATATAGAATAAATTCCATAGATAAAGCATTTACTTATATATATTTTTTTAATAAAATGTACATAATAATAAAACTAATACAATTATTTATGAACTTAATTAATAATTTCTTTATATAATATTTAATTATTTACATAAATATTTAAATATGAAAGAAATGTGAAAATTATACGAACTATAAATAAACTAATTGCACAAAAAATATAAAATATATACTAGTATTACAAATATATTTATTTATTATTATCATTATTAAATATACAATAATGATAAGTAAGAAAAAAAATTTTTTTACAATATTCATAAAGTAAGTAAACTATAAGAAAATATGTACTATTATATTATTTCATAACAATTTACGTATTTATATAGTTTATTTATATCGATTTTATGCACAATCAGGAACATTGTGTTTGTAATTACAACTATTGATCTTTGTATCAAATACAAGATTTTTAGGACAATGGAATTTGTTTATAATGTATTTACCGTTTACATTTTGACAATAATAAAATATTGAACAATCTTGTGGATCTCGAACGTAGCCCTCCTGTGTGCACACAGAATTCGGTGATGATGACGATGGTACAGATGACGATGATATAGTTGATGTACTAATGGATGCAATAGTTGTACTAGTCGACGTAGAAATAGTTGTACTAGATACGATAGTTGTTGTGCTATTCGATATACTACTAGTTGTGGATGCAGCAGTCGTAGTTGCAGTAGATGGATTATGTCCCTTTAACACCCTATTTATTGTATTCAAAAGTGAATACTTTTCACCACACGTACCATGGAAATCATCGGTTTCGATGCTCCACATCATTATACCACCGAGACCATTATATTTAACATAATTAACCTTTTCTTCAACAGATCTGAAAACATTATTTCCTATGCATTTTTATTTTTTTTCATTTTTAATATCTATTACTATTTTATTATAATGTTAATTTATTAAATACTTACACGACGTCATCATATCCAACCCATTGATTGTTTTTAAAAGCATAAGGTACACGTTGTTCAGGTTCGCGTACCACGGTCCAACCCTGATCAATGAATTCACAAATTTCATTATAACCAAGCATACCATTTTCTCGTGTGTAAGGTCCAGCTTGTCCAGCACCTATAGTTTTATCTCCTGGTTTATTGTTTATGGAATTTGCCAAAGTGAAAGATCTACCGTAAGCTGGAATACCAACAATGAGCTTATTAGCTGGTGCACCTTCTGAAAGCCAATATTGAACAGACGAATTCTAAAATATAATAAATATATGTTTCATATTAATATTGAATTAATATATAATATTTTTAATATTAATTTTAATATTTTAATATTATTTTTTAGTATTTTAATATAATTGAGAATGGAAACATACCACGTTAAGCTCAGCTTGAGCTCCAGATTCGCTAGAGGAAGCGTATAGAGGAGCATTAATCGCTGCAAAATTGTTCCACGATCCATTTAAATCGTATGTCATAAGATTAATAAAATGAACATATTTCGATACTTCAGAAATATGATATGATTTCAAAGCTGAAGATTTAGCAGCAGCAACCGCTATACTGAGGATGTAATTATATTTATTGAATTCTTGTCTTAATTCTTTTAACAAGGCAACAAAGTTTTTTTTGTCAGCTTCTTTGCCACCACGTTGATTCGGATATTCCCAATCTACGTCGAAACCATCAAAATTATATTTTTCCAAAAAGGCAACCACGTTTTTGACGAATCGAATTCGAATTTCAGGATTAGCAACAACTTCAGAATACTTATAGGATCCTTCGTTCCAACCACCTATTGCTATTAATGCCTTAGTATTAGGGCTCAATTGACGAAGTCTAGTAAATTTTCCATAACCATCCTTGCCATTTGGTAGATCCATCCAACTATCTAATATTCTGATATTACCATCATTAGCAATACCAATAAAAGTATAGATCATATGAGTGCATAATGTCGGATCTATATCGGTAGGTTCGAACTTTCCAAGTCCAGGGCGATAAGCAGCCCAGCTACCATAATAGCAAACGATTTTTACTAGATAATAAAAAAACATTATTATATAAAATTTATAACAAAATTATTTTAATTAATATAATATTAATTCAATCAAAATACAAAAATTAATATTATAGAAATAAAAGAAGGAAAATTAAAATTATAGAAATAAAAGAAGAAAAATTAAGATTATAGAAATAATTAACAATATCGATTACATTGTTCAAAGATAACATATTAAAAATCATTAATTTTATCAGTTTTATATTATTTGATGCTTACTATCGGTTGCGATGGTTACAACGGCATGTGCCAGGAAAGCGATCAAAAATACTATTTTCGACATCTAAAAGCAAATAGATTTTAAAAATATAATATATGAGAAACTTGTATAATTTGAAATATAAAAGATATTAAAAATCCTGCAATTATGAAATTTCTCCTTCTAAAAGCTTATATATATATATATATATATATGTTTTTATATATATAAAAATCTAAATCTAATAAATTTTTACAAATTATACAACAAAAAATCGAGTTTATATGTATCTAATAATTTATAAATTCCGATATCTTAATCTTTTTTATCATTTAAATGTACTAAAAACAAAATTTTTAAGATATCTGAATGTTTATATTATCATTGACAACGAATGGAAATCAATTTTTTCCCTTATTTCTTCAGTTTATTGACACAAGTGTTATGCAAGAATAACGAATAATAAGAATAAATTATTGCCATTATTTCTACAATATAAGGAAAACATAAAATAAAATTAAATTAAATAAGATAGTTTAGTAATAGATAATTAATATTGTTTAAAAATTTATTTAAAAATTAATTTAAAAATTATCAAGAATATTTCATGAAATACTATTTAAAAACTATATAATAAATAAAACTGCCAGATATATATCAATATATATCGAATGTTAAAATAAAATAAAAAAATAAGAATAACATTTTTTATTTAAAACTTTGTTTTTAGAAAAATCAAATTTAAAAATTTGTTAATGCTCGTCTGAATCAATTATTGATGAAATGTTATGAAGATAAGTAAAAAGGAAATAAAAATTTTTTGTTTAAGCTTTTGTTTTGAAGAATATTAAAATTTTTTTTTATTTATTTTTTTGAATGTAAAATTTTTTTTTGCGATCATACTATTCGATCATATTCTATATAATTATAATATAATATTTCTCAATAATATGATATTAAATAATTAAATATAAAACGAAGATAAAAACATTACCTGTTTCACTTGGAAAATCCACTTGCTATACTTGACATTAGTTGTCTTACTAGTTAAGTTAGATTGTTTGTCTTTAAATTCAATAATCATTTTTAAAAATTTACCGATAGAGAAATAGATAGATTAAGTAATAATTTTTTCTAGATTTATTTAATTTATATATTATATTTATATACTATCGAGATTTATATATTATCAATAAATGATTTTATTGATAATATATAATTAATCATCAAAATCATATTCAATTGCAATTAATTATGTATGTGTTATAAAAAATGAATTATATCACATTTTTTTTCTAATCTAATCTATTATCAAATAAAAATTATCAATCATTATAAATTAAAATGAGATATTTGATTTTATTTCTTTTATAAATAATTTCTTTTTATAAATAAATATATTAAAGTAAAACTAACGAAACTTTCATAACATATTCAAGTAGTATATATTGAAAATATAAAAATTTTAAACATATATTTATTTTATACACATTATATTCATATCAAATAATATAAAAGCTAGTTCTATTACAAAACGATAATTTTCCAGTAAATTTTATCTAATGATAAGATATGTATATAAATACGTATTTTATTTTTGTAATGATAAATGAGAAAAATTTTATTTTATAAAATTCTGCTAATTAGGCGAAAAAATACATTATTTACGTTGTTATAAATTTTAATATTAATAATGGAAACTTTTATATATATTTTTATATATTTAAAAAAAAATAATAATTTAAAACTCATTTACTTTTTATAAGTAAAATTTTATTTACATATATTTTTATTAACAATATTTTAATGAAATATATTACTTACTATTAAATTACAATAAAGAAGAATAATAAAATATTTGAGATTTGGAATACAATTTTTAATTTTTTGGTTTTTTATATTTACGCATTTCATTTTTTCTTATTAGTGCTTGTTTGCGAACAAATCTCCAATATTGTTTTGTATTAGGATTTAAATCTGATAATTGTAATTTTTCAATTCTGATATTCCATAACCATTCAGGATATTCAGAATCTGGCTTTAGCTTTATGTCTTCTCCATCTTTATAAATATTTAATCCACATACATAATTTAATAACTTATTAACATCTTCTTCAACTGGTATTTCTATTTTTTGGCGGGTTCCTTTTATTTTCTTTTTTTCTAAAAAATAAAATAATATATTTATAAAAACACTCTAATTATTTAAAATTAATATGTTGGTTTTAATGTATTAACAAAATTTGTAACAAAAAATGTAAAAATTACAAAATAAAATACATATAACCTATAATAAAATCTTTAATAAAATTATTCAAATTATACATAAATTATTTGACAGAAATATATATTCTAACCAAAAAAAGATTTAGATTGCGTTGCATATTGTACAGAAATAATATTTCTTGTAACTTTAGGCAATCGTAAAATAGGTAATAGAAAAAACATAATAAATATCAATGTACATATAACAAATTCAAATTCTATCATACTAAATTCCCTAGTACTTTTAATAGTACTAATAGTGAGTAAAATAATATAATATAAATTATAGTTTAATTTTAATTAAATATTTTTTATTTATATTCATGTAATATTAAAAACTAAAAATATAATGTTAATATGAAAAAATTTAATAAATTATTTTACCAAATTTTAATTATTAATTATTTAATTATTTTTTCAAATTAATAATGATTTTAAATTTGATTAACATTAAATACTTTTAAATTTAGGTACTTAATATGTTAAATTTCATTAAAATATTTTTTAATAGAATTAATAGAATTATATATAAAAATATCTTATAAATTAATAAAATTTATTTATTTGTTTTTGTTGAATGCAGTTATTTTGCAAAATAGTTATAACGCGGAATTTTCAAATGTTGACAACCATAGTAAATCAAATGCGCAATGACAAACAATAAATGTTAAACTATGTTATAATTTTATGAAGATTTAATAAAAGAAATTTAATAATATATATTAGATTTAGTTTTATTAAGATTTAATAAAAAAATTTTATAATATATTATAAATTATGAACATACCAATATTTTTTTAAATGATTAAAATTAAACTTATAAATCTGTGATATAATATATTAACTGTTCTTTTCTGTTATGTAATGCCAGTAAGCAACAATAGAATAACGCGGGTATGTTCGATTTTATCATGAAATATTAGATTATTGTATTTCTAATTTCATTTTAAGTCATAAACAAAAAATATAATATATAAAATATAAAATATATACATATATATTTATTTATATATTCATCACATAGATGGATTTAAAATTTATAATATTTTTATTTAATATTATTTAATAACATTATTTTTCTTATTTTTTTAATGTTTTTTTATGTCTTGAATTATAATTAAATAAATAATAATAAATTTAATATTTTTAGACAAAAACAGTAGATTTTGATATAAAAGGAATTAAGGGAGAAGCAATAAAAACTCATACTAAATATCAACAAAATAATAATTTTTTGACAATTGTTCCTGCTTTACCCATTTTACCTGGAGCTCTTGTACCATCAAAGTTATTTAAGCGTCGTTATAATTCATTTAGGTATTGTATTAATAGATATATATATTATATCTTTATTCAAAACTAAATGTGATTTTTATATTAAAAATTTATAATATTTTATATAAATGTCATATATAGTCCAACAGATTCTCCATTTAATATAGAATATGACAAAGTTGATGGTTCTAATTCAGTTAATTTACAATGGACAAGCGAAGGAAAAACTGTCATGGCAACAAGAACAGCTTCAGAAAAAGAGAAGAATCCTGACAGAATATGTCTTGATAGAAGAGGACTTACTTCTTTTCCAAAAATAATTGGAGAATCACGTTTACGTTTATTGTCTCTTCAACATAATCTTCTTACAAAGATTGAAAACTGTAATTTTTTACAATTAACAAAATTAGTATTTCTTGATTTATATGATAATCAAATTGAAAGGATATGTAATTTTGAAATATTAGAAAATTTAAGAGTATTATTGATTGGAAAAAATAGAATAAAAAGAATCGAAGGATTAAATCATCTTTCTAAATTGGAAGTTTTAGATCTTCATGGGAATCAAATTGTACAAATTTCAGATTTAAGTAATCTTATATCTTTAAAAGTATTAAATTTAGCTGGAAATAATATTAAAATAATAGGACATAATGATTTTCAAGGTTTAACATCATTAAAAGAATTAAACCTTAGACGTAATAAAATTAAGAAGTTATTAGGTTTTGATGAAACACGACAACTACAAAAATTATATTTAAGTAATAATGATATATATAAGTGAGTATTTTGTAAATTATATGTAAAAGATGTAACATATTAAAAAAATATATGTAAAACAATCTTTATTAATCAATATTTAATATTTTAGAATTGAAGATATAGGAAGTCTTGCTAAAGCATTACAACTTAGAGAAATAACAATTGATGGAAATCCCATAACCCTAAATGGAGATTATGTTTCTTTTCTTGTGTCATATTTACCAAATTTACAATCTTTATCAACAATGCAAATTACTGAACAAATTCGAAAAACTGCTATGGCATGGAGAACAGCAAAAGAACAAAATAATTCTACTTTTTTAAATCTTAGTGCACAAGTTTGTATGAATGCTCGACGAGAAGAAATTATATCGAATGCTAAAATAAATTGGGAACTCCTCAGATCTCATTCTAAATCCTTGATAGATGATCATAATAAAAATAATAGTCGAAGCAATAATATTAATGCAGTACAAATTCAAAAATCGGATAAATTCAATATATTAAAGGAAAATTTAGGGAAAATAAAATCGAAAGGTTTTGGGAGTTTAACATCAATAAATGAAAATGTAGAAACAACAAAAATAAATATAAAAAAAAGAAGTAATTCTAATGATAATTTATTTAGATTAAAAGATACGACTAAAGCATATCAATTAGAATTTAAACTTCCACCAATTTTAGATTCTATTATAAATAGTTTAATAAATAATAAATTTGAAAAAATAAAAAAAAATCTAACAGAAACAAAAACTAAAAATAACATTGAAAGTTTAACAAATAATGATTCAGAAATTTTAGAAAGTTCTGAAAACATACAAAGTTGTTTAAATTCTCATTTAAAATTAAATTTGTTAAACTCTAACAATTATATTTCTCGTAATATTAATAAAATTACAAATAAAACATTTGAATCTATGAATGTTTTTCCATCAAACATTGTTGATGAGCAAGAGAATAAGTATTATGATATATTTAATTCTTCTAAGTTATCAACAAATAACAAACAAAATTTAACAAAAATATCTCAAAATATAAAGATTCATGATCAACATGGATTAAATGATTACCAATCAAAATCAAGTATTGATTCTTCTGGATATGGTTCTTTAAGTTCTAAAACTAATAGTATTGATAGTTGCAAATCAGTGCTAAGTGATTGTAGCATATCATCCACTATTAAAAATATAAATATAGAAAAAAATAAAAACAAAGATAAAAGAATTGCACAAGCAAAAAAAGTAGTATGTTATAAGAATAATAAAATAGCAATTACTAGAGCTAAAAAAAAAATTGAAACACTACCAACTCCATTACAAAATTTATCAAAAGAAAGAGAACAAGGTATAAAATAATAATAGAAATATTTATATTATAATATTAACATTAATGTTAAAATTTGTAGGAGGAGACTATTTAATAGAAATAGTTGGACGTTGCTTAAATATTTATGGTCAAGGTGCATTACGTTTCATCGATCGATTATGGGATTCTTCAAAAGCTGAAGACGTTAATATAGTTAAATTTAATTATGTACAGTTTAATGATGTGGCCAAAATGTTATATAAAATAAAAAATAGATTTCCAAATTTAGAACACTTTATGTTTAAAGAAACGAATATCAGTTATCTTGGACAACTTAATGCTTTAGCTGAAGTTCAGGGATTAACAAGTATTCATATAGAAACTGGAAATCCAATTATATCAAAAAATTGGAAAGTTTATGCTATATTTCGTTTAGCTCATTGGGGTTTGAAAGTTATTAATGGAAGAGAAGTAAATATTCTTTTTTATATATTTGTATTATAATATAAATATAATATATAATAATATTAAAAATCATTAATTACTAATACAAAATTATAAAATTGATAATTTTTGTCTGTTTTCTAATAGATTACAAATGAAGAAATTGACTTGGCAAACAAAGAATATGCTGGTCTCATTGATATTGTGATGTGTTCACTGCCCGAATATTTATTACAACCTTTATTACAAAGACTTCATTTAGATAAAGTGCAAAAACAAATTGGAGAAATTACTGCCAAACAATTTTTACTTAACAGTGATCCAGCTCTTAGAAATGTTGTTGCTAAAGAAGCATTGCAATGGAGAAAAGGAAATATAACACAGGTAATAAATTATTTTAGAAATATTGAATAAATAAAAATTAAAAAAAATGTAATTTAATCATTTGAAATTTTGAATTAAATTTTTTAATTATTATTTTTTTCTAAATATAGGAAGATCTTATTTGGAGACATAAGGGAAAAAAATATTTATTAAATTTAATAAATCTTACTGTAGATGCAATACAAAAGTTACAATTACTTGAAAATAAATGGCCAAGTATTTTATATGAAATAATTCATACTACTCTATTTGATTTTTCTGAGATGGATGCATATATGAAACGTTGCAGCAAAACACTTCAATATGATAAATAACAAATATTTATATATAATTATAGACATACATTATTGTATAATATACATAATATAAGAAAGAAGATTGATAAAATTGATTTAAATGTTCTCTATAAAATTATTTCATTATTAAATAAGTTAAATAAGTTTAAAAAATTTACATATTTATAAATTTATAAAATATATTAGTAAAATTTATGTATTCACATAAATTTTATTAATTTAATAATATAATTATTAATATAATAATTTTAGAAGTTACTTTTTGTATTTATTCATTCGTTTTTAGAAATTTTTTAACAAATTTAAAATACTTATATTAATAAAAATAAAATAATATTTATATATTTATGTATATATATATATATATATATAAATATATATTATATATATAATTACAATATTAATATACATTAATATATCAAATATATGTAACAAATTAGAAAGCTATTATTTAAAAAGATATATAATTATTATATACTTTTGGAAAAAAAGATTTAAAAATATATGGATTGCATTTCATAGGAAAATAATTTAAATTTTTAAAAATTTATATATATATATATATATATGAGTTTACTAACGCATAAAAATAATACTTACTTACAATGATGAAATGCAATTTCATATAAAATAATATATTCATTACGTATCACTTTGTTCCAATGATAGATTCTACACTAAAAGAAATTGTTGATTTCTTTTCTAAGCAAGATCCATTCTTAGCCACAGAAATATCGTTATGATCATTTACAGCGGAAGTGAAGTTATTAAAACTTTTCTTCATTTTACGAGGTTCCGTGACTTGTTCAAACCATGGAATCGTAGAATACATACTTGGGAAAGACTGTATTTTTTTCGAATCTTCACATTCTTGTTTATATTCTTGATTTTGTGACATACCATTCAACAATGGAGCATTAGCGGTGACTATAATAAAAAAATGATATTAATGTACAATGATATCGAGTAAAAAATACTAATATCATAGCAAATAAAAATATAATAAATATTAATAATAAAATTAAAGAATAAAAGAATTTTATAATTCCATTTATAGTTCTATTAAAAAAAAAAAAAAAATTCTAAATTAAATGTACATTTTGATTTATTATATAAATACCAACATGCTGCAGGTAAACCATGGATCGTTTTTAATCCATAGAATCCTTGAGTCACACTAATGCTAGTTTGCGTAAAATGCAATTGATGTCGTTGGATATTCTTTCCTCTTCGACAGATTGGTGTTTGATCAGTTTTAAAATATGAAGAACCGGCTGTATCAATCGGCGTGTGACAGACTGTTGAAACATTTTCACTGAAGAAATTTCCTTGAGCTTGCTGTTGTCTTCTGAGCGCAACTTGAGCGGCCATCACTCGTTGCCTTTCGACCACCAGCAAACAGCAAGGACAACGGCAATCCTTCCATGCACACGATTTTTTGTGACCCTTTAAACCGGAAATCACTCCGTGATTCCTGCATCTAGCACACTTTGGACTTCTTAAACGTTGCTCAATTCCAGAATTTATTTGATTCGAATTATTATTTTCAGTCTTCATCTTAGATAGTTATTCAAATGATATTCCTTAAAAATTACTTATTTTTTAATTTTTAATATATTATTGTTTGTATATTTTTGTATTGTATAAAAATGATCATCAAAGTATACACTATATAGAATTGATGTAATTTCATATTCTAAATCATTACATTATTTGATTATTAAATTTTCAAAAAAACGATTTAACAATTGTTAATAGATATAACGAAAATAAACAAGACTAATGACAAAATTTATATTTTATTGAAGTGGCGTGTCTTATTGAACTCATTTATCGAATATCTTTTCGCGAAATACCCGTCAAATTGTTCCCTCGTTTCCAGCTTCTTGTAAGATTCTAACCCGATGAAACAGTCAGTGTACACTGTTTGAATGAGTTATATACATAGAGGAATCTTTTTTCTCGGTTGAAGGAGGTGTCTCTGCATCTCCTCCTACCAATTCGAAATGTATTTTTAGAGAAGGAACATGTTGGGATTGGTTCGAAACGCGAAGAAACTCCGCCACCTTTGTAAACCAGGAGCCAATCGAGATCAACTTGAATCTCATTCTTCTTATTACTGTCAACTTGTATCACCTCGAGAAAAAGGAAAAGATCTTCGTTAAACTCTGTACAATTTCTTTGATTACGGCCACCGTGAGGGGATCACATGGATTTACCGTGAGCAAGTAGTAGGCACAGAGAATTGCTTTACGCAAAACGGACGAAGATTTATCGAGCATGACTCCCCCGCGAGGAACAGATATATACGCTTACTTATTTGTTCGATAAAAAAATGTAAATGAGATGAATCAACATCATCATAAACTAAAGCTAATAGTTTCTAAATTCGTTCAATCGTTGCTTGATCGTCGTTTTTTGAATTTAAAAATCAAAATATTAACGAGAAATTACTAACGATATATCTTTGTATTGATCAATCACACGGATGGAGGGAAATGAAATAACACAATTAAAATTCTCTTTTGGTAAACTCAATTTTCTCCTCTTTGAAATCTAAATCCAATCCTTCCCAGTCCGACAGAGTATATAGATTTTTACCCAAAACAAGGGTAGAACATAACGTTCAGGGATTCTTCTTTAACATTTAAGCATTGCCTGAGTTGAAAGAACACTCATACGTTAAGAAAACATACTCGAAACTAATATTAACTGTGCGTTGGCAACATCCGAGAGGATCGTATTAACGAGCTCTTAAAGCAAGATCACAGAAAGAATGCCATGTGGCCGCAGCTGGCGGTGTGTACCGTTGTTAGTCGAACGTGATTCTCTCTCTTCTATTTTTGCAGTATGGAATAGGACGAAAAGGGGTAGGAAGATTGCACTATCCTTCGCTTTCTGATACTTAAACGATATTATATTTTTAGTTGTAACCGAAAATGAGCTCGTTTTCTTGGACACACAATGACGTTTCTACGGATCAACTTTAGTAGCTATCTTCCACATATAAGTCTAAGAAAGTCTAAGAGATTTATATTCGAATAATATAAATCTCTTGGGTAAAATAAATCATCAAATTTCGATAGATTATTCTCTCTTTTAAAAGAACGACTTCTAAAAAAGTAAAAGAACTCTTTTTTTTTTTTTTTCTACGAGACGACGAAGGGAACCAAACAATCAGACAAGTTTAAATTTATATCCTGGTTGGATAGGAATGCATAAAACGCACCGAGGAATTTGCCCTAATGAGCGTGGAACGAAGGGGTGTCACTTTAGACGTTTCTCCCTTTTTCTCCATCAAGCATGGACAGCTTTGCTCGAGGGTGTTGTCAGTGGGGCAAATATGTTGACAGGTCATTCAACATCTTTCCACCATTTGGCAGATCCCCGTTGAAGATGCGTGACCAAACTGATGTTGCACCTCGGAATATCCATAGCTAAGATTGGCCTTTCCCTGTACTCATGCGAAAACACTGTGTCCTGGACTAAGAATTTTAACAAGAAAATTATTAATAACAAGATTAATAACAAGAAGAGAAAAGGAAAAAAGGAAGAGGAACATTTTCCCTTTTTTAATTTAAAACTAGAAATAATTCTAAGATTGTGTTAAAAAAAAAAAAAATATTAAAATTCTAAAATTTAAAAAAAATTATCTTAAAATTATAACAATGAGGAAAATGTATGAAATTAGAATAAAAATTTGAGAAAATTAAAATGAGAGTATTAAGAGTAGGCAACGTTCTTGCCTTTCTGATAATTTTGACATTTGCAAATCGATGCACTTTGCATTTGTTCAGGTCCGGGGGTTCTATGCATAACACGGTTATCCGAAATCCTGGTATATACGAAAATTAATAAATCCATCAATCTGACAGTTGCAAAAGTACCCCCACGGTTGAAATTCTTGCGCGTGCCTCTTAAATGCGCGCTCAGAAGAGGAAGAAAACGTGTGAGCCTCGAAGTTGTAAATATGTTATGTAATTCAAAATTCAAATAACCATAAATTAAATGAACAAAACATTGCGACAAAGAAGCAACTAACCTTTTTTAAAAAAAAAAAAAAAAAAATTCGAGGCACACGGTAAAAAATTGAGCGGTATCGTCGCAAAAGTTTGTAATGCAATCGTTCACAAAACAATTATACTACTCTTCGATTATAAATATCATTTCATTCAATTAAGGTAAGATGTGTGCGAATGTTATTCGATGCACATTCGAGAGACATTTTGTCGAAATAAAATATGAAAGAAGATGTATTTTCCATCGAGGATAATTCTAAAATATAAATAATTATTTAAAAATAAAATTCTATGGAATATGGAATATTTTTAATTTATTCTTTTATACTGCATACATACATTTTTTGATTTAGCCGTAACTAAGCTGGTGAGCCAGTGATCAAACTCAATTGCGATGCCCCACTGTACCAACAACTTCGTTTGGTATTTAGGAAAGTTCATCGCAGGTTTTACAGGAATGCTTTTCTTCTATGTGGTTTTCCTGAAAGAGAGGTAAATTTTGACTTCCGAAAACCGAAGAAGATAAACATAATAAAAATATATTTATTACAGGGAATACACTTGCTTGTGTAGAGCGAGAATGCGAGAATTCTTACGTCGTAAAGGGGAAAAGTGAGTCATGTTGGTCATACGTGCGAGATTTCTCCAGTGATCTTTTTTAATTTTATTTTATATTTCTTTTTCTCCTTTTTTTATTTATATAATAAATGATAGAATTGTTGCAAGATCCTAAAGAATATCGCGCATCGTATGACCAGCGATATCATGTGCATCGCATAATCATAAGTTCTAATACTTAGTACTAATTCTTGTCCTTTAGACGACCAGGCAGATGCGAATGCAAAGAAGGGTAAGCATGAAACCATATTCTTTCAAAAATGATATTAATTTAAATTTAAATTTAAAATTTAAAATTTCATTACATTTTAACAGCAGAGCTCGGATCAAAGTCTATGCTTGTGGCTGTAAGAAACGTTTGGACATGTAAGAACGTATTATTATAGCAATAATATGGGATTTTTTATTTTTTTTTTTTTTCTCTTATACTTATGAAAAAAAAAAAAAAAATATTATGCGACTTTCAGGGTATACGAAGATCCGGGAATGGTTTTTGGAGAACGACCAACCGATATCGGAGACTGCATTTGCATTAGGAAAAGGCCTTCCTAAAAATGAAAATGGTAATTTCGACTTCTCCAGCAAATCGCTGTAAGTCTTACCATCGTGAATGATTTTCACGATACAACAGCTCAGTGATCTCGTGGTTGCTTCGATTGCAGACGTATCATCATCAAATTGGACGTGCTGTCTAACGATGCTCAATCGAAAAACCAAGGTAAACGAAAAGTGTATCGTGTAATATATTATAATGCTAACAATAAATTTTTATTTCACGAATATTTAGCTCATAGAATCGACTATCAATGAACGAAGAAAACGAATGGGTAGACACTGTCTTTTTCGCCATTGCAGTGGACTTGTATGCGCTCATAAATTAATGAAAAGAAGAAAAAACAGGCAGCATTGTGTTCATCTACGCGTTTCTCATGATGTTGTTTCCGATCATTGGAGGATATACGATAAATCGATGCATAATAATAAAGATAATATTAAAGATGGAAAAGAAAATAGTGTTTCGAATGAAGAAATTATAAACATGTTACACATGCATAAAGGAGAAATTTCAAACGAAATTTCTTGTAACGCCGAGAAAAAAGAAAGTAAAAAAGATATTTCGGAAAAGGATAAAAAAAATATAGAATTAAAATCGACACTTAATCGCAATATTCCTCGATTATCTCCTCGAATTCTTGAAACTAGATGCGAGGACAATAAAAATTTTGAAAAATCAAATATTTTAAAAGACATTCGTAATGATATAAAATATCCTTTAAAGTGCATTAACGAAAATATTTTGGAAAAGAAAAATAGTTCCTATAAAACTAATAAAATCGATACACCGCGAGAATGTTTGAGAAAAACTTCAAATAAAAAATTTTTATCAAGTGATCTAAATTTCAGTAAAACTATTATTACAGACAATTGTATGAATTCAATTTTGTATCACGATTTACGAAAAAAATATACTCCTACTATCAAAAATAAATTGTCAAAAGATTATTTGGAAATTGATAAAGTTGTTGAATTCAACTTGTCTTCGGAAATGGAGGACGCAGAAAAAATTAACGCGCATCAAGAGTTAGACGTTGATAAAATCATGAATAATTTTTTGAACGATGTACAAGTATTTCCCTTCAAACAAAAGCAAAGATACAATTTAAAACACTCCATAAATAAACATCAATTTTCGAATTCAAGATTACAGAAGAAATACTCATCTCGCAACAGTAAAATTGGTTCAAACATGCAACAAAAAACCTTCCCTACTCTTTGGTATAAAAATACAATGAAGCAGAAAAAACTGTCAAAATTTTTCTGTCAAAATTGTAATTGTAACACAAAGTTAGTTAGGCCATTTTTTACAACAATTTATAAAATAAGTTTGTTGCTATAAAATATATTTTCAATTTTTCAGATCATATAATTATAATGGTTCCCGATGGAGTAGCAGGAAACAATTTTTATCGTATCCAAATTCTTCAATTCGACCACAGTACAATATGTCATTTACAAATTTACAATTGCATAGAAATGATAACATGTGTGAATGTCTAAAAATGAAAAAAAAAAATGATTCAATGATAGATCCTAAATTTGTATTGTCTCACGAAACTCGTTCGTTTAAATATAAACCACAATCGATGAAATATAAAGAAAAACCGACTATAGTTATCTTCAAAAACAGAACACCTAGATCGAAAAATTTAAAGAGTTATAATTCACCGAGCACTTCTATCGGAACTATTGAGAGTTCTGTTCATGACAGCTTAGATACGTGTCCATGTTCAATTTATAAGTCACCGCGTTATATGATACCAAATGATCAATATAATAAATACAATACAAAAATAGATCCTCTTCTATTATCTTCATCATCGAAATCATCATTGTCGAAACGATGTCATTCTTGGTCTATATTATCACAAAACTCTATTTGTCATAGACAAGAACCAATTTCTTCTTCTTGTACGAATATTCAATTATGGAATAGATTTCCTGAAAACGAAAAGAGAAAAAACACGTATCTTTCCTCGAGCTCATGCTCATGCTCCACATCATCACTGTCAACATTCAAAGATGATTACAGTTTAACAGAAACAGATACAGAAGCAAAACAAATTCAAAGATCAGAAAGGAAGAAACCAAAATTTTGTGCACAAAAGAAGAAGATAATATATATGGATAAACGTCATGTTAGATGGAATATTAAAAATACATATTAGAATTAACAAAAAAAGAAAACAAATGTCTAATGTAAGTAAGCATGATATAAAAATAAAAGGGATTGAGATTGTTGAAGAAATATATTTCAATTATAAGAGAAAAAAACAATAAAAGCTCTGTACTTTGATATTATACATATTTAAGAAAAAAAAAAAAGTCCATATGGACAAGTAACGATATTTGTAAAATATCATTTGCTATTATTTAAACTTGCAATCGATAAATGCAGAATTCAAGCGTGAATGCAGTTAAACCATAAATTTATCGTGTGACGATGAAACGTAAGCAACAACAGTAACGAGTATACGTAATTGGCAGGTACTAAGTTAGCACTGGATGTGAATAAATTGGATGTGGTGCAAAGGAGTGACGCGTCCCGTTAGACGTTTGGAAAATCTGAAACTCGATTAATATGCGTCGTGTCCGTAGGTGAAGAGTCTATAAGTAGATCTTCTACGGACACAAATGTCAGTCATATTCATATATTATGTTCTGACCTGGTAGACGAAATCTTCCTTTACGCTAACGAGATATCGGTAATAGTTAACATTATACATACATCATGCACTGTCATGATATACATCTTTGCCAAAAATCTCAACTATGATTTACAATTAGTTGATGTGCAAAAAAAAATTAAAAGATTTTTTATGCGCAATTATATGCCTGTGAATAAAGAATTTTTTTTTTTAGATTCTTAGATGATATAGATGATGCATGTTTTTTCTTTGATAAGTTTGTATATTTTTAACATTATATAATGTATCATTTTTTATTATTTTTTTTTTTGATTTTGTAGAAGTTAAATAAAGCTTCCTCTTGTTGTCTTATTGTTGGTATTAAATTTATAAGTTATGAATTAAAATTAATCATCTTACATCATACACTAAGATTAGTAACACGAATTAGTAATAGAAATGATATGATTTAAATGAAATATTTAAATCAAGAATAATCTCAGAATGAAGATTCTCGTTATCGTATCGATGTCTGTACTTATAAAGTCTTTTTTCCAAAGTTCTCTCATCTTAATCTACTCGAGAATCTCTCTGAATGGCAGGCTTTGTAAAGGAAACGTCGCAGCTGCGTCCCTTTCGCCTCGTATTTTGCATGCATTCCGATGAAATAAAACGAGAACAACAAGGGTGCCGACTTCAACTAAGAACAAATATTTCGAAACGGGATGTTAAATGAGCGAACTGTCTAACTGTCACTCCATCTAGTACCCAGTTTCTTTAGCACTTAACGAAAATATGAGCCAAAATGAATCTATATATTTTCATGTTACAAATATACACGTAACATTTATATGTTAAATTTTCTTTATTGAACACTTAATTCTGAAATTATATTTTGTATTCTTATTTATTCGCTTTAATTTTAATCAAAAATAGAACCATATTATAATTCGTAAATTTATTATGATATAATTCATTAATTTTATTTATATGGTATATAAAATACAGATATTTAAAAATTTTATAATATATTATTTTTTATTGAATCAGATACTTAGAGTGAGGAATAATTGCATTTTGTTTAAAACATTCTTCAATCCACTCACTTTTAATAATTGTTAACATTTGTAATTTATTGCCAATTAAATTTTGAAGTTCAGTACTGATATAATTATTGTTAATAAAGATATTTGTTATCGAATCATCGATAGTTTCTTTAATAGTTCCACCCATAAATCGAAATTCAAATTTTGACAAATCTGATGGATCATTGAAATATCCTATAATACCACAAAATAGAGAATAAGGAGATATTTCATTATCAAATAATTCCTGATTTATTTTATTCATTTCTGTATAATCAAATTTAGTATTTTTCTCCTGAAATAATATCTTATATAAAATTAAAATTATCTATTTTATCTACTAGAATATGTTATAATAAAATAAATAGCTGAATGTGATACCGTTTCTTCTAATTTTTTAAACGAACGAAGTAAAGTTTCTTCATTAGCATCTATGGTATAGTGATCATAATAATCATCATAATATTGTGCTAATCGTTGTCTTGTCGATTCGCGACTGCATATCAAATCCCATGGTAAGAAATCTTGCAATGATGACCAGTTTTCTTCTTTGGTAACCCGTTTGAACCAATCTAATGTTACTATATCGTATTTTTTATGTATATTATTATTTTGTATAATATTATTTGCTTTTATCTAAAAAAATTTCAATATACAAATTATTCGAAGAATAATAATTATTAGATTAAAGTAAACAACAAATAATATATTTACCGTTTTAACATTACCAATTATAACACAGTAATTTTCCTTTAAAGGATTTTGTACAACTTTTGCTCCATGTTGTAAAAGAATTTCTTCAATCCGTTCTTTAGGCAATTCGTCATTGCCATTTATTACACAAATTTCTTTATCATCAAAAAGTCGGGTAAGTTGAATTGATGGATCAACAAAAATATTTGGTTTTATCAATATTTGTTCATTCTTTATTCTTGAGTAATATTTTTTTGTTTTAGATATTTTGGTTTCAGGTACTTCTATATCTTCATAATTTATTTGTCTTTTTGTCAATTTTTGAATTGGCCACGTATTCTAAATATTATTAAATATTAAAAAAAAAAGAATAAGTAATTATTTATAAAAGAGTACTTCTTATCGATTTCAATAATCTCGAAAATTAAAATTAAATGGCACTAACATATAGGAAAAAATTGTTCAATTATATCTTCGATAATATCCGATGACATGAAATAGAAGATGCCGTTTTATGAAAAATAAATTTCTTAATTTTTTGTAAATAATTACCAAAATATTATTATAAAAATATATATTATTTAGTTGCAAAAATATATAACAAATATATATCATTCAATTATATACCTTAATTAATGATTTCAAATTATTAGTTGTACAAACATTATACCATGGTTTATCAGTTCTAATGTTTGTAACTCTAGGAAATCGTAAACTGTATCTCGTTGGATAATCAGAACTTCGTGTCATTTCTGTTGCTTTTACAGTTAAGATAATAGAATTTTCAGGGCGAATCCATAATTCTGGCGGATCGATCTAAAAAATAATATATTATATATTGAATAATATATTGAAAATAATATATTAATATTATAACATAAACATTTTTTTTTGCATTAATTCACCTTGGGAGGAATTACATTCGTAGGGCGTTCACTTTGCCACTTATTTTCAAATATTTTCCAGAGTTCTTTCAATGCATCCATAGATAAACCATTACTAACTGATACTACAGATAAAAATTCTGTAGGATTTTCACCAGGAGTTTTTGGTGATGAAGCTACTCCCATTAAAAAGCTTTTTATTAAACCTATAAATTTTCCATCCCCATAATAACCACCAAGTATTATTAAATCTATATCTTGTACCAAATCTTCAGAATACTGAAAAATTACTGTTTATGATAGAAAATAGAAAACAATTTTTAATAATGTTAATATTTTATGAATTATTACCTCAGCTTTTATTTTATAGCATCCAGTACCATCTCTTATATTTGGTTTATATTTACTATCACATTTTTTTACTACAATTCCTTCTTCTTTATTTTTAATACTTTCATTAAATATATTACATAATTCCTCACTTAAAATGAAAATAACTTGTATGTATATATTATAATGTATAAAATATTTTTTCTCGTAAATTATTAATAAAAATTAATTATCACCTCTTGGAAACTTTAATAGATTCACATAATAAAAGATGACCTTCCTCTTCTTTAAATATATTTTTTAAAATTTTAAGTCTTTCTTCATAAGGTTCATTATTAACTAATATATCATTATGCATAATAATATCAAATGCGACAAAACATGGCTGATAATGACTATTTTCTGACAGTTTTTTAACATCATAATTCATTCCTTTTGAGCCTAATAATTTCTTTTCTTTATGCCAACCCATTAATTCACCATCTAAAATTACTGATTTTACTTCTTGATTTAATAATCGATCAAATACACTACTCATAAAACCTAAAACATATAATTTTTTATTTTATAATATTATACAAAATCTACTATTTGCATAAAAGTATAAATTTCATTTATAATTTATAATATGATTCATAGTAAAAAAATATAATTTATAATATTATAATTATATAATATTAAATATATAATAGAAAATCATAAAACAAATTGCATTATATATACCTAAAGAACTAGTTTCCCCAAAACCAGAATAATTTGTAATATCATATCCTTGTCGTGTAAAATATTTATACTTTCCATCTTTCATATGCATTTGAGATCGTTCACCATCATATTTGCATTGTACAAAATATTGTTCTTTTTCATTAAAAAGTTTCTCTATATTCTCAATCTGATATCGTTCTAATAACATAGGTTTAAAATGAGAAAAAACTTGAATGTCACAATGATATCTTAATTGGGGATCACATAATGTTTCACAAACATGTTGCAAATTAGATGATACATCAAATAATGAATTTGCATCTGGATGAAAAACTAAAAAAATGTTATTGTCAAATTATATTGTTTTTTTATAAGATCTTTTTGTATTAAATAATATGCAAGAAAATAAACCTTGCAATATTTTTTTCGACGTAATACCAAGCCTTAAATTTTTTAGGATAATTCGTGTTATCCATTTGAATTCTAATGCATTCGTTTTTTCTAATAAAAATTTAAATATTTCATCTTTTCGATTGTTTTTTAACGATATATTATTTAAAAATAAATTAATTCGTTCTAAAGTAAAATCAGAATTTTTGGATGATAAACGATTTTGCAAAATATAACATGCTTTTTCCGCAAAATCTTTTTCAGCTTTTTTGCATCCTGCGATTTTTTTTGCAACTGGAGCTCTAAAAAAAATTTAGTTTCATTTAAAATCTATAATAATAGCACAATATTATTATTAAGAAAAGAATAAATATTAATTAATAATCTTACTTGTATTGTTTAAGGTTTTTTGCATCCTTACTATCTTTTCCCAAACAAAATACACGAATATAAAGATCAGCGAGAGATTTTTCTTTTAAATTATATGCCTCGTGTCTTCGTTCAAGATTCGGTAAAATTAATTTTAATATAGGAAAAAATGAAATATCCTATAAAAAAAGTTTAATAAAATACTAATACTTATAATAATCTAATATATATAATATGTATAATTATACAATAATTATATAATAAATATATATAATTATCAAAAATTTTAATTAAAAAATTCAAATTTATACCATATCTGGAAATTCTGTTTTTAATTTGTGACTCATAATACGACATTTTTTAATAAATTGGTCTAAAATATCAGCTTTTTTGGTAGTATTACGTGTTTTAGAAACTTCCTCCAATACATTACATAATTCTTTAAATTCAATTTTTCCAGCTAATGTTGTATTCATTTCACTTCTATATAAAAAGAATAAAAATAATTAAAGATTTAAAATATAAATAATTTATATAAAAAAATTTTAAATGAAATGGTAATTTATAAAAATTTATAAAAATATTGAAATTTATATAAGATATTATTTATTAAGAATATTTATTTACAATATTATACTTTATATTACAAAAAGCTTTCATATTTTATTCAAAATAAATTATAATCATATAAAAATAATAAAATACAAATTAATTTTTTTAAATTAAATTGTAATGTAGTTTTCGAGATACATTCTTGCTAATAAATAATTTTCAGATTCTAAATAAATAAGATGTAGATTAAAGGCAGCTTCTTTTTTTAAATCTAAAAGATATGAATTTTTTTTAACTAAATCTCCAGGATTTTTATTAAGTACTAATTTATAAAAATGTACAGCTGCTGGTAATAAACCAATATGATGAAATACACGACCCATATTATAGTATGTTTCTTGTTCACCATCTATGCCACGTAGTTGAGAATACTTCTTTATAAAAGCAATAGCTAAAACAGAATAGAATAAATATAAAATTATAATATTTATTAAAATTTTATTTTTTATTAATGCATGTAAGAAAAAATAAATTACAATTTATTTAATAAATAATAAATATACATTATAAATCACAATTACCTTGAATTACAAGTTGATTTTTTTTAGCAGACCATTTTTGGCATGACATTTGCAATAAAGTTACACTGATTAATAATGCTAATAATGCACTAGGTGCTACTTTAAAAAGAGAAATATAATCATTAAGAGCATATTTATATGTTCCCGAAATAAGACAATTGTTAGCATGCATTATATTTAAATAAGAAAATACATCTTCTCTTCCAAGAAGACGCATTATAAATCTATTATGTCTAGAATCTTCTGCTTTTTGCACAATAATATTTAATAAATTCCAAGAATTTGGTTTTTGATAAACGCGTATTAAATGTCGTACAATATTATATCCATTATAGGAATCATTATTATAAATACACGAGAGTAAACATAAAAACATAATATGAGAATTTCTTTTTCGAAATCTCTTTGATGTTAAAGCAGTAAAACAAATTCTTTGTAGCAAGCCATATTTTTTTAATGTACAAGCCAATTTACACATTTGTAAAAGTAAAAGAAATTCTTTTTTTTCACTTAATTCTGTACTATTCAGAAACACTGGTGCATTTTCTTCTTCAAGTTTTTCTCCACGAGATAATCGATGAAGTTGCAATGTTTCTAGACGTTGTCGTACTACAGTTACAATAGTTAATGCATTCAATTCGACTTTGTTTCGTATATTTGCACAATGTCTAGAGAAAAGTAACATTCCAGATTGAAAATATTCATCATATCTTTTTACTTTAAAAAGAAGCAATGCTCTTTGATAAATTACTTGTGGATCTAAAGTATCTGATTCTGGATCTTGATTAAGGACTTCTATTGCTTTATTATATTGACCTTTTAATTGATATAGCTTAGCTAATGCTGTTCTTGCACCTAAATGTTGTGGTGATAATTTTTTAACAACTTCATATGATTTTATTGCTTTTTTTATATCTTTACAACCAACCCAACATTCTGCATGTCGTAACCATACTGCAGCTAAACTATAATTTTCACTATTAACTAAAGGTTCCAATAACATTAAGGCATGTCCAAACTCTTTTTTCCCCATTAAAGCTTCTGCTATGTCTAAAAAAAGATCACCAGAAATTTCTTGATTTTCATATAAATAAAATTTGGGTAAAAGATTTTCAACTAATTTCATCTGATTTAATTCAATAAGTGTTATAAGAAATTTTGCTTTTAAATCAACAACAACATCATCTGGCACACCACAAGATTCTATTTCAAATATATTATCATCTTCCAATTCTTCTTTTTTTTCATTTCCACATTTTTTTGTTATTATATCAATATTTTGTTCATTATTAGTAATCTTATATTTTACCCAAATATTTGTGTATATTGTTAAAATATTTAAACATCTTTTAAATTTTTTTAATGCTATTAATATTTCAGTCATGATATTAACTTCTTCCAAAGTAATGAAATTAGAACATTTTGAAAAAATATTTTCCATTGCTTCTAATGCTTGTTCATTATTATTTTCTTCCATATATTGTTTAGCTAACATTTTGGCATACTTAATTATGTGTTCTCCATCTTCAGGTTCCAACTGATGAATTAATTTTAGAAAACCTTTTAAATAAGCTCTTTTATCTCCATTACGATCTAAAAGTCGCGCTCGTGTTTCATATAAATTTATATCTTTTGGATTTGCCTGAATTGCTTTATTATAACAAGTTATAGCTTGTTTTATATCTCCACTTTCCAGAGACATATTAGCCAGTCTCACCCATTGATCAGCATCTTTTGGGCTAAGATGTGCTGCTATCAAAGCAAACTGTAATGATTTTTCTGGTTGATCTGTTTCATATATCATTGCTAAAGTATGAAAAGGTTCTGGAGCACTTGGTACTTGTCTATAGAAAATTTGGAAAAGTTATATATCTTCATTTATTGTCATTTAAAAGTAATATCTTTATAATTTTAAAAAAATAAACCTGCCTAATTATTTCCATACATATCTGAGCAGCTAATTCTGTATCTCCTCTAGCATATCTTAAATTTGCTTCACCCATAAGACCTTGTAAAACTGGAGGAAGTGTTCTTTTTTTTCGTTTACAACGTACTTGTCCTACATTTTGTGATTTTGATACTTTACAATGAACTGTTTTATTTGTTTCTATCTCTTCATTTTCAAAATCATTTCTAAAAATAAGAAGAGAAAGAAAATTTATTTACTTAGATCTTTTATAAGGATATAAAAATCCATATTAGATTACTACCTAGAAAATTCAAATTCTGCAGTTTCTAAATCTATATGTTGATCCATTTTAGAAGAATATTCAGAAAATGTTAACTCTCCATTTAAAAATTGTTTTGTTAATTGATCTTCTTTATCTGCAGTCATTAATATATCTTGATCTTCTATTTCTGTAGTAATATCCATACCAGAAGTGCTTTGTTTAGAATAAACATCTGTTATAATACTATGAGGTACATCTTTTATCTCTAGAGCTTTTGCTTCAACAAATTCTGTCATATCAACATTCATGTTATTTAAAGCATTTTCATCTAATTCTTCGATAATTACTGGAGCTATTGTGCTTTTCTTATCAAATGCCATATTTTTTTCTTTGTCTTCTTTTTTAATCAATATTATATACACTAAATATTATTATTTACTTTTTAATAACACCACACAACACTAAAATAAATATAACACTAAAATAATATATCTTTTTATTTCTAAAGATATATTAAATATTACTAAATAAAATTAATAACATATTTTCATATACATATAACATAATATGAAAATATCAATAATAAGAAATATATCATTCCTTAAGAGGATATGATAAGAATTATATATAAGATATGATTATTCCTTAACAAATTATTATGATATATATATAAATAATATATATATATATATATAACATATTTATATATATATTGTTATTATTATTATTTATTTTATAATTCTTGTTTTTTTTACAAAAAATAATAAAAAAAATATTAATTTTATTTTAATAATGTTTAAAATTTTCTTACGATTATTTATAGTTATTTAAATTTATAAAATATTTATTTTTTTTACATTAAATATTAATATTATATAACGTAAATTAGTATTGTATATATTAAATATATAAATATTATAAATATATTTATTACATGAAATATGAATATGACATATATGTTTATTATAAATATTAATATTATATTATTTAAATATATTATTAAAATACATTAATAAAATACATATTAATATATATAAAATATTTATGATATATATATATATATATATAATATTACTAAAATTATATATTAATATTCATATATTTATATTATAAATTAAATATTTAGAAAAAATAAATTTATATTAAAGGTTAAGTTATGACATAAACTGTTTACCTTTTATTAAAATTCATGTAAAGTAGTGAACATTATATTCCTTGAATAAATATGATTTTATAAATATAAACTCACAATTAATATATTTTTTTTTATATCATTATAAAATAATAATAATAAATTTATATACTTTTAACATTAACATCACTCTGTAATATCAGTCCCGTAAGCAGTATGATAAACTGCATTATGATTTGTTTGTCCGTGTATTGTTCATTGGTACAATTTATATACAATAAAGTATATGAGTTGTAATTCAGAGAAGTAAGGGACGTAAAAATATTAAACGAAAATGCATGTTATGAATACTTTGATCTTTCATTTGAAATGGATTTTTATTTTAAGAACATTGAGGTTATGACATCAAAACAAGGTTTTAACAATAAAGAAACGTCTTTATGTCGTTTTTAGATTTCTTTCTTAGATATTAACTAAATAAGAAATTATTACATTATCTTATTATTGTTTAAAATATTAAAAAGAAGTATGATCAGAGAAAATATAATTTAATAAATTATGACTTTCTACTACATGTAAGTTTTATAAAGTCTAATATGCATTAATTTCAATAATCATAATTATTTTTATAATTATTTTTATAAATAAAGTTTAAATTATTTCAATCCTTAATATAATATTTAAATATAAATAAAAATGTAAATTTTTTATTAAGATTGAAAAAAATATTTTCTTTATTATATCATTTATAATATTAATTTTAGTATAAATGTTTAATGTTTAATGTTTATTACAAATAAAATATTTTAAAATATATATTTATTTTCTTATTTAATAATTATATAATATATGACATTAATTTTCTCACATATTTTTCAGCTGATAATAATAGTATGAAGCCACACACATGTTGGCTATATATCCCTTTATTATTACTATTTAATATTGTGATTGAATCACCCTATAATCAAGTGCACTGTTCATTAAAAAACAACAATTCTTTAAACTCTAAACTCAATAATATAGCTAAATTACCATACCATGGTAATAGTCCTGAAATAAAAGTTCATTTTGCTAGCAGAATTGTTGAAAATGAATATATTGTTGCATTTAAAGGCTATTATAAACCACATACACGTGAAAATTATATAAAAGCTGCATTAAATTCATCTGGTATTCATAATTGGAAAATTTTATTTCGTGACAACTTAGCTAGCAATTATCCAAGTGATTTTGATGTTGTTCTTTTGGAAGAAACAGACAGACATAATGGTCTTGATGCTTTAACTGATCATCCTCTTATTAGAAGAGTAACTCCTCAAAGACTTGTAAAAAGAAGTTTAAAATTTGTCAATGCATCAGAGGATGCAGAGTTTCTAGAATATAAAAATTTCAAAAGAAAAATTAACAATTATGTAAGCTTTTATATTAATATATATTAATATATAGCTTATATATATTTATATTATAATAATAATAATATTTTATATTAAATATTTTAATTTATATGATCAAGAATATTGCAAGTTTATTTATCATAACTTATATTTCAGAACAATCAGTTCTGGCAATCAAATAATCGACATACATCACGTAGATTATTAAGAGCTATACCAAGACAAATTACAAGTATACTTCAAGCTGATGCTCTATGGGGTATGGGTGTTACTGGAAATGGAGTAAAAGTGAATAGTTTTATTTGAAATATATATATATATATTGTTAATGATATTTAAAAAAGAAATAATATTACTTACATAATATAATTATTGTTAGGTAGCAATATTTGATACAGGATTAGCAGCTAGTCATCCACACTTTAAAAAAATTAAAGAACGTTCAAATTGGACAAATGAAAAAACATTAGAAGATGGTTTAGGTCATGGTACATTTGTAGCTGGAGTTATTGCATCATCTTGTATAGATTGTCTTGGTTTTGCACCAGATGCTGAACTTCACATTTTTCGTGTTTTTACTAATACTCAAGTATGTTTATCATATACTTAATATATATATATCTATTTTTTGCTTAACTGTGAATTTTTCTATTTTTTCTAGGTATCATATACATCATGGTTTTTGGATGCATTCAATTATGCTATACTTACAAAAGTTACAGTATTGAATCTTAGTATTGGAGGACCAGATTTTATGGATCATCCATTTGTTGATAAAGTATGGGAATTAACAGCAAATGGTGTAATTATGGTTTCTGCAATTGGTAATGATGGACCTTTATATGGGTAAAAAAATCAAATATTTTTTTTATATTTATTTCTTTTAATTTTAAAATATATAAATAAATTTAATTTTATTTAATATAGCACTTTAAACAATCCTGCTGATCAAATGGATGTTATTGGGGTAGGCGGAATTAATTGGGAAGATCAAATAGCAAGATTTTCGTCGCGTGGTATGACAACATGGGAATTACCATCTGGATATGGAAGAGTAAAACCTGATTTAGTTACATATGGTTCAGGAGTACGAGGTTCTGCATTACAAACAGGTTGTAGAACTTTATCAGGAACTTCTGTTGCTAGTCCTGTTGTTGCTGGAGCTGTAGCACTTTTAGCCAGTGGATTTGTACAACCAGATGGATCTCAATCTATTAAACAAAGAGTAATTATATATCGATATATTTTCTTATATATTTATTTTTTTTATATAATTTAAAGTTTTTAAATTCATATTAACAAATTAAATAATAATTAAAAAAAATTATTGTTTAAGATAACACCAGCAAGTATGAAACAAGCATTACTTAATTCTGCGCGTCGTTTATCTGGAGTTGGTATGTTTGAACAAGGTGCTGGAAAGTTAGATCTTTTACGAGCATTTCATTTTCTACGTTCATATACACCAATTGCTACACTTAGTCCAAGGTATTTATTTTTTGATATTATTAATATAATACCAAATTAATATATTTAATATATTTTAATATTAATATATTTTTTAATATTAATTACAATATACATATAATATGATATACAATATAATATAATGCATAAACCATGATATATTATTAGTTATATAGATCTAACTGAATGTCAATATATGTGGCCATACTGTACACAAGCTGTATATCATACTGGTATGCCTACGATTGTAAATATAACTATAATAAATGGTTTGGGAGTATCTGGACATGTAACAGAATTTATATGGCATCCGTATACTGGCAATGGTAATGGTGAGCGAATTGATGTATCAATAACTCATAGTGATGTTCTTTGGCCATGGTCTGGATGGTTAGCAGTTGCTATAACAGTTCCACCATCTGCCCGTGGTTGGCAAGGCATAGCACAAGGTTTAAATTATTTTATTTATTTTCATTTATATTTCTACTATATTAGAAAATATATTTTATAAAAATATTTTATAATAAAATTCAATGTTATATTTAGGTCATATATCTGTTACGATTGAATCACCACCAAGTGATGGAGAAGAAAAAGTAAGACAGTCTAAAATAGAATTACCTTTGAAAGCAAAAGTTATTCCTACACCTCCACGTCAGTAAGTAGAAGTATAAAATTATTATTAAATTGTACTATAAAACTTCATGATATAATATTGAATAATATTTTCTTAATAGTAAACGTATTCTGTGGGATCAATTTCATAATTTACGTTATCCTCCGGGTTATTTTCCACGAGATGATTTACGTGCAAAAAATGATCCACTTGATTGGAATGGTGACCATATTCATACAAACTTTAAAGATATGTATCAACATTTACGTAATGCTGGTTATTATCTAGAGGTACTTGGTGCTCCATTCACATGTTTTAATGCCAAAAATTATGGTACCTTACTTATTGTTGATAGTGAAGAAGAATTTTTTCCTGAAGAGGTAATTATATAATAAAAATAATTTCATATGTGTTATATGAACTATTTTTCAGGTAGCTAAATTAAGGAGAGATGTAGAAGAAGAAGGTCTCTCTGTAGTCATATTTGCAGATTGGTATAACGTCACTGTTATGAGAAAAGTTAAATTTTATGATGAAAATACTCGGCAGTGGTGGATACCAGATACAGGAGGTGCAAATGTACCAGCTTTAAACGATTTACTATATTCTAATTGGGGAATTGCATTTAGCGATCAAGTACGTAATGGCCAATTTACTCTTGGTCAACATCCACCTGTAATTTTTGCTTCTGGTACTACAATTACTCGGTATGTAATTTAAAATATAATATATAATATAAAATATATATTATAATTATTTAAATTTCTTTTTTTATCTAATAATATATTTTTTATCAAGATTTCCGAAGGATGGAGTTATTCTTTATGCAGAATTACATGACCAAGGACAAGAGCTTTTACTTGAATCAGAATCAAAATCTACAATGGCAGTGCCAATTCTTGGACTTCTTCAAACTAATGGTCATACGAATATGAAGGAAATATATAATGATAATTATAGTAACAATATAATAGCTGAAAAAGAAAATATGGAAAAAAATAATATGAAAGATCAAGCTAATATTGTACCAGGTAGAATTGTAGTATATGGAGATTCAAATTGTATTGATGACAGTCATTTACAAAAACGTATGTTTTTTTTTTTATAAAATTTTGAATTTATATAATAATTGTATTAGTACAATTCTTCAATGTAAATAATAAAATTTTATTTTTTAGCTTGTTTTTGGATGCTTGATGCTATATTGGAATATACAACAACGGGACATATCGCAACTGTTTTTACAGATGAAAGTCAAACTAAGACAAAAATTCTTGAAAAGTCTAGTATTTTAGACAGTAATGAATTACCTCAACGTATGGAAGGAAGTTATTTAAAACGTCATAGTAAAGTGTTACTGTCTGAAAATACTAATACTGGTTATATTAGACCACTTCCATCTTGTCCTATTATTATTCCTGTTACTCCAAAACCTTTAAATGAATCTGTGCCTATGTAAGTTATTAATAACTTTTATTAAATGTTATCCAACAAATAAAATGTTATCTATAATTTTAATTTCATTCTAGAAATCTCTATAAACCTCAAAAATTATTGTCTGTTGGAGATACAATAATTGCAATAAATCCAGTTCTACAAGACTCAAGTCCATTATGGCTTAGAAGACGCGTTGGTGGTGCAAATATTCCTACATTACATCACGCGGAACGAAATAATATTGATGAATTAAAACAAAATGATCAAGATAACAGTGTAACATTTACACGTAAGTGGAATTACATGGCAGGAATAATAATTATAGGAAGTATTTTTTTCTACTTATTAAATCGGTGGAATTGTTTAATAACAAAACGGCATTCTCGAAGAAAACGAACAGTCGGTAGATTACGCAGAGTTATTCAAACAATTTCTCTACGCAGAGTGCCTCAAATGTGATTGTATTTGACAAATCTATAATTAATACAAGATAATATTCAATTATCTGTCATAAACGCTTAAAAAAATATAACAAACTATATTATGTGCCTTTAAATATATAGTATTCAATATAAATTTAAAAATTATAGAAATTATTTTGATAAATTTTATGTTATTGATTAATTTCAAATAACAGAAATTTTTGTTAATATATGAATGCAAAATGCAATATTACTTATTAATACTTTTACTAATTATATAAATGAAAAATAAATTACGATTAAAATACAAACTTATTACAAATAAAAATATATGTGTAATAAAATATATTAGTAAAATATATAAAACAGATATAAATTTGCACTATAAATTAAGGAAATATTATTTTAGATTCAATATTGATAATATTTTATACATGTATTTTTTCAAATATTTTAATATTTTAATTAATAGAACATTCATTTACTTTAGGTAACAAATATATATACAAAAAGTATATTATCAACTTATTATTAATTTATAATTGTAATAATTATTAGATTTTTGTATAATGATATCATTATCCATTTTTGTTACAAACAAGTAGTGATACAATATTATTAGTCTAACAATATTACTACTTTGTAATATAGATTACAAAAAAATCCATACAAATAAAATCGTTTTTTATACATATATAAAACTATTTATTTAATAATGAAAACATTTATGTGTAAAGATATTTATTATTATTTTTACATATAATATTTGCTATATGCATAATATTAATTATTTTTAGAATATTCATTATATTTGAAATATTTTAATTGTAAAAAGGGTTATATGTAATCCAATGTGCCCTATCTTGTTCTGCTGCAGATTTGTGGGTAGTGAAAATGCTTTTGAAAACTTCTGATGCTTTAGGATCTTTTGCAACACTATAATTTTCTTTAACTTTTTTATATGCTGGATCTTCAGCTTCTGTTCTATTAGTAATCTTAGAAGTAGAACTTTTATCTTCTTTTTTAATTTTTTTCTTTGGTATTTCTTCTTGTTTAATATCTAATATTTGATTATCTTCATTATGTTTATGTTTCTTAGATTTTTTTTTAGCTATTTTTCGTAGTATCATATTCTCTTCCATCAATTTAAGATCATTATTTTCTGCATTTATGATAACAATATCTTCTTCAGTAAAAGCTTGTTGGCATTGATGACATATCTAAAAAACATGATATAATGATATAAAATATAATATAAAAATCACTATATGTTAAATATTTTTTTTTCCTTATAATATTCCTTAGATATTTTTATTTTTATTCTTTTAATTCTTTTAATGATTGCTTACCTTACTTTTGACTTCTTTAAGTGCTCTTTCACTCATTACACAACCACATGACCATAAAAAGCAAAATTTGTATTTACCATTCATTTCTAGTCCAATAAGTGGACAAATATATGGACTTTTTCCTTCATCTGCATAACAATCTCCTTTTTTTGCTTTATTACCATCAAATGCTGGATTTGGTGTCAAATTTAAGTTTTTTATATCTTTTAAGGTTTTAATGTGTTGTGCTGATTCTGGAAGTGTACTTCGATCAAGGAGACCTTCTAATATAGATTCTTTACTATAAAGATGACCTAAACCACAACCAACTACTGGTGGTTGTAATGGTAATTGTTTAATTGTACAATGTCTCCACTTAAATGCTAATTCTGCTTCCTTATCTTTCTACAAATAATTGTATATTACTTTATATAGAAAGACCAACATTTATAAATAATATATAAAAATACATAATCTAACTAGAAAATAACCTGTTCTGGTTTTTTTTTAACTCTTACGAGTTCATCTCTTCGAGGAATAGTTCCACCATCACAACCCATGATATATTATAATGAAATTGAAAAATCAATTACTAACAACTTATTCAACTTTAACAAAATATATGTTAAATTATTGATTATACAGAATATAACAATAAAAATACAAATAAAGATACGTAATATAATTCAATGCTACCAACTTATTATATATGATGAATATAATTTTATAATAATTTTATTAAACTGAAGAAAACAAATTTTTAATATTTAATTTTTATTATGTATAATCCACATAAAAAAATATTTAAAACAAAATTTAAGATAAACTTAATATTTTAATTAAAATTTATATGTAAAACATTTAAATTGGTAATGATTTTAGTATTGGTAACAATACTGATCTTGTGAACGGTTCCAAATCAGCTGATGATATTCTCTTTTGGTTTATGATTTAGTTGCCGGGTGGGTCGTAAGGCAGCAGCACACAATTGTCATCACGTGAGGTCACAATGGTTTCTGATGGTTTCGACGACTAGTGATTAGAACAGCGAATGTTTTGGATTTCTTGAGAAATTCAAGCATCTGCCGTGTTCTGCAAATAAAGATATAATTCAAAATATTTAGTAAGTAGAACTATTTATTTTTTATTTAAAATATATATAATAATGGATAAATTACAATTATATGGAAAATTAGAAAATGTTTTTAACCCATGTTTTAATGATTAAAAAAACTTAAAAATTATTATAGAAATAATTATAATATTTGTTTTCATATCATTTAATGTAATATATTATATGTTTGTTATATTGATTCATATTAAATAAAATTTTCTTCAAGTTCGTTCAAAATTTAATATATGACGTATTTTTTAAGAAAATGTTAAGTTTTTTTATATTATCGATTTTATAATGGTTTATTACTGGACGCCATTAAATTATTTCAATAATAAGTTCATACTAAAAAACTTGTATGCCTATCAATTCAAGGATATCTCTTTTAGCCTGTAATTTCATGCACGCTTGTCATTTCCCTATATTGATCGTTCTACAAGATCAACGCGCCATTCTTGCACTTAAGTAGTATATGTCACGTGGAAAGCGCGCTTAATTACATAATACCACAATCAAAGAAATACATTGTGCCACACCCCCTTTTTTTTTTTAACTTTTTAAGACTTTGTGTATTGTTTTTAAATTAAAAAAATTTTGAATTATAAATTATAATTTATTATATACATAAGCAATTAATGAATAATGCTCTTAGGATTATAAAATTATATATTAATTCTATAAATTAACTATGTTTGAAAGTAAAGCAGGTGGTTGTTTTGACAAGTATTTATTTTCTATAGATTTTCAATTCAAAAATTTATTAATAACAACATAATTACTATTCATGATTTTAATTTAGGTCATAAATTTTATATACTTCTGTATATATAAAAATAGATAAATTATTTTATATATCTACATTTATATATATATTTTTTATTTCATATATATATATTAATTATATATTTTAATATATAAATATGATTAAATTATTATATAAAAAATTTAATATAATTTATTATAGAAAATAAATCTATAGATATATATAATGAATGTAAATATTGAATATAATGAAATATGAAATATTTATTATATTGAAATTAAATTATAATGAAATATTTATATAATACATTAAAATATATAACATAATTTGTTCATCATAATGTTTCAGATAAATTAAGTAATTTTCATTGGAATATTGTTCAAAATGACAGAATATTGGTTAATATCTGCACCAGGAGATAAAACATGTCAACAGACATGGGAAACTATGAACAATTTAACATCAAAACAACATTCTTTATCAGTTAATTATAAATTTCACATCCCAGATTTAAAGGTGGGAACATTGGATCAATTAGTTGGTTTATCAGATGATCTAGGAAAATTAGATGCCTATGTTGAACAAATAACACGCAAAGTAGCAACATATCTGGGAGAAGTTTTAGAAGATCAAAGAGACAAACTTCATGAAAATCTTTTGGCTAACAATAGTGAGTAAAAATATTAATGTGTTTATGTTTTTAGAATTTGCTCTTTGATTTAAATTTGCATCTATTCTCTAATATAAGAGAATAGATCATTGAAAAATTCAGAGATTCAAAATTATTTATTATTTTTTTTATCAAACATTATATTTAATTAAATAAAATGTTCAAATATTAAAAACATATTGAAATATCATTTGACAATATTATATTTATAATATTATATTTTTTGGATCTCTGCAAACAGGTATCGATCGATTTTTTGTGTATAATATTTTACAATAAAATAATATTGGTTGGCAAAAACATCAATGAATACTATACACAACACGAAACATGCACACAACTTAGAATTTTTCTTTAATGATGATCTTAAACATGTATCAGTTGATTTCTAAAAGTTTTAATTTATTCATTGATAATAATAATAATAATAGCACGATTAGAGTCTTTAATCCTTATTGTCCTCAGTATCCTACGTTAATAGATTAATAGATAAAAACAAAATTTTGTCTGTGTACGCTATTAATAAAATAACAACAATATTATTTTTTTACAAATTGTTATAATAAACATGTTTTTTTATTGAGGATAATATGCAGGCAAGATACTTGTGGCTATAGCATATATAGTATAATATAACATTTTTAGATATGATGTGTACCATATATTTTTTTTATTAAACATAATTTTAATATTTGGTTGAATTAATCTATAATATAAAAGGTTTTTATGTAATTTTTTATAACAAAAATATTCATTTAAATATTGAATGTTTTAAATATGTTAAATAAATAATCAAGTAATTTGTACAATTATCCTTAAAAGAAAAACATTAAAAATTATATATATTTATTTTCATGAATAATAATTTATAATATATTACAATCAAACTACAATTTTATTTAAATATATTAAATCAATGTTTCTTTTTTAAATATTATTTCTTTTTTTATTTTTTAGTTATTTATTTATTTTTTCTAATTTTTTTTATTGTATTTAAAAATTAAGAATTTTATTTAATGTACAAGATATGATGGTACACATCATATTTTGGCATATAATTTATATATCTGTAGAATGCTTATTACTATAATTGGATTAGAATTCATTTAATTTATTACTTACTACAAATAATTTCTCATATTTGTGGTGTTGCTTGGCTTGCTTTATTTAATTTGGACCACATTAACCCTATTTCCCTACCTTATTATTTTATTAACAAATGCTCATACATGTGCACCATCAAAAATGTATAAAGCCTCCAAAATTTTAATACACAAACATGCAGTATCATCATATATTGAAATATAGTAAAAAAATTTCAAATGTAGAAATTTAAATATATGGACCACACTTTGTTAAAAATTTGCAAAGGACGCAAGGAGTTGCTTGGGTTACTGTGGTCACCAAGCTCCAATTAGTTATTACAAGGATTCTTTCCTTTTTTTTCTTCAATTATTTTATTATTCCTTGCAACATTCCTTAAATTGCATTATTAATCATTTGCAATTTAAATTTATATCATTGCATATCATTTGCTCATACTATTTTTTATTTATTTTGAATTATGTATTATTTCAATTTTGTTTTTGTTTTTTTCTTTCTTTCATTTCTTTATTGCTTTTGCTACGTCGGAGTATTTAACGAAAAATTTATTTAAAAGTTCAGGTAATAAATATTACAAATATTTGTATAATGCAATTTTTAATAATGGGAAATAATGGGAAAAAATAAGAATAAATAGCAAATTTTTAAATTTTATTAATTTTTAAAAATAGCAAAAATGTTTTAATTTTATTAATGATTAAATATTGTAATCATGAGGTGCATATTTTTTATAAATACAATTACTTATATTTTTTTTAGCATTAAACTTTATATTTCAAAAATTTATTTTTTTAAAAAAAATGTTTGATATTTATACATTTATCAAAATATAAATAAATAATAAATAAATAATAAAAATCAGAATTTAATTATAAAAATTTAATTATAAAAGTTATAAAAATTAATTTTCGCGATTAAATTCTTAATGAAACATAAAAGTTTCTATGCGCTAAATACTCCGTGATTTTTTTTCTTTTTGAGTTATTTTGATTGAGTTTCGACAGCATTGTCGTTAGGCATTTGCGTAGGACGCAATAATAGTTGAACGAGACGTAAGAAAAATCGCGCGGAGATTGGGACTGGGCTGTAATGGATAGGTCAAACGTCAGTGGATGGGGAGAGCTCGAGCCCCGAAGGGGGTCCGGACACCCCGCCAAACACCCCCGTCACCCCATCACACAAGTCTTCAAAGGAGCATCACAAGCAGTGGAAGGAATCGGAGAAATGTGAACCAGAACCAGCCGCCTGTTTAGGTCAGCATCATTACCAGCGTCATCATCATCACGAACATCATCATAGTCATAAACATTACAATCATCCTTCTGATGTTGAAAAAAAATCATCACATAGTCCTCAAGGCATCTGTGATGTTAGATCATCAAATGATCCTTTATCAGCATATTCGTGCTACCATGCGCATTGGTGCGCTGCTTCTACCTCTTCTACACCTATTCCTAGTCCTACTCCTACGAGTCCAAGTCTTTCCCTTTCATCAAACTGTAGCAGTGAAGGAGAAACCAGATGGCAGTCGGCGACACGTCATCGGACTACTGAGAAAGCAGATCGATCTACCTCCAATCGCAAATCGTTTGGCAATGACGACGACGAAGACGATGCGGACCAAAACAACGACCAAGACCAAGACCAAGACCATAGTGGCAATTTGCCCAATCCAGGTACCCGTCCTATCACCGCCAGGTCAACCCGTCGAACCCCTTTTTCCCAACATAGCTGCGAGACTTGTTCAACCTATTTTCCTGTGCACCTCGTGATTCGCCCGTTTAGCGACCGATTCTTGTTTTGTCTTATCTCCTTTGGAGATAGATATAGGAGAGAAAGAGAGAGAGAGAGAAAGAGAGAGAGGTTGTCATTTTATAGTATTGAAAATTTTAAACAGTAAACTTCGCATGCAGCTTTTGCTTAAAAAAAAAGAAACAAAAATAATTAAAACTCACATAACTCTTATTTCAATTCTTCTTCTAGTCACTATATAATGAAAGCGTCTTTATGATCCTAGTGCGCATTTCCTTCAGTGTCAATTTTGCACAATTTTGCACTACATATGCAATGTTTGTAATGCTAAAATATTTTATGCCAAATTTTGCCTCCAATGTAATAAATTATTTCAAGTCTTTTTAAATGTTAATGTGCTATGTCAGATAAGAAAGCATTGCTTATTACATATTTTATTTTTATTTTTTTTATCACTGTAATAAATTATTTACACTTTATTATAATTAAATTTGCATTATTCAAAAGACACAATTTTCTTTGTATTAGTGACTATTTAAATATATTTATTTGTATATATTTCAATAATTTATTAAAATAAAAGGCACATTATAAGTCATGACAATCTCTCTCAAATGTTTACAGCATACACCAAGTGAGACAGTACCAAAAGAAAAGAAATACTTGGCTTAGTTTACTTAGCTTGTAATTCAGAATACAAAAGCCTAGTATAATCAAATATTTTATGTTGTACTGCAGTAATTCCCTCAGTGATATTACAACAATATTTGATTTCTTGTGCACGCAGGAATTAAAAAATTGGAAGATAACAGACAGCTACCCATATTCTAGCACATTTTAATTGCAGCAAATGTGTGTACATTCTTAAAATTTATTTTTCGGGAAATGCTCTAGTTTATTTTAAGTTCTTAGCTAGTTCTTTTTCACTCCTGCGTCCTAGTGATGATTATTTCACAAATTCTATACAAATTACAAAACACATTAAGAAAATATCTTGTTTTTTTTTTTTTTTAATTCATTTATAATAATATGGAAATATTCTATTTAATTAATATCTTTTTGGAAATCATTTGATCAATTGTTCCAGGTGCTGTGGACGAATGAATGAACATATAGTGTATTACCTCAATCATTATCAATTTTTTTTTCTTCCTTCTTTCTACATTATAAATGCTTTTTATAATTTTTTATTTCTTGTTCTTTTATACCATACTTTGTTTCAATTTTTCTGTATATAACATTTTTTTATATGTTATTTTCAAAAGATACATGTTTAAATAAATAATGAATTTATTAAAAATACTCATATGCAAGAATTTAATAAAATTGATATATTATTACAATAAGTTAATATGATGCATATAATTATTATATCATATATATTATGTTAATTATTTAAATTATTTAAATAAACATGATGTTATTAAAATTCATTATTATGAATCATAAAAGTATATGTGGATTTAAAATTATCACAAATACAACATAAAGTATGGTTTAAGAACATCCTACATTTAAATGATACTACTTTTTTAAGTAACATCATCTCTCTATTAATTTTTTTTTTTTTTTAATATATTTTTTATAGCATTTTCTCCTATACCTAGCTTTTACATGCTTTCAAACTATTATTTTCTATAATTTTCATAGAAAGACAATACTGTACAAATTATAATACATGTACACACACACGTGTATATATATATATATATATCTTATGGACGTTAGCACAGATTACAGATGAGACATAATTAACAAAAATTTTAAAACACTTATCGATCGGTACATGGACTTATAATATACTGTTTCGCATGATCAAATAAATTTTGATGACAGTATAGTGCTCAATACCCTTCAACACTACAAGTTATCCATATCACAAAAAACATCCTACGATCAACTTTTATGAAGTACTTCATAAACAATTAGCATGAAATGCTTAAATATTTTAGCTTAGCTGTATACTATATGTCTATGTTACTATTGTTAATGTTACACTATTTAGGTCATTATTATACATGAATTAAATCTATTTTAAAAATATTAGTTAAAAAATAATTATAATAATATAATCATTATATAACAAACAATTTATATTATATAACATCATATAATCATTATATTTTTGTAATTTTCATTACATTCGTATTCTAATGAACCAAGTGTATATGCGTGCATGCGTGCGTGCGAGCTTTTATTCATTTAAAGTTACCCATTGACAGCTTTATCATAAGAGAATATAATAATATATAATTCAAAAAGTTTCGTTAGTAATTATAGAATTTTCATAAATTTTGTTTGAATGAATATTTTGTTGTAAAATTTTTTTATTAATAATAATTATAATGAAACTTTAAATCATTGAATTAATTGAGATTAATGAGATTAACTGCTTCATTCATTTAAACATTATTTATGAGTAATTCTCTTGTATTACAGATATATAAATAAATTAATTTGAACAAATATTTATTTAAAAATATGTTTAAAAAGAATTAATTAAATAAAAAAATTTTATAATGAAAGAAGTGATAATATAAAATGCTTCTATATATTAATGTTGCATGCTATATTTTTGTTAATGTCTCGCTTATTCTCGTAATGCTATAATACGTAAGGAGCGTACTAGAATCAAGAAATGAATTTCGTAGAACAGTCTTTCTCTGTTATCTTATTATTATCAATACTCTCCTTATCACAGAGTCAATCTAAAAATTATTTTAATTGTTCAGCTAAAATTAATTTAATTAGATACATACTCATATGCATAATTTTATTGTACATATGAAGGTATATATTTTATATATTTTTCTTATATATATAAAAAATAATATAATTATTGTTTTATTAAAAAAAAAGAAGAATAAATTCTACATTTTTTTATATACTTGAAAATATCTTGCATAAATAATAAATACAAATATTATTACTTATATTAATTTTACTATATACTATTAAAAAAAAATATATANATATATATATATATATATATATATTCCTGCATTTGTACAATATATTTACAATTCAACAGAGCTTTATCATTTCTAGCTTATGAACTTTATCAAATCATTAAAAATATATACAGTATTCCATTTGTAAGCACACTTAAGCACTTAAAGTATATTACATGTAATTAAATATTGCATGTTACTTATGATTTCATAATTTCAAAATTGTACTGAGCTCTGTTTGAATATTTATATAGAAAATGAAAAATGATTTATATAGAAAATGAAATAATTATCTCAGAACAATTACATTAACATTATGAATTTACTAGGTGATCTACCATCATATATAACTCGATTCCAGTGGGACATGGCAAAATATCCTATCAAGCAATCATTAAGAAACATTGCTGATATTATCAGTAAACAAGTGGGTCAAATTGATGCAGATCTTAAAACTAAATCTACAACATATAATAATTTGAAAGGAAGTTTACAAAATCTTGAAAAAAAACAGACGTAAGCCATATATTTGTATTAATATCTAATATCTCATATATTTAAAGTTCTATTAATTTTAATTATTTATTTTTACATTTTAAAAAATTATTTAAATAATAATAGTAGATAATTATTGTATAGAGGAAGTTTATTAACAAGAAATTTGGCAGATTTAGTGAAGAAGGAGCACTTTATTTTGGATAGTGAATATTTAACTACTTTGCTTGTAATTGTGCCAAGGTAAATTCATTTAATATATTCATCATTATTATTTTTTTAGCTAACAAATTGTTCTATGAAATTTTAGAGCAAATTTCCAGGATTGGTACAGTGGTTATGAAAAATTAACAAAAATGGTAGTACCACGTACTACACAACTTATTACTCAAGATTCTGAATATGGATTATTTACTGTCACTTTATTTAAAAAAGTTATTGAAGAATTTAAATTACACGCACGTGAAAAAAAATTTATTGTTCGTGATTTTACATATAATGAAGAAGAACTAGCAGCAGGTATATAAAATTTTGATAAAAACTTTTTATTAAAATTTCATATATAAAATAAATATAATTTCATATATAAAATAATTGATTTTTTATTTATTTGAAAATTAATTTTGTTCACTTTTTAATTCTATATTAGTAATATTTATATTATTATTATATAATTTATTAAAATGTATTGTAGGAAAAAATGAAATAACGAAATTGGTAACTGATAAAAAGAAACAATTTGGTCCTCTTGTACGTTGGTTAAAGGTTAACTTTAGTGAATGTTTTTGTGCATGGATTCATGTTAAAGCTTTGCGTGTATTCGTAGAATCTGTTTTAAGGTAATAATAGAAATTATCTGAAATCATATATATTGTAATAAATCATTATATATTAGTGTTTATTTAATCATATATTAATTAAATTATAACTTATCAGGTATGGATTACCTGTGAATTTCCAAGCAATATTATTGCATCCTCATAGAAAATGTGCAAGACGATTACGTGATGTTCTTAATCAACATTATGCTCATTTAGATTCTTCTGCCACAGCATCTTCTGCTGCTCAAGGAACTCAAGATGTAAGTTGTAATGTTTTAATAACAAATTATTTCTTAAAATAATTTATTTTAATTTTTTTATAAAAATTAATATAACGTTATTATCTTTTATGTTTATTGGTTTAAACAGAGTGTGGATATACCAGGATTAGGTTTTGGCCAAAATGACTATTTCCCTTATGTGTATTATAAAATCAACGTAGATATGGTTGATAATAAGGTTTAATTATTAAAGACATCTATTTTCTTAAATTTTAAATATTCTTTAATTTACGTAACACATACTTCTATAACTCCAGGTATTTAAAGCAGGTGCGTACACAGTAGTTTTTTCTGTTTACATGAAATATAATGTTTTATTTTTTAGAATTTTGTTTTCAATATAAATCTATAATCTTTCTGATTTTCAATAAATCTAATTATCATTCATTCACTTGCAGGAGTAAATTAAATATTTACTTAAAAAATATTTTTATAATATTTTTATAATACATCAAATACCTGGAGAGATGTATGTACTTTGATATTAGCTCAATAAACTATGCATAATAGGATGTACAATCATTTGTATAAATTTTAGCAAACACATTTGAATATGTTGCAAACTTTTTTTTTTAAATGGGCTATATTTAATTGAACAAGATACCAGTAAATTAAATTCATCAATATAATTATTAACTGCTTTTCAAAGAAAATTAAAATATTGAAAAATTTATTGTTTCGATTATAGCAACGATATATTGCTTAAAATATCTGTATGTAAATGTATCAAAATTCTTACAATTAAATATAGCACAATTTATTTTACATAGCACTACATAATGAGCGGAAAATATCGTGCCAGAATAGAAATTCTGCAATGTATAATTGTAGTATTTTATGTATTGTTTATAAAATTAAGATCATTGTGAATATTGTTATAAAAGAGAAAGTTCATCTTGTTATAAAAACATATGTCATAATATCTATTTTGATTCAAATGCTTTTACCATGTTTATTCAATAATTCTTCATAATGCTTATATTATACAAAAACTAGTAAAATAAGTATTATTCAAATATTAAAATACAATAAATTTATTTCATTAAATATAATGAAAATATAATATTTTAATAATGCAAAGTATATCAGATACATGCTAATGTATCAAAATGTTATTTATTGAAAGTTATAAAACTCCAGACACATTACACAGTTTGGTTCTTAAAGTATTATTATTAATGTTATATTTTAAATTTTAGTGATATATAAAAAAACTTCATTGTAATAAATTCAGTTCAAGTATTAAATTTTGAAATCTTTAAAGGCTGCACAAAAATGAAAAATAATAATAAAAAACTATTATAGTACATGTTATTTAAACAGATTGTATTATAAATATTTCGTGTATAGAATTTATGCTTTGCAATATTATTTTAATTCCTCGCTTATATCTTATTTCTTTGATATTTTTAATGTATCAACATAAATTGAACTATATGTCTGAATATATTCAATTTTATTCTGTATATACATATTGAAAATAGAGAAAAGTTACAAGTATAGTAATATTCTTCTTGATTTAACCAAATGTATTTTAATCTATGAATTTATTTTTGTTTAAAGAATTAATCGTTATCAGTATTTCAAAATACATCTGTATTTCAAATTGTTATATTATTATACGATTGACGATAAAGTATTAATTAAAATAAATAAAATTTTATCGTCATTAATTAAATTTTATAAAAAAAGATTTTCTTAAGCGTTAAATAATAGAAATATGCAGTCTATGTATTAAAAATGTTATATGTATCATACTGATAATTTTGAAAATGTATTATTTTATATATCAAAATTAATTATAATTATATTTATAATTTTAAAGTTTTAATTGTAAAAACATTTCAGTTAGAGCGATGACAATATTAGCTAAATGTTAAATCAAAAAAAATAAATGAATTAAATTTAAATATATGTGATCAAAAAATTATACTATGATGTGTATACATGAAGTATCAAATATAAAGTATCATTTAATCATTTGTTAATTAAATAGATTAAATAATACTAATAAATATTGCATTTTATTTTATTTATATCATATTTATTAAACAAAAAGTACATATTTTCAAATTTTTTAAGAAATGTATTTTAATTTTCATTATTCAATTTAATATAAAGTTAAATATGAAGTAATCTTCTTATCATACTATGAATGTATGATATATATGATATTATACATTATACATAAATCACAAAGAATGAGAAGAAACATTACTACTTTGAGATAATATCTGAAATGATAAAGAATTTATACTTATTTTTTTATAATATAAAATTATTAATTTATATTTCTTTCATTTTTAAATATTGTAAAAATTACTTGTAGAGTATCAATTTCTTTGTCCCAATTTCTTTCACCAATAAGTTTAACTGTTTTTATAAATATATCTCTTATTTTATTAATATTTTGTTTAAATACTTCCATTACATCAGCTGCATGAACATTATCTTCACAATCTTTCCAGCAATCATAATCAGTGGCTACTGCCACAACTGCATATAAGAGTCCTGCTTCTTTTGCTAAATATACCTTGTTTAAAAAATTTTTTATTGGATATATTAAATATATTATAATAATAATATTTAATATTTATAATTGTATGTGTGCGCGCGCGCGCGCGTGTGTACATACACATTATTTTTATAATTTTTAAATTTGAAAATAAATATACCTCTGGACATGTTGTCATATTAACTAAATGTCCACCCCACATACGCAATGCATTACTTTCAGCTTTTGAAGAAAATCTTGGTCCTTCTATTGTCACAATTGTTCCTCCTTTTCTTATCTTATATCCTAATTCTTTACCAACTTCAAATAATATCTGAGATGTAGTTGGATCAAAAGCTGGTTCCATTGGCATATGGCATACTCCTAAAATTTTAGTGTAATATTTTTTAGTATAATATTTATAGATAAAAGATAAAATTTATATTATATTGTGATTATTTAAATATAATTTACCAGAATATTTAGGTGAAGTACCATCATAAAAAGTTGTACTTCTTTTTATTGTCCTATCTAAAAAGCTATCTGGAACAACTAATAGTCCTTTACAAATAAAATCTTGTAAAGAGCCACATGCTGTTGATGCAATTATATGAGTACATCCAGCTAAGCGTAAAGCTTCAATATTGGCACGATAATTTACTGCAGTAGGACTTATCTTATGATCTGGTCCATGTCTATATTTAATTATATAAAATTTTTCTCAAACTTTTTTTAGAGATCAAGAAAATATTTAAAATATAAAGAATATTTTATTATTAATTTATATTAAATATTATATAATATTACATATCATATAATATAATAAATAAAAATATTATAAATATAATATATAATATATATTATAAATATAATAATTTATAAATTAGATATTAAAAATTCAATAAATATTCCATTATATACATATATATACATATATATATATATAACTACCTTGATAATAATATCACATCTACATCATTAATATTTCCGTGATAAAGATCACTAGATGGAAATCCAAATTCATTTTTAGCTTTTTCTCGTGTAGTTATAGTTTGACAATTTAATATTTGATTTTGAGGATTATTTAAACCTGAACCACCAATTATTCCGACCTATAAATTTGTATTATATGAATTTAAATAATAATTCTTTGAATTAAAAAAAAGAAAATCACTTTCTCATCACGTGACAATTAAGAATTATTGTTTATTCGAATTTAACTGTAATTCTTATAAATAATACAAATATTTAAAAACGCAATAATGTAAATTATAAAAATAATGATATAAATATCTATATGATTTAAAGAAAAATAGAATAATTTACTAGATATAAATTATTTATAATAAATATATATAAATATAATCTTTCAATTTTAATAACTTTTATCATACCTTAACTTTATATTTATTCATATTTAACTTTGTCAATATTATTTAATCGAATATTAATTAAAAACTTCTGAAATAATACTTTTTATGTTTTTAAATATACATTAATGATTAGAAGTTTAATTTATGTATTAATTTATAAAATCATACTGATAAAAGCACACATGAAATATAGAATAGTTATCAGTTTCCATCTAATGATAATAAATTATCCCTACTCTTTTTCTATGTTATATATTTCTCTTAATGTCACTAATAACCCAGATAAATAATTAATGCAATATTAAATAATAGAAATAAAAAAAATATAAAAATATGTAAAAATATATATATATGACATAGAAATGTAAAAATATTTATAAGAAATACAAACTATTATCTTTTTTAAAACATAATTAGTAATGCCATCTCTTTGAAAAATACTCAAACTTACTATATAATGTTACCGATAGTAAAATGAACTTATAATTCTAAACTTGTTTGCAGGAATATCAAACATTCTGATTTTTTGTACAATCAATATTTCAAAATATTATATCTTATTTTATTTAATATAAAAATTAATTGAAAAATTAATATTTTGAAACCATAACATTTTTGTATACCAACTTTCGTGTTTTAATCTTTAAAATTGACAAAAGTATTCTACAAATATATTAATATTTTAAATATAACATTTTTTTTTTAAGATATAAGTATGTATGTTTTATTATATTATAAATGCAAAATATGTTATAAATTTATAAATTTATATAAATGTTATAAATTTATATAAATATAATCTAAAATAAATGATATCTAAAAATATCTAATAAATTATTTAATAAATTATTTAATAAAAAGAACTTTATTAAGCCATTAGAAAAAATATTTTAACTGATAATTCATATTCAAATATTACATATATATATATATAATAAGAGAAAGAGAGTTTAATTGTTTATAATATACAGATAACTTAATAAAAATAAAAAATGAAAAAAATATTAAATTTCAAAGTTCTTCTGCATCTTCCAGACGTTTAATCACTTTTTTATATTCTTCTTCTAAACTTCTATATTCTTTCTCTAGAGTTTGTATACGTTGTTCCAATGTAGGTAAAGTAATATTCGAATGTTTGTCAATATTCTTCAATGCGCATTCCAATTTTTTCAAATCATTTTGCTCTCGTCTATATGGAATATTCAATCTTCTTTTTACATCTAATCTATATTCACGATATTCTTGTTCATTTGTTAAATCTGTACTTCGCAATCTTAAAATTTCGTACACTCTGCGAGCTTGTTTCTAAAAATAATAATAAATAATATATTAGAATTAAAAATATTTCTTCTAATAATTTAAACATAAAAAATACCTTATTAATCTTGAATTTTTCTTTAGCTTCTGCGGCCATTGCTTTATTAAAACCTTGAAGTAGATACTCTCGTGAAAAACTAGATAATGTACAGCAATTCATTGCATCCACATAATCTCTTAATCGTTGAAAGGTCATTGAAGGGTCCTCAACTACAACAATGATGATAATGCCTTACCAAAATGTACTAGATTTACTGAAATAAAAGTATCTAATCAGATTTTACTTTTGTATTATTCCTTTCAAAATTGAATTATCATTAGTTATAAATTTATTTTCATTTACCTGTTATATCTTTGACTTGATTCCGCCCAATATATTCGCGATAAATAGCATGTAATAAATGTGTACCAAGACCTATATTTTGAAATGGTGGTAAAATTAAAACTTGAGCTATACGAGGTCTAGTATGATGTGGATATGCATAGTATTGATATACAGTAGCAAAACCAGTAGTTGCATAACGAACAGTACTATCTGTTGTTTGATATTTTTCAAACCTATCTCAAAAAAAAAATTTTTAAAAATAATTCTATTTAAAAAAAAAAAATTTTTTTATGTAATTAAAAAGCAGTATAAAATAAAATTATAATTAAATACACATACATGTTAAAGTAATGCCATCGATCATCATCAATATCTATAAAATTAGCAGCATCTATATACCATAATACAAATGTTTGAAGACGTTGATGATATTCCTTAAATCCCTTATAAGTCATATCTGCTTTATAAACTTCAAATTTTCTTGTGCAACCATCATCTTTATTGTTTATAAGTTTTGAATAATTAATTATTAAATTCTTTATAATATTTTTTTAAATATATAATTTATGAATAATATTGCAGATTATTACCATTAACAGAAAATGAATGAAGTAATTCTCCATGAGGTTTAAATGTATCATCCTTTTTTAAAGATTCAATAAATGCATCTATATTATCATGAACTTGTGGAGCTAGTTTTTCAGCAATTTTTGGCAATACTTCATCAGCTTCGACTCCTTCATAAAGTATTTTATTTATTTTTTCTGAATAAGTCATGCCTAGATAAGTTTCTAAACAACCTGCTGAATAATAAAGCTTCACTCTGAGATCCCGGTAACCAAATATAGATTCACTAATAAAAACAAAATTAATAATTGAAAAATCAATTAAAATAAATATAATACTAATATTCAATATAATTTATAATATTTATATAATATTTTATATTATTATATTTATAATTATAGAAAAAAAATTATTTAAAAATATGTATCTATATATATTATTTTTGAACTATATATCTTTAATAATACATATTTTAAAAACAAACCTATCTCCAAATACTTGATGAGACATTTCTGGTTTAAATGTAGTTTCATTATTTTCTAAATCTTCAAAAGAACGTATTAATTTAAATTCCAGAGCTTCATTACTACTCATTACTAAACTTTTTAAACGTGCAGTAGCTGGATCTTCCATATTATACTAGTAATAAAATATATAATATAAATTTATCTATAAAAAATAAAAAATTAAAATTGAATTAATAATTTGTTATAAGTAAATTTAAAAAATTAAATTTTATATAAATATTTTCACTATTACATGTACTTGTATATATAATAGCGATATGTAACAATAGTAAATTCATTTAAAAAATATACATAGATATATATATATATATATAGAAATTTTNTGATTAACAAGTTACCGCTAACATTTATAGGTTATGAATTATATATTTTAAAATTAAATAAATCATAGAAAATAAACTTTATTTATTATTATTATTATTATTATTATTATTATTATAAAACAATTACATGTAAGTTATTTAATCAATAACAAATTAAAATTTTTTAAAATAATTTTTTATATTATTGTATACATATATGTTTTTGTTATGTTTCAAAAAATATCATATTTTTATATTATTATATGTAAAAATATCATAATATTATACCTTCTTTTGATAATTGTGTATAATTTTTCAATAGAACACTATTTTTTGATACTTTTCTTTAAACATAACTATAAAACAACTTCGCGCCAAAAATAAAGCGGTTATTTAAGCTTTCATTACAATCCCTTCAAAGATTAAGACTTTCTGATATTCTTACGAGTTATTGGTCGTTTTCAAAAGAATATTCTCTTTAGTTTGTATATAAATCTTTTTAAATTCAAGAATAAACATTATTATTACATTAATAATAATCAATTTATATTATATTTTTTTCGAATTATAAATATCATAAAATATAAGTGAATTTTTTTTATGAAATTATTTGGATGCGAATATAAATCTATAAAATTGAATTTTATTTGTAATTTTATTCGTTTATTATATTTGTATTATATAAAATAACAAATGAAATACATTGACTAGATACATATCGTATTTAATTTTTTATTTTGAATCTTAAAGTTAATTTTTGAAATACATTAAATATTTCAATACATTGCTGGAATTTTTTGTCGTAATATTTTCTAATAAAAATAAATTTTTTCAATAATTTCAATAATCAAAAATGTCTGCAGGTGAGGTAAAAAAGACAGAAGAACCTTTAATATTTCATACGTATCCTTTATGTAAAGTAAGTTTACCTTTTTAATTTATGTTATAAGATATTTAAAATTGCAATAATATTATAATTTATTTAAACTATAGTATAGTGATATGCGAGAAGAAATGAAACAAGAAGCAATAGAAATATGTGTTACTGCAACGGAAAAATATACTGATAACCATGAATTAGCAGCTCGAAGTATTAAAGAAAGTTTAGATAATAGATTTGGAGGTCCATTTCATGTTGTCATTGGAGAATCATATGCTTGTGCAGTTACATATCAAGCAACATCATTATTATACATGTATAATGCTGGCAATATTGCTATTCTTGTATGGAGAACAGTTTCAACTTTTTAATGATAATATTAAAATTTTAGCATTTTATTGTAAACAAATTTTATACTATATAACATAATATTTCTCTTATATTTATTTTACATTCTCTTCTGAAGAAGAAGAATTTATAATATGGGTAAATATACATGAATTTATAAAGAATATAAAACTGAATCCACAATTGAAATAAACTTCATTATAATCAGTTGATTGTCTTTTTTTAATATTTTTTCATTGATTGAAGAAAATTATTAACATTTAATTTTAAGTCAGTGTTGCATTGTTTTGACAACTTTATTGAAATGGTAAGATCAAATTAAAATGAGTGATTTTATAGAATAATTTATTATTGTTATATCATTTTTATTGTTATATAAAAATTTATAATATTCGAAAACTTTTATTTTTCATTAAATTAAAATTGTTTCGTGAATTGTAATTGTATATACAATTATGAAGAATTTGTGTTTATATATGCATATAAATTTCATCACAATTTTATCATCAGTGAAAAAAATTATGATTTTATAAATATTTTTATTTATAAAAAGAAGAGAAAGAAAAAAAAAAAGAAAGAAAGGAGCAAAAATATTTAAAATTTTAAATATATATGAGGTTATGAAGATAACGCGTGTAATTATTACAGAAATATATATTTAAATTAATATATATTTTTTAACAAATGACATTTTTGTTCGATTATATAAAAATAAAAAGAAATTTGTAAAACATATTTTTAGTATTCAATTCTGATATTTGCAGGCCAGTACACTTATTGCAACAGGCTTGGGTCTTGCTGTAGTAGGTTTTACAGGACGTTATATAATTAAAAAAATGCCACATTTATCTCAAAAAATGGCAGAAGTTTATAAAAATGTACCAAAATTAAATCCAAAGGTAAACTTATTAAATATTATGTTATATTTATACAAATATATGTACATATATATATTAATGAATTAATGAAAATATGTCATAATAGACTTTAGCAAACAGTAAATATTATAAAGGTGGTTTTGAATCTAAAATGACACGACGTGAAGCTAGTTTAATCTTGGATGTTTCACCAACTGCAAGTAAAGTGAAAGTAAAACAGCAATTTAAAAAAATCATGGCTGTGAATCATCCAGATCGAGGTGGATCTCCATATATTGCAGCAAAAATTAACGAAGCAAAAGATTTATTAGAAAAATAATAGTTAAATGTATGAATATAAATAGTGTACATGAAATTTATTGTATGTAGTTTTATAAATTTAATTTCAAGTAAATTTTTATGTATATATTTAATAATATAATGATTTTAAATATTTTATTTAATATGTAATAAAATTGTTTATACATTTATGATTCCTTTAATTTTATATTTATATTTTTAATATATTTATATTAAATTAAAAATTATACTAATAAAAATATAACATGTGATTTAATACAATAAATATATTAAAATTTTATAATATATATAATAAACTTAGTTCGTACGTTTTTGTAAATAATAAATGTATAAAAAATTTTATAAATCAATATAAATCAATGTAATAAATTATTGATGTGTAATTTTTTACTTTTATACTAAATTTATATTTACAGAAAGAAATACTGTAGATGTAACATTATAATCTTATATAGTACATTCGTTTTTTTAGGAGTTACAATAAAATAATATATTGACTAGAATCTTTCAATAGATAAAATCTCATTATTATCGTCCTAATTTATTTTCTTTTTGTTCCGCATGTTGCCGTGATATTTTAGTTCTTAGTTTTATAATTGTGCTACCAGGCAGTGATCCAGGTACTTTAAATATACTCTAGTAAAAAAAAAACAAAATATATATCATGAATTACATTTGTTAAAAAACATTTAATATGTATAATATATAACAAAAAATAAAAAAATATATTTACCTGCATAAAATCATGACATTTTAAAACAATACTATCTTTTGTTATTTCTTTAAAGCATTCTGCTAATGTTGTAAAATCTTGACAAGCAAGCAAGTTGCATTTATTCCTTTTTATCAGAGTTAATGCAACACGAAATATAATTTTACTGCCTTCATAAAAAAGACAATCCCATATACGCAGCGTAGTCTGCCAAGTTGTAAATATTTTATTCAATACTTCTATATTTTATGGCAATCCAAACAGGTATTAATTCAAAATGTTAAACTAATGAATGAATCAACTGTGTACACACCACATATAATAATGTTAAAAGACATCAAAAATACCAATTTTATGAATTTTATTTTTAAAAAACATATACAATCAACTTTACCTCAATTGGTAATACTTCTGCAAATAAGCACACAAACCACTTCGTTGTAATAACTGCCCAAGGTAAACCTATATTTGTTACATGTTGATAAATATCTGGCATTTTTATTCTAAAATAAAAATTTATATAAATATATATGTATAATTTATATACTTATATTAAAGATTTAAAAAACTTACTTGACTAATTCTGCAAGAACATCAATATCTGTAAGTAGGCCATCCATCGTTGGTGTATAATAATCAGGTAAAATTTTTTCTATTAAGATCTTTAATAACCAAAATGCTGTTTCTTCATTTTTTGTAACAAGTAATAATAAACCTGCTATATAATTTAAGCCCTATAAAAATATCAAATATTTTTTATAAAAAATATTAAAAATATAATATAAAATAAAATATTAAAAAATATAAATTATATTAAAAATATGTTATAAATATTATTAGAATAATTTAATATACCTGACAATATCCTACTGTTTTATTCTGATGAGCAAATGCTAATAAAATATTATATAATTGATATTGTTGATTTTCTGTATTATTAAAAAATATATTATCAGGAAAAGTTCTTGGTAGATCAGTTTTTATGACATCTGCAACTTGTTTATTATGTGGAGGTTGTAATAGTCTTTGATAAAGATCAGAATCTACATTTTTTAATTCTTCTCCTCCACTAACAGACAACCATACCTTTAAGAATCAAATTTTTTCTTTTTATATATTTATAAAATAAATTAAAATATGAATCTTATACTTACTAATCCTCTATGTTCTCCTGGTATACCTTTACGAACATATCTTTTTATTGTAATATTTCGTTGTAATGATTTTCCTTCTCCAATGATTTCAGACCATTTTTTTGCTCTTTTAGCAAGTACTTTGAGATATTCTGACATAAAATCTTCATAAGTTTCATAGTCAAAATCATGAGGTCTTTCAAAACCATATTCATCCACGTTGCTAATAAATATATTAAAGAAATACATAATTATATTAAAAAAATATATTTTTATATATTATAAAAAGGAAAAAAGAAATTTATATATAATATATAATAAATTATAAAAGTAAAATATATTGATGAATATAATTGAAAAATAATAATAAATTTTAATTAAGAAATATATCAACTAAATTATTATTATTCATTCTTTTTATAATATTAAATTGTTTTCATAAAAGATAACCTTAAGTCGAAACAAAAGTAAAAAACATTTTTATTTATGTTAAATTAATTATATTATTCGTAATTTCTATATACATTTGTAAAGTATAGAATTATAATGTTAATAACAAACAATATAAAATTTACGATGGTCACCTAAAACATGAACTTGCCATACCCCACGCAAGACGATGCTGACATATAATTTCTGCCAAATATAGGGTGTTCAATAAATTCTTTTCAATTTTAAATTTTTTATTCAGTGACATAATTAAAATATATTTGTATTAATGTATGTATGTTGTATCAGCGAATATTTTGTCTTCTTTCTTGAATTTAATTTTTTATATTAAATTAGAATTTTATATTTAATATTTGTACGTATTTTTTGTCATATATAATAAATGACTTTAAAATTAATAAGTATAATAATTAAAAGTTAAATATTTAATTTTTAATAGTGGCACGAATCTTTATTTACAAAAATATATACATATCTTATCTGAAAGTTAGATATGTAATTTTGAAATTTATATATATATATATATATATATATATATATATATAATTAGATTTGAATAATATTTAATAAATACAAGATTATAAATAAATGACTTACATATAATATAATATTACAATAAAGTATTATATTTAGTATTATAATTAGTATTATATTAAAATAAAAAAAAATGATAATATATTTCAAAAAAGTGAGAAAGTCGATTTGTTAAACAATAATCATTCATAATCGAGAAAACTAGTCGATATTGGAGTCACTAGTTCAAAATTTGCGCAAGCGTAGTTATTTGACAGCCATTTATATTCAATATTCAAATAAATGATTGATATTTTTTAATATCAAAATATTATATAATATTTTATTCAATTTAAATGTATTTGACAATGAATATATATATCTATGTACTTTAAGTATTTATTTTTATTATATCACATAAATATTTATGTTTTTCTTAAGATTTAGTTGAATGATAAAGAAATTCTTGTGAACGTACCCTAGTTTCTACGGCACTGGCGCACGTGTTTCTTGCATACGATGTTGGCGACGCATGTGCAAGAAATCCTTTTCAAGGGACAAATTCCTGAGTCTGGCAAGAGTGGTCGATACTCGATATTACGGTACCACATGGTAACGGAGGTAAAATGGCGTTAAATGTTCCTTGTGTCGCTGGTAAGAATTTTTGTGTTGTGTTTATTAATAATCTTCTTATCTTAAAATCAAATTTTTACTGACATTTTTTTATAAATATTATCAACAAATGTAGAATGTATATCTATCTATAATATACTTTACAAGTTTCATATTACACCACGACTGATTGCACAAAAATGCGTCATGTGGCATTGTATTACTGGAACACATTTATGATTAAAAAATGCGTCATATAGTATCTCATTATAAGAATGTATTTACTATTAGATGCATTTATGTATAATATTTATTTTTGACAGTTTCATTCAATTTTATAAATAATTCATAAATATTTAAATTTATCTTGAAGATTAATTATAATGTATAAGATTATTTTATAATATATATGATTTTTTTATTTTATATTTTTTTTATTAATAAAATTAATTATATAAGTTTGTAAATATTATCAAATTTAGTAATACAAAAATTTTAAAATTGCATAATTAATTTTCTTTAGTAAGAGGTTCCATTGGAATCAGCTTAGGACAAGGCCCACCATCGTATGAACCAGTAAAATCATTTCCTAAAGATGATAGTAAAACATGTAAAGCAATGGCTTTTAGCCCAGAAGGACGTTATTTTGCATGGATCAATGGAATGACTGCCAAGATTTTACATTGTTCTACATGGAAAATTATTACAGAAATCAAAAGGCCCAAAATTTCTGCAATTCAATTCTCCACTCGAAGCACATATTTTATGACATGGGAACCATTCATTGGTATTATTTTAATTTTAATTTATTTTTGTTTTTTCTTAAATTTAATTTTTGAATTTTTTAGTTTGATAATAAAAATATATTTTTTTAATTTTATTTTTTTTATCTAAATTGAATAAATATTTAAAAATTATAATATTTATTTGTAATTTATTGACTATAAAAAAAATATTTATATTGTCAATTTATATATTATAGCAACAACATCAAATCCTCAAGGAATAGCAAATCTTCATATATGGAAATCAGAGACTGGAGAACTGGTGAAGAGTTTTATACAGAAAAAACAATCAGATTGGTAATGTATTGCATAATTGTTTTATTAAATTAATTATTTTAATTATTAATTAAAATTTATATTAAATTTATTAATTATTAAAAATTATTTTTAATAATAAATTTTTATTTGTTTTTTCTTTTAATGTTTTATAATTATATCATCAAAAAAATATATAATTTTTATAAATACATTATAATAAATATAAAATTATATTTCTTACAAATATAATTTTTATAAATATTATATTTTAAAGATATTTTAGAGTTCAAAATTTCACATTGAATAATTAAAAAAATTCTGAATATAGAAAAACTGTTTACTTCTTTTAAATAAGTGAAAACTTATTTATCTTATATCTTATAGCTACATTTATAAAATATCTATCTAGGGAACCTCAATGGACAAGTGATGAAAAAGTCTGTGGGATGTTAGTTGGTGCAGATGTCATTCTATATGAAGATGTGAATTTTAATAAGATTATGTACAGAATAAATGTAGCCAAAGTTGCTAAATTTAGTATATCACCAAGTAATACTCCATACTATATTCTCTGTTATATGCCGGGTAATTAAATTTTGTTGTATTTATTTAATTTTAAATTAAACAAGTGCATGTATGATATATATCAAGGTACTTATATGTGGAGAGTATATCATTTTCTTCGTTGTTATTTATTAAGATAATTATGATGAACATTGGTGCTTCATAAAAATTAAGAGAAGTTACAAAAATTTTAAGATAATAAACATTATGATTTAAAAATGATAATTAGTAATTCTATTTGATTGATCAAAATATATAAAATGTTTATTAGTAATATAGTTCAAGCATAAGTCATGTAAAAAATTGGCATATTTTATGAAATACTTTTTTATTTCAGTTTCTCTCATTATGAAGCAAATATGTGTGGCAAGCATGTAATACACAAATGGAATGAAGATTATAAGATAATTATATCTGTAGAATACTTTAATATTTTAAAGAAGTACAACAGAATATTAATAATGGTATTTTGCAAAATATACAAGTATGAATATTTAATCAGGATCAACAGTAATGGGAAATTTTCCTGATTATTGCATGCTCATTTTTATATGTAAGTACTTTTATAAAGTTTTAGGGAATCATAAAATATATTTAACAGGTAATTATTTTTTTGTTTCAAATACTTACAATTTTTAGATATTTCTAAATCAAATTCGAAATTAAATTTAATATCATATCTTTGTAAGACAAATAAATACTCTCCACATTAAATACCAAATTAATAAATTATATAATTCCGTATAAAATACTACATTACAATTATAATTTAAATACCAGATCAATTAATTATTATAAATAGTATTATTATACATTATAGGAAAATCGGATCAACCTTCATTTGGGAGACTATTTCAATATCCAAAGTTTGAGTCCACACAAGCTTTAGCAAATAAAAGTTTTTTTCAGGTATTATATTATTAAAAAGTTTATATATATATATGTATATGTATGAAATCTTTTCTGAAACTATCATTTTTAGGCGGACAGAGTAAACATTTATTGGAATAATAATGGAACAAATGTCTTATTAATGACAAGTACAGAAGTTGATAAAACAGGTGCTTCATATTATGGAAAACAGACTTTACACTATCTTAGTACAAAAGGAGAAACTGCTTTGGTTATGCTTAGTAAGTTGTTTTATTAATTATTATTAATATTTATGAAATATTTTTTTTATCTTTAAAACAAATTCTTTTTTTTTTTAATTAGGTAATAAAGGTCCCATACATGCTGTTCAGTGGTCTCCTAAAAATAATGAATTCTGTGTTGTATATGATTTTATGCCAGCTAAAGCCACATTATTTAATCTTAAATGTGAACCAATATTTGAGTTTGGTTCTCTGCATCGAAATAGCATTTATTACAATCCTCAGGGGAATAATATCCTTTAATTACTTTAAAATATTGTTTATATTATGCATTAAAATTATTTAATTCTTTTAATTAATTGAAATGATCTTTATTAGTAACTATATTTTCTTAACCACTTTGTACTTCTAATTTTGACTGGATTTGGCAACCTCCGTGGTGGTATCGAATTATGGGATGTTGGTAACAGAAAATTAATTGCAAAAACTGAAGCTCCTGATACAACACTTCTTCAATGGTCGCCAGATGGAGAACATTTTATGACTGCAACTACTGCACCTAGGCTTCGAATGGGCAATGGGTAAATAATTTATAATTTATATTACAATTATATTATATTAATAATTGGATATTAATTCATATCCAATGAATATTTGTTATATAGTTTTAAGATTTGGCATTATACTGGAACTTTATTATATGAGCGACCATGGAATGAACAAGAAGAACTTTGGGAAGTTTTATGGCAAACTTTTTCACCAGGAACATTTCCAGAGAAACCAATTAGTTATAAAGCTGTTGAAGGAATTGCTCCTAGTCAACCACAAGGTGAAAGTTCTTTATAATATATATATCTTGAAACAATAAAATAATTATATAAATTGATATTGTTTATAATGTTTTTTTATTTATAGCATCAAAACAAGTATATCGACCACCTTCTGCAAGAGGAGAAACTATTTCTTTTAAATTGCGCGATGATGAAATGTTCAAAGATAAAAAAAAAACTCCAAAATGTAAGATAAATTTAAAAGTAATTTTATATATACAACATGAATATCTTATTTAATATTTATTGTAGCTACAACAAAAGCAAAGAAAAAGACAAAGAAAACTACAAAGGAATCAGAAGCACTTGCATCTTCTCAATCAAATAATCCAAGTACAAATGGACAAGTTACTACAAGTACTGAAACTCAGAATTTAACTACAAATGTTCCTGAATGTGATAATTTGGAAAGGAGTAAGAAAATTAAAAAAATTAAAAGTGTAAGAATCTTTATAAATTTTTTAATTAGGAAATAAAATTTAGAAAAATTATAACATTTCTCATTTTTTATAGAAATTAGAGCAGATTTCAAAATTAAAGGAACTGCTAGTAGCTGGGAAGCAATTAGAAATCAATCAATTAGATAAGATCAAGAAAGAAGCTGATTTAATGAAAGAACTCGAAGAACTTGCTTTATGATGAACATTTCAAATTGCGGATATGTATGGTTTTTAAAAAAAATCTAAATATTTCTTTTAAAAATGGAAAATGATCTCGGTCTCTCACATACGATATTACATACGTACAGAAGTTACGTTTGGCTGTACATAAAATTTTCATTATCTGAAGAGGAGATAGTGGGAACAAATTAAATTTTGAAAGTGCATTGAATAGGTTTCCACGTCATTAAAGTTATTAAAATTTAAAATATAAATTCTTTTTTTAAGCGATGATAATGAAATTAAAATGGTCCATCGCTATATCTTTTTTGATAGTTAGAAATGAAAATATTTTTTTTCTTCATTCTAATATTTCTAAATAGCACTGAAGAATATTACAACAGTCCAATAACGACCAAGCTTCCTTATCGTATAGTCCTGTATAAGAATGTTGCATTATAAAAAACTTACCCTTTCTGGTATTACATTTGATAAATAAAAGTTATACTGGATAAATCGCGTTATCTTGAAATTCAATTTTTTGAAAAAGTTGACTTTTAATAGATTACGCGATTTACTCATACATATAAAGAGCATAATGTGATGGAAATAATATAACTATAAAATCGAATGCATATAAAATTTGTTCTTGGAGACAGATGCTGTCATTGCAATTTTTATGTTTATAAATTATTCCACACTTATTCTATTTTTGTTTTATCAATTTTTTCATGAAAATTTAGCGAGGGTTAAAAATAGACATATCATTTTGTGATTTCATAATTATCAAAGTCATTTCATGAATATTTTCTGAACTTTTCGTTCTTATATATATTTTTGTTTTGTGCCTTGCATTATGTTTAAGATTCAGATTTTATATTTTTCTTGCTGTCAAGGATTATAAGACTGGTCAGATTAAAGTACTATTACGTGGCACAGTGTAATAAATAAATAAAAAAACTGCCAAAAAATTACCAACTATATTCCACGACTAAAGGAACATTTTTAAGTAATAAAGAAAATTTAGCTTTTTCAATTAGTTAATTTTTTAAAGTACTGTTCTTCAATAATGTTCAAAGTTGCCCTTGCTTATTTTACAGATTGTCGTATAAATTTTAACAACAATCTGTGTTTTGTAACAAGGATAGTTGTTGTATTGTTTTAATTTAATATTTACTGATATTGAGATTTTTAGGTTTATTTGAACAAATAAATTTGTACAATATAAATTGTACAAATTAAGAGGAAAATAAATTTTTTACCTCATTTCTATTTTGACATTAATAATTAAAAAAACTTAAATGCAATTGGAAAAATCTAGTAAAAAATATGACTAAAATTCATTAAATTATAATTGTGAAAATTATGTATCATTACTTCTGACATATACATTCTATCATATACATATAAATTATGAATGATGAGTGATGGGTTTATCATAAATTGAATTACATAAAAAAAATCACAATGGCCAATGTTGTGTATACTTACATGAAATTTATGAAAATAAATTATTAAAAACAAAAATGTCAACAATATGTAATATATTTTTATAAAATTGTATCCTTCCTGTATTACAATATATGTATGTAATTTTCGTTAAAAATTCTTATTTAAATTTATCATTTCATTTAAATTACAATATGTTTGTATATTATTTAGATTAATATTTGAATTTATGTATTATATTAAACAAATATTTTTAACATTAAAGAAGTTACATTTTTAAAATATTAAGATAAATTCCTATAACAAGGATAATATATAAGACAATAGGGGTTGAAAATTTTTTGTACATATATACGTTATATTATTAGAATTTTTATAGGTAACATGAATTAAAGGAAATAAACTATTTATAATAAAGTTTTTGAAACAGAATATTTCGATTAAAAAGTGAAATAAATAAAAAGAATTAAAAGAAGCGATGATCAAAATTAAAGGAAGTAACAAGAAGAGCAAGAAAATACACCAGAAACACCGTGAATGTGGTGTCAGTGGTCGTTTTGACTAGAGAACGACAGTAGCGCCGTAAGATAGTCGTGTTTACAGATTTACCAGTGAGTTCTACAACGTCACGTCAAAAAGTGCAACAAATTTCTACCACCATTTACTATGTAAAGGTGCGTTTCTCAATAGAAGTTTGATGCAATAATTGGTGATAATAACAAGTTTCTGTGTATCTTTACATGATTTTAACGAATCGGCATTTTCTTGAAAAGAAAATTTGAAAGATTTTCTTTAATACGGCAATGCTAATCGTTAGGATGGCCGCCATTTTGTCCGGAGGTGGCCCGGTTGAGTGAACGGGGCGAAAATAGTTGCTCCCTGGACACCGAGGATTGTTGAAATTGCATAGGTACCGGTTACGTGGGATCTTTTCACTTATCTCTAATTATCGAAAGAAATTTGACATTCGTAGAAGAAGTGCGCGTTTATGAAAAATCGAGACTTCTTTTCGTCGCCGCTCGACGTTAGTCCTTTGTAAGCACGCTGTATACATATTTCGCGTAATTTCAAGCTAATTTAGCGACGATTGTTCACGAAATTCTTTGGTTGATGATGCTTTTTCATCAACAGAAAGCAGACCGGATTGGTCGTTTCCTGATTCTAATTTTTGACGGTTGACAGTTCGGTACGTTTGACGATACACCCGAGAAATAAAGAGGTAGCAAGAGAGAGATCGAAAGAAGAGAGAAGGAGATAGAGAAATAATTCGCGACATGACATCGTACCTTTCATGAATTGCGAAATTCCAAAGGAATATAGACCCTTATACGTGATTATTAGTTTCGTTATTAGTTTCGTGCGATCAAGTGGCTATTAACTTTTATGAAAGAATCGTTCTCGTTGATCAAGACGAATAATTGGAATTTGTTCGTTGAAACCTTAACAAGATCATGCTGTCATGCGATTTATAGAATGTATGAAACGTTCTTCATTATCTACGTTTATTGCACAGTCTTCGTTAAATTCTTTTTCTGTTAATCAACTATAAAATATTGACGGTACCGATGTCCCTTGAAATGACTCCGAATTACATAGATTTTCTCTTACAAATTTTTCATCCATTCTAATTTTTCAATTAATTTATTTTTCAAAGATTTTAAATATTTTTTATTTTATATTTTTTAATCATTCTTGTTTTTTTACATAAATATTTACATATTATTATTGTTATAAATAATAATAGATGTCTTAATAAACATACAAAGATAATAAGACAATGAATATTTAATGAATATAAAACTGTTGTAAAATTAAGTAATAACATAAATAGTTTATAAGATTTAAAAATATTTATTATTTATTGTTATAGTTTCTTTAATTATTAGATTAGTATTATATGTATTTAATTGAAAGATTATTTTTTATAATATTTTTATATTTCAATATAAGTTGTACAAATTATATTAATTTTAATATAAAATTTTTGTTGTTTTGTTACAGATAATGTAGGTATAGTTTATTCAAACAAGGCCTTTAGGGTATAATTATATTTAATGTCAGTGAATGAGTTGGATGATTGTTATTGGTGGTGCGATTATTGGACCAAGAGGTATTGAGACAATTGGAATATAGCAAAGAGCACACAAAATGACGATTGCCACAAGAGGCCAAGGAGTAGGCATAGACCCTCCTGACAGCCAGCAAAGTACACAGGTATATAAATTATTCTTATATGATATGTAATAATCATTTATCCAATTAAATATATAAATTATAATATAATATTTTATAATATTTAAATTATATTTGAAATAAATTTTTTCTATAAAATTCATTATAATGTTTTATATGATGTATAATTTAAAATATGTTTATTGATATGTTTATTGACATTTATATTTATTTTTATCATTAAATTGAATTATATTATTGAAATAATATTATATAATAATAGATGCATAGTCCACCGGGTCCGCAACAATTAGCTGATACAATGTCAGGACTTCAACTCACGGAAAATGTGGTACAAACAGAATGCACCAATGATACCTTAACTTCAATAGAGGATAGTAATCAACTTCATGGCGAACCCGATTTTCCTGTTGCAAAACTCAATATGCTTCATGAAAAAATATCTAGTCCACGATGGGTTGTACCAGTTCTACCAGAACAAGAACTAGAGTGCCTGTTACAAGCCAGTATCGATCTTTGTAAAAAAGGTATAATATATGGTTATATATTATAACCATATATATTACAAATATTATAAATTGTTTTTAAATTTTATTGAATTAAATATTATCAATTTTAAATATAAAATATGTATTTACTATAATAAATATAAATTTTTATTTAGGAATTGATGTACAAAGTGAAGCATGTCAGCGCTTTTTTCGAGAGGGACTCACTATTTCTTTTACTAAAATATTGACTGATGATGCAGTAAGTAGTTGGAAAATGAATATTCAAAATTGTATTAATGCAAACTGCGAGCGGTTAGTGGATCTATGTATTCTGAAATTAGATGAGGATTGGTTTCCTCTTCTTGATTTGCTGGCAATGGTTTTTAATCCTAGTAATAAGTGAGTTATTATTTTTTCCTCTTGTAACTGTAGATATATTGTATTTCTATATTTCTATTACTTATATTGGCTTCTCGAACTTTGTTTTAGATTTCATACGTTTAATGCAGCAAGAGTTTCAGAAACTGTCCCACCGGGTAGTGATATCCCTGATGAACAGCTTTATGCCCGGCCACCTCCTGATTCAAGAAGTCCTCGCGGATGGCTAGTAGATCTTATAAATAGGTTAATAAATGATACTAATAATCTTTTTATTTTTTATACTTTATGTAAGATATATTTAACTTTATTTTTTTTTTACAGATTTGGCAGTCTTAATGGATTTGAAATTTTACTCTCCAGATTTCAAAACGGCCGAAATTTAACAGTACCAGTTATTTATGCTTTAATCAGACCTTTCGGTTTATGTTATGAACTACTTACTGTTCACACAATAGTTAAATATCTTATGCCTATTGTGGTAATTATTTTATGAAAAAATTTTATTAAAAAATTATATTTGAAATTACGTTTTCTGTATATTTTTATGTTTATAGGAAATGGTGCCTGTAATTTTGAATAATTTAACTGATGAAGAATTAAAAAAAGAAGCAAAAAATGAATCAAAAAATGATGCAATATCAGCTATAATCAAAGCAGCCAAATGTTTAGTATCACGAGTACCACATCAAGAGGAGATGATTAAAAATTTAGGAATTCTAAGATTGAAAATGATATTGAGACTTTTGCAAATTTCTTCATTTAACGGAAAAATGAATGCTTTAAATGAAGTAAATAAAGTGATTGCCACTGTTAGTTTTTACCAACATCGAAATGCGATAGTTGAAGAAGAAGAATGGCTTACTGCAGAATGTATGGCGGTAAGTTTATTTTAATCTTATTAAAATTTGTTTTAATTCAAGTGCATATAATTTATTAATCAATATCGATAAATAATATTATTTTATTTATATAGAAATGGATAAAGGAAAATGGAGTTTTAGAAATTGTTTTAAGAGATTCGTTACATCAACCTCAATATGTTGAAAAATTGGAAAAGATTTTACGTTTTATTATAAAAGAACGAGCATTAACTTTAGAAGATTTAGATGCTGTTTGGGCAGCACAAGCTGGAAAACATGAAGCAATTGTGAAAAATGTCCATGATTTATTAGCCAAACTTGCTTGGGATTTTAGTCCTGAACAACTTGATCATTTATTTGAATGTTTTCAGGTGTTCACTATTATAAAATTATAATCATTATTATTCCATTGATTATTATAACTTAATTAAAATCTTTTTTTATTTTAGATGAGTTGGAAGACTGCTAATAAAAAACAAGGAGAAAAATTACTAGAATTAATTCGCAGATTAGCAGAGGATGATAAGGATGGAGTAATGGCACATAAAGTACTAAAACTTTGCATATATAAAACTTTCTTTTTATTGCATATATAAAACTATATTACTATATTACTTTTAAATTTAATTATACTTTCTATTAATATTAGGTTTTAACTCTTTTTTGGAATTTGGCTCATTCTGATGAAGTGCCTACAGAAATAATGGATCAAGCATTAAATGCTCATGTAAAGATTCTTGATTATTCGTGTTCACAAGAAAGAGATGCTCAAAAGACAATTTGGCTAGACAAATGCGTGGAAGAATTAAAAAATAGTGATAAATGGGCTTTGCCTGCATTAAAACAAATTCGGGAAATATGCTGCCTTTATGAACCAAATCCTAATATAGCATGTCATGGACAACGGAATCATCATTATAGGTAATATATTTATTTAAATTTTAATAACATAGAAATTAATAATTTAAAATAGAAACATAGAAATTAATAATTTAAAATTTATAATGAAATTTTTTTTATTCTTTTCTATTATATTTTATCATATAGACAAGATGTTATAGAACGACTTCAAGCAGAACATTCTGCAGTAATTCTTGTGACGAACAGTTTAACAAACTATATGGATAAAATGCGACAGTTGGTGAAAGAAAATCCAGAT